GGTACTGGCCGCCACTCTGCAGAGGCGGCAGTGTGGGCAGCTGGTTTTGAGAGCCATTGTACTGCTGTTGGCCTATTGATGGGTAGTTGCTAAGGCCAGGTTGGCGGAAGCGATCTGTAGAGTCCATGATGAAGTTGTTGGTGGGTCGAGGGTGAGTGAAGTGATGGGGAAGGCGCGACCAATTGTTGATCGTGAAGGGACCATTCGACGGAGCTTAGAGCGGAGTAACGTCTGCAAGGCTGGCTAAGCACACCACGAGGCCGTTAGACGGACGTCGGGATGGAGTAACGATGGCCCACGAAGAAGCTTTACAGGTGGAGCCGTGTGGGGGACTGAGATGGCCAGTCGATACGCGTCGGCGGGTACTCCACGGATGGGTGGAAATAGAAGCCCGCTGTGGGTGAGTTTGAGAGAAGATGGGTAAGAGGGGCAACGGTGTGGAATTGGAAGAGGTGACCGGTGACGATGGAATTCTCGTAGCTGGACTAGCAAGAAAGTTGCGGCGGTGGTTTGCCTGGCTCGCGCGGCAATTCACGCGAAGGGACAAGGGACCTGCTGCAGATCGGCGGCCCACACACCCTTCAGCCTCAGCCGATTGATTGCGGATAGACCAAGTGGAGAGCTGTAAGCACGAGACAGGTACGGTAGACCCACGACAGGAGTGAGGTCTGTTGGGGAGCTTTGGGGGAGGGGAGAAGGTGGCTCGGGGTAGAGATAGCGGTCGGCGAAAAAAATATGCGAGTGCTGCTGGGAGAACTTCCGCTTTCCGCACCACGTAATTCCTGTTTTGTTTCCGCGCTGCTGAATGCCGGAGCTTGCCGGACGTTGATAGTGAGCAGATATGGCTTGAAAAGAATTATGTGGGTGGGTGATTTCTGCGAGGAGGCAGGGGAGGCGGCGGACGCGCAAGAGATTTCTCTGAACAAGGTCTTGTCGCGGCAAGCGCGTCGGGATGCCTGTACAGCGACGTTACAGAATTTAGGGCGGGAGTAGTAGGTGAAGACAGTGGGAGAGATGCAGGACCATCTCGAGACCCCGACTACCTATTTCCGACGCACACGTGATCACGAACTTTTAGACTTTTCGCATACGTGATGTTCCCTACTGTGTGCACTGCATTGGAGCGCGTATGCACCGCCCGTTGGAAAAAACTATTACCAATGACGACAGCCGTTCGTGTACTAGCGGACGAGTATCCAATTGCATGCACATGCACAGATGCCTTAGAATCCCAGTCTACGCGCTGGCCGGGCCCTTGAATCGTGCGCACCTCCGAAGGGTGTATGGAAGCGTATCATAGCCCTCGCAGCTGTGCCCCCGACCTCGTCCATTACCATGGTCCCAAGAGTTTCACGCACGCCACTGCCTAGCAATCGATAAGAGCAAGAGCCTCATTCTACATACTACGGTTGCCTGCCCCCGTCTTTGGCTGTTTCGAAGCTCATTTCCCAGACCCTGTAGTTCCCGTGGTACGTACCAGTTGCTCGTACGTACCGTCGGCGCACCCTTAGTCTGAGTGACTTGTCAGAGCCACCGGATCGGTAAGGCCAGCGAGCCAGGAGCGCAAGCAAGCAACTCATCCGAGCATCGACCCGACAAAGGCCGAGCTTCACTTCGCGTTGGCGGCTGTGGCTTGCTGGGGGTGTTATATCCGTCTATGAAACCAAGCGCGTCCGGTGAGCTCCATGGATGTTTCTGCATCGCTCATCCAACGTTTCCCATTGTCGCAGCACTCTGCTCGCCATTTCTCAAATGCTGGGACGCGGGCGGGAGCGGCTGGGGCAGAGGCATCTGGCAACCGCCGAGCTTGAGGTAAAAAGTTTCGTGAGCGTGACGTATGGCCGACCGGAAGCGGGCTAGCGTACAACCAGGATTCCTAGACGGCAGATTGCAACGGCGTCCGCTAAATCTTCGGCTCGCCAGATCCTTCGGCTGTGCAACCCTCGAATGAAACCTCACGTCTTGAAACAGCTCTTCGAGAAGGATGCACTGGAAGGTCGAGGCGCCGGGGCATTCAAATCGAAACAACACATGCTGCAGCTCTACAGATAACTGCAATGCGCGACTCGTTGGCCGTGATCGCCCTAAGGCGAATCTTGTTGAATACCTCTCGTCCAGTCAGCTTACGTATCGCGACTTGTGACGCCGCTAGCGTCTTCTATCACGATGCCGCTCGGCCTCGTAGCTGACGGCCACTGACACTCAAAGCGGCATTCCGGATGCTGGTGCTGACTCGATTACACGCTCCAGAAGTGACACGCATCCAATGCTTGCCAACTCACTTCCTTCATAATTGTCCTGGCATCTGGCTAGTCCGCTCTTGTGCTGCCGTGCATATCCTGCACCCGTCTGCCTCTTCTCTAACGCGTAACATATTGTCAAGAGCTTCGTGTGCACAAAGGCCCTCCCGCGGTCTTCGCTTGAGAGCATCCGATCTTTGCGTTGCATGCTTGGCAAAGTACAACGCGACCTTTTGCGGAAGAAATTGCCGAGGCTTGCCAGCGACTGCACGGCGAGATGGTTGCAGAGAAATTTTCCTCGGCAAGCGGCATGCTGTCACAATGACTGATTGCGCGATACGTGTGGTTGAAGTCAGATGGGCGCCCTGGCTTACCAGAGTGCCGTTAGATCCAGATGAACCCAACCCCACGTGTTGTACACTATCCCACATCGCTCTTGTGTATCAGAACTTCCGGCATGCCAGCATTTCTTGCAGCTTGCGCCAGGCCGCCGACGCGACACCGTGCGCGCAATCGCTCTCAGGGTTCCGACGATACCGCTAGGCGTGCTAGGTGGCCGCAAAAACCCTCTCCGTACGCGCAATGCTCATGAAATACTCGCACTGCGAATACGCTCTGCATCGTGGAAGTTGGAATAAGCTCCAGTCCCACTTGCGGTTGCGCTCCCGAATCTGGGTGTGGATGATACCCGAAGGTGGGCATCAAAGTGGGCTGTCCGCTTGACGCGCTGCAGTGATTCCCAAGATGGCAAGACCAGCGACATACAGGCGGGATGTCTATGTCGTGCAGCAGGCTCTGACCCGCCAGGCGCGTCGTGGCTTGATCATCATGCACATGATGAGTTTCAACCTCCTGTCTTGTGAGGTCACGCCGCCGAGAGAAAGACCGGTGAGGCGTTGGGACAGGCTTCCGACGTCGAGATAGCGTGTTGGCCAAGTCATGGACGGGGGTCTTTGACCGGACGAATATGGTACTGTCCGCCGACTGGTGCAAGCGGATGTGCGGTTCCGATGCAAAGAAGGGCTTGGCTACGAGGTGCCTCCGACTCGTTACGAAGACAGTCCTGAAGGAGCAAGGCGACGTCTGGTACGCACCAAGGCGATGCTTCTCGCTGATACACGATAGTGAGATCATCGTGGTGTGTCTGGTAATCTCCACAGCGATACCGCCGTTGTAGATATGCTTTTGCTCGTTAGTGCGACCTCGCACGAACGGCGGTACAATGCGGTACGCGCTCTGACATTGATCCCGTCTCTTTGTCTCGTCATAACTGCCTACGGGGCGATTCGTGTAATTCAGCTTGAGAGAGCCACTCAACGGGTGGTGTTGAGCTTTGGGGCGTGCCAGAGAAATTGTTTGACAAATTAGGTACGACGAGCCATTGTATGCTCAAGGTCATGGCTGTCTTGTTTGGGAGTACCGTAACACCGCATCATGGCACGTAAAAGAGTACCAATCGAGAAGGAACGCGGTATAAGTTGCAACGGTGTACTTCGCCTCGAACATTTATCTTATATCGGAAAGTTGGAAATAATTGCGGAGACGCATACCTGGGTCTAAGTATACTGGGTTGCGCTTCCTCCGACAGGGCTGTAAGCACTCAATTTTCGGGCAGCAAGACAACTAGTACTATGTGGTAATAGTCTACAATTCTCATCGTCATGTGATAAGAGGAGGTAGTGATTGCCATCTATTGAATATATCGACCTTGACGTCAGAGTTCCTGCGCAGCTTGACGGCGGCCTTGCAGCATCCTATACTCTTGCTGTGGTGATTCAACGTCAACTACACTACCAATACACTGAGCGGAGCGGGATGGGTTTTGTTTTCTGCTTCCCTGCAGCGGGAGCAACAGTATGCTACTGCATGTGGTGATCGTAGTGTTGCAACGATCTCGCATTTTGTGGTCCTCTCGGGCATGCTAAAAATCTTCCAAAAAGCACAACTACAGGCGTGCGATACGCGCAACCATGTTCTAAGTGATCAGAGATACTCCTGTCTGGTGCTGTTCTTTCTAGTATACTTTTACCTGTCAGCGTTTGGTGATGCGTGAGATATGAATTTTTGTAGGTTTGTGGTAGAGCTTTCTAGAAGCAAAAATGGAAGTTTCTTCGAACATCGTAATAGACATGAAGAATACACATAAACCAAGTGCCAACTTTCTTGAACCCATCGAAAAAATCCATGAAATCAATACGGGCAGTATCACAAGCCTTGCACACCCGCTCCACTACGACTTTACAGACTCCACGAATACTCAACACTCGTGTCCCCCACAACATCCACTTACCAACTCGCGCCATGTCAGACTCCACCAATTTCGTCAACCAGGCAACCCCACAGAACTCCCAGGGCCAAGAAGCATCGGAATCGAACAAGACTCCACTACCCCTTCCAGCACCTACAGCAGAAGATGGTGTCACGCAAGTCAATGTTGGTGGTCAAGCGGTAAAGCTAGACCACATGGGCCCTCTGGTAGTCAACAAAGATGGCACCCTGTCGCGAATTTCAAACTGGAATGAAATGGCGGATATTGAGAAGCAGAACACGTTGAGGATCCTAGTCAAGCGGAACCAATTAAGGACAGAAGCTTTGAAGGAGCAACAGGGAGGAGAGGGAGGGGGAGCTTAAATTCATAGGGACGTCACAGATGGAAAGCACATATATCTTGTACGGTAGCCGAATGGTGATGGAGCCTCACATGCACAAATACAATGTTTGTTCTTCTACTATCTACATGCTTTGGTGAGCGACACGAGTCTATGGCTTCTGTGTCTTTGTGTGTGTCATGCGCTCAAAGTAAGACCATTGGCCTTCTGGCGCAGGCTCCTCGAGTGGCTCCCAACTGCGGCATGTTAGTTGTAGTCCAACACTAATGATAGATGTTACTTACACCTTGGCCTCGGTCATGACGTCGACGAGCTTGTGCTCGCCCTCAGCAACCTGAATGACTTCTTCAATCAGGCCCGCGCCAAGTCTGCTCTCAAGGTCGGAGATACTATACAAGTCAGTAATGGAGTCGCCACCAGTTGCGGCTTGGTGAAGACATACGCTTCGGCAGTGTACTGCGGCTCGGGATCAAACTTGATGTCGTTCATTACCCGCTCAGGCGTGTAGTTGACGTCGCCCTTCATCTTCCTCGCATGGGGCAGTCGCTCTTTTGACGAACGAATACCCTCGGGGAAGGTCTCGATCTTCTCTCCGTCCCACTCGGCTGCTTTCGACCGCTCGTCAACCTCAGCCTGGTTTGGGATTACGATGGTTTGTCCGGCTGATGTGTCGAGGACCTGGTATCTGGTTGGGTCATCGCTAACTTGCATGGCGATCTTTTGCTGCCACTCGTCCCATCCCGCCGGCTTGGACTGCTCGATGATGGCAAGACGGTGCTTCGTCAGGGCTTCGGTTGATTGGCGGTATACGGATGATTCGGGAATCTTCTTGAGCTTGTCGAGAGTCGAGTGGTAGTGGTAGAGCAGTGCGGAGCGCGGCGACGGGTGGGTGAGGAGCCCTGTGAGACCCGTGGGAGTGCCGGCCTCAAGGAACTGGCCAGGCTTGACGCTGGCGAGGAGACGTGCAGCTGCCCTCATGTTGGCGGGAGTGTCGAGTGTGGGGTTGGGGCGCAATTGGTGCTTGACGGTGGTGATGCCGTCAGGACGAAGATGCGCCCGCCAAGCGATATGCAGCCGGAGCGGCGATCCCTGGCTAGTAATGTTCAGGGACACGAATGCCCTCACTTGCGTGCGACAACCCCCCGCCACGCCTTGTGATAGCCAGGTTGCGTGTAATTTCTACAAGCCCTAGTCGCATTCACTTCCAAGCCTGATACATAATACCAATCTTATTCCTCTCTAGAGGACCGCTGCCTCGCACGAGCAGCCCGCCCCCTCCGCCGCCGCAACTATGCGCTCCATGATATATACCCTCCTGTCGCTGGCGATGTTTGCTTCCACATTTGCGGCAGAGACCCCGACTGCCCAGGCGACGGCTAAGAAGGATGACTGGGACGACAAGACGCCAGACACGATATTTAATGGCGAGACAGTGCCTCCCATGATAGAACTTGGGCCCAAAACGATAGACACCGAGATCAGCAAAGGCAACTGGTACGCAGGGAGACATCTTCATCCTGGAAATAATGCTAACGACCCCATAGGATAGTCGAGTTCTTCTCCCCCTACTGCAGCCACTGCATGCACTTCAAGCCAACCTACCAAACCACCTACGAGTTCTACTACACCTCGAAACCCTTCCTCTCCAAAGACGAGCCCGAAGGCGACTCCCTAAACTCCTTCACGCGCTACTATGACTTCAAATTTGCCAAGGTTGACTGTGTCGCCTACGCTGATGTCTGCAAAAAGCACAACATTCAGAGCTACCCTACCATGGTCTACTTCCAAGACGGAAAGGAGTCGGAGAGAGAGACGGGCTCCAAAGACATGAAGGGCATGAGCTCCTGGGTTGAGAGGCTCCTGGAGACTCTGCGACCCGGTACACGCAAAGAGGGTGGCCCCAAACTGCCAAAGGCTGGTGCAACATCCGTAGAGACCGGCCCAGACACAGAGGAAGCTGTCAAGGAAGAGAAGAAAGAGGCGGCTCAAGACAAGAAAGAAGATAAGAAAGCTGCGAGCCCGGCCACCAACCTGACCCCATCCGCCACACCCTCTCTCACCAAGACGACCAAGGCCGCTCCCGCAAAGACCGAACCCACCTCGAACGCGAACCCATCTGGCACCGTCGAGCCCCTCACCGCCGAGACGTTTGAGAAACTTGTTACAGACACACGCGATCCCTGGTTCATCAAATTCTACGCGCCATGGTGCCATCACTGCCAGGCTCTTGCGCCGACATGGGCAAACCTCGCGCGCCAGATGAAGGGAAAGCTCAACGTTGGAGAGGTCAACTGCGATGTAGAGAAGAAGTTATGCAAGGCAGCTGGCGTTCGAGGCTACCCAACCATGCTCTTCTTCCAAGGCGGCGAGCGCATCGAGTACTCGGGTCTCCGTGGGCTTGGCGATCTGTTGGATTATGCAGAGAAAGCTTCAGCTGTTGGTGCTGGAGTACGTGACGTAAATGCCGAGGAGTTCAAAAAGATGGAAGAGACTGAAGAGGTCATCTTCACCTATTTCTACGATCACGCGACCACATCCGAGGATTTCCAAGCGCTAGAGCGACTTCCTCTCAGCCTTGTCGGTCGCGCAAAATTGGTCAAGACAAATGACAAGGAGCTGTTTGACCGCTTCAAGATTTCAACATGGCCGAGACTGATGGTGTCAAGAGACGGAAAGCCTACGTACTACCCACCTAGGACACCTTTCGAGATGCGCGATGTCAAGAAGGTCCTTAGCTGGATGAAGTCTGTCTGGCTGCCTATCGTTCCCGAGATGACGTCTTCCAATGCTCGCGAGATTATGGAAGGCAAATTTGTCGTTCTAGGTATACTGAACCGCGACCGTTCCGACGAATTTATCCTCTCTAAGCGTGAGTTGAAGAGCGCAGCAATCGAATGGATCGATAAGCAGGAGACCGCCTTCCAGCTAGAGCGACAGGAGCTCCGCGATGCTAAGCAACTCCGCATTGAAGAGGCTGAAGACAAGGACAATCAGCGAGCACTTAGGGATGCCAAATCTATCCGCATCAACATGGATGACATCCCGCGCACTCAGGTTGGTTTCGCGTGGGTCGACGGTATCTTCTGGGAACGCTGGATCCGGACTACATACGGTGTCGACGTCAAAGATGGCGAGAGCGTTATCATCAACGATGAAGATGTAAGTCACCAAAACCGGCCCTATATGAAACCTGCTAACATACGCAGAACCGCCGTTACTGGGATAGCACCATCTCTGGTGAACCTGTTCGTCTCTCTCGCGCCGCAATCCTTGAGACCATCAAAATGGTCACTTCAAACCCTCCCAAGATCGCGGCCAAGTCTACCACTGGTCGCATTGCTGGTATGTGGCTGTCGATTCGCCACTTTGTCAACAACCACCCTTTCATCTCCCTCGGCATGTTTGTGGGTTTCTTTACTGCGGCTACATTGTTCGGCAACAGCAGACGAAGGAGACAGTTTGGCAGTACCGGCGCGTACTTTCAACTGGGAGAGAAGGACGGGCTACTAGGCAGCATGGGTAATGGCAACTTTGGAGGCGCGAAACATGATTAAGCTTCGAGACAAGATCATAGGATGACCCTTGGGGTTTTGGCGTTCGCTTCGGTGTGTATCATAGCCTTGGTTGCATGGTTTTGGGCGATAACATTTATTCATTCTGCACCATGTATCAATACGACTTGTTGTTATCAGCATGCCTTCGATTCTGACACCCGAAACGTTTTCCCTGCTTATGCCTAGGCGACATCACGACATTTCCAAGCCTTTGACGTGCTGCGTAAAGCCATATTGGAGTCTAGAGCATATACTATGGCATGTCACTTGCAGTTGCCCATTGGGTGGAGAACACACGTGTCTACGCGACGTAGCTCCCCACGCGTACCCCACTACCCCTCCAAACTACTTTCACTCATTCTACGCATTGTGACTCGGGTACACGTACCGCACCTTCTTGATACATCAAAGACACTCGCCCACGATCCTACAAACTTCAATCTGTATTCTCTCAGGATTTTACGCGCAGCAAAACCTGCCCACCAAATCTCTGCTACTGCGCACCCATATCCTTTCTTCATCCGTCCACTACCTCATCCCACCACTCGCACAATGTCGACCATATCTCTCTCAGACTTGGAGTTCATAACCCGTGAATCCCTCGCTAGCGACTTCAAATCATCAGGTTCTGCGTTACCTCCCAACACCGCAGTAGTTGACGTAAGAAAGCCCTTCCTCCAACAAACCTGCCTCAGGAACCACAATACTAACAACTTTTCGCAATCTAGGTACGAGACAGCGATCACGTTGGTGGCCACATCAAAGGCTCAACCTGGGTTCCTTCCTCGCAACTCGACTACAAAACTCCTGAGCTCATCCGCACACTACAAGACAAGGAAGTCGTCATATTCCACTGCGCGTTATCGCAGCAACGGGGACCTAGTGCCGCACTACGATACTTGAGGGAGAAGGAAAGACTGGATCCTGGTTCGGCGATAGAGTCAAAGGGCGAAGTCAAGGAGCAGAGTGAGGCTGTGGAGAAGGAGGGAGAGGGAGAGCAGAAGGGACCTAGTGGTACGCAGATCAAGAAACAAAAGGTTTACGTCCTACAGGGCGGATTCACGATGTGGCAGGAGAAATATGGGCAGGACAAGGATTTGACGGAGGGGTATCAAAAGGATATTTGGGAGTTTGGCACACCGGATCATTAGATGTGAAGAAGTGAACACACACATCAAGGTGAGAGGCCTAGCCGTGATATTCTGTTTGAACTACTCAGCAACGGCTACGGCACTTCCACCCCAGTATCCCCACTATCGAAAACCTACAACATTACATTCTCCACACTCAGCACCCTTTGCTCTTCCCTTGATCTTCAACCAAACCCTTGTAATTCTCCCTTTCGTACTCCATGATAGCCTCCACCTTCTTCGCACTAGCACTGCTCTTGTCGAATCGATATCCCACCCACTCCTTGACTAACCTCCTCGCGAGTTCAATTCCAACAACTCGCTCACCCATGCATAGCACTTGCGCGTCGTTTGACAGAATCGCACGTTCTACTGAGAAGCTATCGTGTGCTGTCACAGCCCTGATACCAGGCACTTTGTTCGCCGAGATGGCCACACCAAGACCGGTGCCGCAGATGAGGACTGCACGGTCTGCTTTGCCCTCTGCGACGAGTTTGGCGGCATCGACGGCGATATGTGGGTACGCTGTCTTGTCGCTGTTTTCAGGGACGCCGACGTCGGTTACAGAGGCAATGCGGGAATCGGCTTCTAGGTCTTTGATGATGGCCTTTTTGTACGAGACGCCCGCATCGTCGCAGCCAATGGCTATGCGGAGAGGTTGCTGGTCCGCTGACATGTTGCTTTTTGGAGAGATCTCAAAGTTCTGAAGTGTCGTACTTTCTCTCGATATTCCTTCTCTTCGTCTTACTAACGACGTTCAACCGACTCTTCTCCCTGTCTTCGTCGTCTGTGTCCTGATTTCGTCTAGAAGTACCACCACTTCGTCTTTCAGTTCTAGTTGTCGAATACGATATTTCTCCTTCCGCGGACTTGACTTTTCTTCCGTCAATAACCTCGTTAACAGCTCGATTAACAGTCTTCTCAAACGGCCTCGTCACGTAACTCAAATCCGTGTGTCCGTGAATGGGTCCTTTGCTTTCCAAGACTTTAACTCTGTCTACACCGTCCTTGTTGTGGTCTTCGACTTTTTGGTATACGTGGTCTGCGTCAGTGTCGAGGTTCAGAGAGAACAAGGCGCGCTTGGGAGGGGCCATTTTGGGCGGGCTGGGTAGACGAGAGTCTTTTATACGATTTGGCAAAAAGGTAATATGCAAGGGCAAGGCGTCTGGGCGGCGATTTCGGATGAATGAGGGGTTAAACAGACGACCCGTGTAGGGAGTGGAATGCTGGAGATGCGGGATGCGGGGATCGGGAGTGCCCAATGCGGTATGCCGATGGGTAGAAGTGTGAGACTTGTGGCCTCGATGCGAGATGGCGACGGGACGAGGTATACCGGTCTCGGGGTTGTGAGGCCGAAGTTTTTTATCTCGGTGGTTGTTCCGAGTGTTGAAAGTGATGGTCGTGGTTTTGGCATTCTAGCATGTTCAATAACTTGTTGGCATGCCAAGATGTGCCAACGGATTACGTCACATTACATTTCAGAATCTACACGCTTTAGCTGGCACTTGATTGATGCTCTCGGATGGTCAAAGCTATCTAAATATCTTGAAATCCATGTGTCGTTTTTCGAATTTCTGTTTTTCCCCTGTCCAACACTATTTCTTCTCTTCGAACAAATCCTTCTCAACCATCTGCCTACAGATTGGGTGGTAGAACTCCTTGTTCTTCTCAAATGTGCTGACAGCCAGATCGCGATCCGCCTCGTTTAACAACCTGAACATGGGTCGCACAAACTTCATACGACCAATCTTGCCTAGCAAAGTCGCTGCTGGCTCGTACGTCTCTTGGGCCTTGGCCATGAGTCCGATACTCAGGTAGCGTGATAGAACTTCAATGTTCTGGGTGTCGTTGTAGCCATACGTTGCGCCTAGCAAGTGTACTTGGTCGGCTGAGAACTTGGAAGCGAAGTTTTGGAGTTTTTCGAGGAAGACAACCGACTGGTTAGATACCCAGCCTCCGATATCTGAGGATTGGGGCTTGAAGTCTCCAGATTCGGAAGAAACCAGGGCTTGCCACTTGTCTGCAAGCTCATAGCAACTCTTCACCATAGTCTGGTCAAAGTCTGGCTTCACAGGATAGCCGGGCGCGTAGAAGAGTTTGTCCCAGTCAAAGTCATCAAGCTTCTTCTTGCTCTCAGCATCCTTCTCGAAGAACTCTATCAGACAGCTCTTGAAGTCATATGAATCGACTGACTTGAACTTGAAGGTGTCGAAGTAGTGTGGGATGAAGGAATCCCACTTGTCCTTTCCGAGAAGCAGTTCAAACTGGTAAAGGGCATGGAAACCTTTCTCGTAAGGGATGGAGGAGAATGCGTCATCTGGGTCTTGGCCCTTGAGATCGAGAACGAGCTTAGTGTAGGGGTGGTCTGCGCCATAGTTCTCGATGCTTTGCTCCAAAGCTTTCCAGCCGATGATAGCAGAGAAATGGCGATGCGCCTCTCCGTGAATGGCAGCAGCGATTCTACGTTCAAGGTAGGTGGTCCAGCCTTCGTTCAGCCAGAAGTGCTCCCAGCTCGCTGCGCTGACAAGATTACCAGACCACGAATGAGACAGCTCGTGTGCGATGACGTCGACGTTTTGCTTGTCACCAGAGATGATGGAAGGAGTAGCGTAGGTCCAGACTGGGTTCTCCATGCCGCCGTACGGGAATGATGGTGGCAGAATGAGTACATTGTATTGTCCCCATTGGTAGGCAGGTGAGACAATCGATTCGAGTGCCTTCATGAAAGGTTCGATCTCGCCGTCAAGTTCATCTTTGCACGCAAGGAGCTCTTCGGGTCCGGACCATACCGTACTGCGGGGGCCAATGCTTGCGCACGCTAGATCTCCACTCGCAACAGCGAAAAGGTACACTGTCATTGGGACCTTTTGTTCAAACGTGTATTTCATGGTACCGCTCTCACCGTCCTTCTTCGCAGGTAGATAGTCACTGGCTCCAGTAGGCAGACCCGAGGCAAGCACCGGTAGCGGCGAGCGTAGGGCAAAGCTGAAAGTTGACTTGACATCCGGAGTATCCTGGCAAGGGAAGACAGATCGTGCATGGATGGCCTGGCATTGCGAAAACATGTACGGGTGCTTTTTGTTCGAGGTTTGAGCTGGCGTCATCCACTGAAGTGCTGTGCACTTATCGGTAGTAGCGACCTTGATCTCAACATCGACGGTCTTGCCTTTGGGAACCTTGGATGGAAGCGTAATGGTAAGAGGACTGCCATAGGGCTCCACACGATCGCCAACGTTGAACTTGACACTTTTACCCTCGACTTCTACGACGGAGATGTCAAGGAAGCTATGCCACAGTTAGTGAGCTGTTCAATCAATTCTGCCACCTTTTGTATCTCAAATACATACCTGCTATCCAATACAACATCTTTCACCTCCTCATCCGTCAGACTCTCCAACGTCAACACTACACTTCCAAACAACCGCTTCTTCTGGAAATCGATATCAAAATCGACACTCGTATGCCTGGTCACAAAGTTGTGATAGTTGGACAAGGTGTTTGGGTCCCTTGGCGTGCGGATCTCAATATTAGGATCCGCCATTGGCTTTGTAACCATAGCGGCGGGGGAGCGATGCATCGTGGCGAACGTTGCTGCTCTCGTAGCTGATGGCGTAGGAGTCTGGTTCGACTTCGTAGCTTGGCAGATGGTTCGTCTCCCACTCAGAGCTTGTTGTAGTGCAAGACGAGCGTTCAGTGCAAGGAATGTTGCAGGTGATCGTGTGGTAAGGTATCGTCGGAGTGGAGTAGACTCATATGCCGATCTATGCCGCAGCAAAGCAGATGACCTGCCTAATGCACTTCTGGCGGACATTTAGGGATCTCGCACCCACAATTTAGATAGATAGAAGAAATGACCCGCACAGTATCTAGGGGACGGCGGTGCCAAGGGTCACCACCTGCGTCTTTCGTTTAGCCCATCATTGATGTGGAGGCGCACGGCCTTCGGCGATCCGACAAGAAACTTGTAGTTCCTCCGGAGTGTCTTCGCAACCAAGCTTTCGAGGGGCAAGGTTAGGCACAGAAATAAAATCATCAAGGCGTCTAGATGAGAACTCCGTACATGTGAAGGATATATTGCAGATGCCCAAAAATGCCCAAATGCTTCGATGCCACAAAGCAAGCTATCATACTATGCATGCATATAGCTATTAATACCGTTGACACCTAATTCAATAATACTGTCTAATCCTTCTTGCTACTGTCGCCCTTTCGTGTCCTGTCTCTCAGGACGAGGTTGATATCTGGTCGTGCTGACTGATATTGCTGTGCTGGTCTTGATACCGAGCGCTCGTTCGTCGATGCAAGCGTCTCTTCCGCCCTCGATCTGCCCCTGTCCCTTTCATCATCTCCTGTCTCAAAAGCATCATCTTGGAGCTCTATGAGATCGCCCAGATCACCGCCGACAGCTCCTACGACAGGCACGGCACTGCGCTTCCCCTGCCCGGGTGTACCTGGCTCATTCAAAAGCTTCTGCGCTTGTGTACCAACTTTTCTCACCCATCCTTCTATAGCACCTCCAAGCTCTTGAAAGTCCAAGCCGCTACCGCTGAGCGGTGTGACAGCACCAGATCCGCCATACTGACTCGACGTCCCGGTACCTGCGTCCAGCAGGCCTGGTGCCCACGGTGTGAAGTATTCCTGACCCGGTGGGGGCGCCATGTTGGGCAGGTACTGACCAAACTTTTTGTTCAGACCGTCCTGCGCAGGCCCAGGGCTCCGCACGTTTCTACCCATTGTACCGACACCTCCTGGGCCGTGCAGACCCCATGCTTTGCCTGATGTGCTCCTTTGGCGGCTGTGGGCCGAGGCAGATGACAGGTTGCTCGACGCACGTGGTCGAACAGACTGCGAGGGAGAGCTGGTATGTGGATTCGTGGACGTGGAGGAGCGCGGAAGGTCGACGGACGCCCGAGGTGTTGATGCGTCGGAGTACGCGAGGGACTTCCGCCGAGCGGGTGGGAAGAAGCCAAGTGCTCTGCGTGGCATGCGGCCGATCTGTGTGGGCTGTTTATCATTAGGGAGGAGCACCCATGAATCATGTTTCCATGGGGTCTCTGCATCAGAGGGGACCGAATTGGTCTCTTGGTCTTTCTTTTTCGACGTGGTCCAGCCATCAGGCAGACCTTGAGTATCTGGAACTGGGGCCTTGCTACTCGAACCATCGCCATACTCTCCCAATAGTAGATCTTCAGCAGGAAGAGCATCCGGGCCCTGAACTGGCCTTCCCTTTACGCCACAAGCATCTACTGGTAGCACCACCTGCTTCTTAAACTGTATGCTGTCGTTCGGCCACATACGATTGGCTTTGCGTAATACAGCTTGCTCGCAGTTGAATTTGATGCTGAGTCCAGCCAGCGTGTCCTGCGGCCGAACGTGGTGGATATATACGAGTGCATCTCGGTCGTCGTTCTCACTGGGAGGTGCGGACGCGCTGAGTCGTTCATCCGAATTCCTGCGCTTTATACGGCCAACAGAGTCGGGAACCAGATGCTCGCCTGCGGTCAACAGGTCTTTCCGCTTCATTGCTCTGACCATGGCCTCTCTTTCTTCGTGTGTTCCAGCCCCAACATGCGAGCCTGCGCCTGCCGGGCCCCATTGTTTCGGTGGTGGTGCGCTCGTAGACGTACGTCGCCCATGGCCCGGTTTCGTGCGCCTGCGAGTGTTTCCGGAGTCGCCTGGGGTGCCGTCGCTAGCCAGGACGGTAGCGGCAATACCCTGGATTGCCGCCAAAGAGTTCCCCCAGAGTCCAGAGAGTGTTTGCGAGGGCGATTTTGGGGTCGAGGTGCCGGAAGATCTCTGGAAGGACGACGACGGGGTGGAAGTGACGTTCAGACGCGAGGAGGAAGCGCCGCCTGTGCGTGCATTTGGGGTAGGAGATGTGTTCCGCGAGGCTAACCTCGACGTGGCCCTGCTCGATCCGCTCTCATTCCCGTCCGTTGCATATATGTCATCTTCTACGGAGATCAATCTTCGGGTTCGTGGGCGCAGTGTCGAGTTGCTCTTGGACGTCGACAGCGAGGAGCCATTGGAGGGGTTCATGGCATGCGGACGCCAGGCGGAGTGGGCAAAGGTGGTGCTGCATAAGCCAAATGATTGGAGTGGTCGGGAAGCCGCATGACATGGGGTTACGGCAACATTGCGTGAACGTCAGGAGCAAGGGCGGAGGCGCAATGGAGAGGTGGATGCTCGGATATCGTGAGGGTTCAATAGCTGGGGCAGGAAGCTACGTAACCCCGAGTGCTACCCCTTCAGTCAAGCACGGCCGTGCACTGTGCCGCCGAACCGTCAGAACATGCGATGCCAAGTCACCTAGGCACCATAAAGAAGTCTCACGATAGATTAATATGGATTGTGTACGTAAGTAGTGCACTTTCATCGACTTTCACCGCCCCTCCCGTGGCTGCTCAAACCGCCTCGTGACGATAAGGACAGATAACGATTAGCTTTCACTTCCTGAATCAGGCCGATCACCTAGCGATCTTGGAGGGAACAGGTACTATTCGATGCTCTGAACTACAGACGGTACAGTTTACGCACCACTAAAGAATCTTTGCTCGACATCTGCCAGCTACGAACAGCGCGCATGTACGCGAATAAGCGCCATACGATTCTGTATAACACACGTGGATATATCATCAGTCATCACAATCACAATCGGGATAGCAAAAAGCAAAAAATAAGCTGTAGAACAGAACGAGTCTTCACATCCGCTGGCCTGACCGTCATCGGAAAGGACTTGAGCTCGTCGTCGCATCCACCTCTTCAAATTCCAGCTCAAAAGCATCCACTTCCTCAAACTTCTTTCTGATAGCAGCCAACTTCTCCGAGTGCTCGATTGCCGAGACTTCAGTATTGTCTGCTTCGTTCTGGACCGCAGTCTCGTTTTCCTTGTCCGATGATATCCTGCGACTGTATGTTCTGCCCGACTTTTGCGCTACTTTAGCGGGTGCACCCTTTTTCGGGCGAGCTGCTTTCTTTGTCGCTGCCTTTGGCGATACTAACTTTGTAGTCCCTTGCTTTTGGCGAACACGACGTGCTGGCATTTGTAGCTCATCTTGATCCGAGTCCACAGGTTCGACATCGTCTGAAGACTCAATGTCGAATTCATCCCGGTCCCGCAGGCGGTTCCGTCGACGTGGTAATAGGGCTTTGAGTTGCGCAACAGATATAGTTTGCTCTGCTTTCTTTTTAGTCCTCTGCTTAGCTCTCGCAGGTGTCTCCGTCTCCTCGCCTTCTGAGTCTTCATCCACGACGGGCGTCTTAGCTTGTCGTCCTCTTCGGCGCGGTCGCGTCTGCGCTGGTGTTTGAGGCGGCTTCGAGACTTCCCGTATCGGACTACTCGATATGGGGGGCGCAAGTGTCTCGCTTAGTGGCTCCTCATCCTCTTGTGTTTGCTCGATCATCTCCTCGCGTGATGCAACTACTTCTGGCAGGCTCGGGGAAGGTGATCGCTCTGACTCGACATCTTCGCCAGACTGTGGACTCGCTGGTGGTGACGAGCGTGGCACTTGGACTACAGACGAGAACTTGCGCTTTGTGCCACGGGAACCAGAGCTTGAGATCTGAGTGCCGCTATCATTCCGAATCTCCTGCTCCGGTGCCTGCTTCCGTACGTTAAGGGGTGTGGACTCGGCATGCGGAAGGAAATCGTCAAAGTCAAAGTTGTCGGTGTTATCTAGGTCGTCTTGATCGTTGTCCTCCACATCGGTAGTCTGTTGTACCTGGCGCAACAAACTTGGCTGCCGGGGTCTTCGCCTGAAGTTGCTCAAGGCCAGTATCGATCTCTCGTGTGCGGGTGTTGCACCGATCTTGATGGCTGACGGTGGGCGCGTGCCGTGGGCTGGGGAATCAGAACCGAGAGATGAGAATGTCAGATCGCCATAGCCGCTATCTTCTTCTATGTGCGATTCTTCGTGTACTTGAGCAACTGCAGCCAGTGGTGACGAATGCGCGATCGATTTCCTCGCACTGCTTCTTGTGGCGCGCATCTGCTTTGATGCATTTGATGCTGGAGTTCGGGTCTTGGTAGCTGATAAAGATGTGTTCTCTTCAGCCGGTAGCGCGCCGGTCATGGTGAGCTCTGGCTCGTCATGGACCTCCGGTGTCTTCTCCCGTGGCATTTTCCTATGCGAACGCGTTGATCTGGTTCTTGTGACAAGGCCATCGCTGTCTTCGCTGAAGCTATTGGCAGCTTTGCTGACCTTGGTTTGCGCTGGGGTGGGCTTCGCTGGCTGCTTGGGCGCGGGGGCGTCTTTCGGCTTGGTGGGTTTCGCGACGCGCGACGCGACTTTTGAGCGTGGGGGACGAGGCATTGTCGCAATTCGTCCGCGTGATTATTTTGGGAGGTTCAGAATTGTGTAAAGGCGAACGAATGTGGTCGCGATTGGGATGAAGTGGGCAGCGACCGTGCGACAGCAATGGGGATGAGGCGCGTCGATGTTGTGACGCACTGGATTGAATTCACTACCTAGCGTCGATCTAGACGCGCGAACTCTTGGCTCACGTGGTGCACCATCCCATACGTCAGCTCAAATGGTAGCAGCGCACCTAGGGGGGAGCGCGATGTGTTTTTCTGTCCTTCTCTCATGAGCGCATCCGAACTAGCGGTGTCTTGGTCCTATCAGAGGCTGATGTTTTGGTGAGGCCGCACTCAAGGCAGCGACAATTGCAGCGTATATAGCTGCCTTCATAGTCTGAGAAATCAAGTTGCAACTTCAATCCTTCCGTCTCAACTTCTACCTTATTATTGCTATGGATACGGTCAACTTTCCAGATTCTTTGCAAGAGTTTGCAGTGTCTGAAGCAGCCTATCTTCGCCAACACCCCGAGTATGACTGTTTGGTCACGGGTTCAATTGTGTTCGACGAGGAAGGGAAGCTACTGCTAGTACAGCGTGCAGCGGAGGAAAGAGCATTTCCTGATCTCTGGGTGAGCCGACGAGGAAGTCATGACTGTCCTAGAACTAATACTATATAGGAGATACCAGGGGGCAAAGTTGACGATAGCGACCAGACGATTCTACATGCTGCTGCTCGAGAGCTGAAAGAAGAAGCTGGTCTTGACACGATTCGGATACTGAAGAAAGTCACGCATTTTATCTTCGTGGATGAGAAGCCTGGCCGACGAACAACGACATGGCTCAAGCTGGTGTTTGAAATGTCGGTGCAAAGCGCAGATAATGTTGTGTTGGATCCAACTGAGCATCAGAAGTTCTTATTCGCTTCTGAAGATGAAGTTGTTCGTGACCAGGTCGGCGATGTGAAGCTCAGATACATCAGTCCTGCGAACAAGGATGTCAAATTGGAGGCTTTCAAGCAAAGACGTGGAGAAGGATGCGCGTGACAGGCGTGGGCGATCAATGGAGCATGATATGTTGTCTCGCTTTACTGCATTTGAAACTGGCGACTGCCACCAATAGGAGACGACCCATATTGACGGCGACGCGACCTGGGGTAAGTAGGCTGAAGGATCACGATTCTACCTAGCAACAAAGAAGAGATCAATGACGCCAATGTGACCTGGCATGGAAGCAGCTCAGCTTATGTAATTGTGTAACATCGAGCCTCTGGGAAATTGTACTTGTCAAGCAGGAAAAAGCACTGTTTCGTGTGTCGCAAAGGTAATCACTGCCTTGCCGTAGCCTCCCGTACCCGGCGCCCGCGCTAGTTCACACTGTGTGTGCCCCAAGAACACGACCAGTTGCGGACGAATCACAACCTCAACCCTCGACGACCGCGCCAGAGAGCTCAGCGACAGCAGCATGTCGGGCGAACACTCTTTCATGGCCAGTTCAGTGGCCACAGCAGCAGCGCCTCCACCGCTCGCTGCGCAACCCAGCATTGGGACTCCGTAGGTTACAGTGCTGCGCGCAGGACCTCTTGCACATGCTCATACAAGCCAGGCCGTCGGCGTCGTCGCAGTCAGTTCCCCCTGGGCACCCATCCTTCAGGCGACAACGCGCTAGCAGAGCGTGCGAAAGTGAGTGCGACCCATGTTTGCGCAGCATTTCCCCTGATTTCATGTACGAGAGAGGATCCGTCGACGTCGGTGGGATATATGGTCAACACGACGAGCCTCGGCACCTCGGTCAACCTGAAGAAACGGAACGATTCGACGAACGTTTGCTAACCACGACGCAAAACAGCCTGCCACGCAAGGAAAGTGAGTAATCAGCCGCGGCACCGCATCATCGTCGTCGTCGGGACACCACGTAACAGCGCAATAGGTACGATGCGACGCCGCCTCACTGGGAATCCCGTGCACCAACTGCACCGCCTTCGGCATCGAGTGCCGCATCCCCCAGCCCAAGCGCAAGAAGACGCAGACAGCCAGGGCCAAAGACGCCGATAGGTACGGCCAGACGACTTCACTGGTCAAGGTATAGTGCTGACGCGACGGCAGTGACCGAGGAGATAGCGACGACCGCTCACCAGCCAGCACTTCAGTCGAGCCGCGCGAGAAGTCGGCCGTATACAACTCCCAAGATGGAACACCCTCGACTACCGTCTCGCCCGAATACGCTGCCCAGCAAGCTACTCACAATGGCACCTATGTGCAATTCATGAAGCCCAAGTTTGCGCGTGCCCCCATTAAAGAAGCCGGCCGTGTCGCATACCTTGGAGAATCATCCAACCTTTCACTGCTCGTACACGACCGCTATGGCACCACCGATGTTGTCCATTATCCGCTTCCAGAAAACGTGCGGGGTGCGAAGGCGCGGGTCAACGAGATGGACAACATGGAGATAGAGATACTGCACCAGCGAGGTGCCTTCCTGCTCCCGCCACGGGCGCTGTGCGACGAACTCGTTGAAGCCTTCTTCAGATGGGTGGCCCCAGTCGTGCCAGTCATCAATCGCAGCCGCTTCATGCGCCAGTACCGAGATCCGAAGAACCCGCCCTCGCTCCTCTTGTTACAGGCCATTCTCCTGGCAGGCTCACGAGTGTGTACCAATGCGCAGTTGATGGACTCCAGTGGCTCAACAACCCCCGCAGCCATGACCTTCTACAAGCGCGCAAAGGCCTTGTACGATGCTAACTTCGAGGATGATCGCGTAACCATTGTGCAAGCACTCATCTTGATGGGCTGGTACTGGGAGGGGCCCGAGGATGTAACCAAGAACGTCTTCTACTGGACCCGAGTGGCTATTGTTGTAGCTCAAGGCTCAGGGATGCACCGTAGCGTCGAAGGTTCACAGCTGACACGCTCCGACAAGCGTTTGTGGAAGCGTATCTGGTGGACACTGTACAGTCGAGACCGTTCAGTGGCAGTAGCACTAGGCAGACCGGTTGCCATTGACCCTGAGGACTCTGACGTCGAAATGGTGTCTGAAGACGACTTCATCGATGACGAGACAGACCATGCTGCAGAGTACCCTCCAGATCCCATCCATGTCCAGTTCTTCATCAACTACGTCAAACTTAGCGAGATCATGGGCCTGGTCCTATCGCAACAATACTCAGTGGCGTCCAAACACCGCAGAGCGAATGCTATAGATCTTACCCACAGTGACATGGCGCTTGCGGACTGGCTGCAACACTGCCCACCAGAAGTGCAGTGGGAGCGTAACCGCCACCACTTCTGGGCTGCCCTATTACACTCGAATTACTAGTAAGTTACTCGCGACCCAATTTTGACTCACACTTACCCTCGCAGCACCACCCTATGTCTTCTACATCGCGCACATATGCCACCGGCAGGCTCGCCAAAGGCCAGTCATTTGGACGGATTTGGTGAGGCTAATGCATACCCGTCACGGAATATCGCATACCAAGCGGCTGCTATGATTACATCCATCATTGAAAATCTCCGTGCTCATGATGAGATACGGTACACTCCCGCATTCATCGTGTACAGCTTGTTCTCCGCCCTCATCATGCACGTCTACCAGATGAAGTCGTCGAACAAGTCCGTCGTCTCGGCGACGGAGCAACGCCTTCAAATTTGCTTAGACGCTCTTAAAGAGGTCTCCAAGGTCTGGCTCGTTGCAAAGATGGTGCACACACTTTTTGAATCGATTCTTGGCAACAAACATCTTGAAGAGCGCCTACAGAAGGCTGCCGGTCGCAATCACAAGAAGAACAAAGTTCCTTCGGTTCCACCACCACCTCCTCCAAAACCTGCCCAAGAGTCGTCAAAACGAAAGTTCGATGATATGGACCTGGGCTTCCCTGTTCCTAGTGGACCCCCGGCTGCTCAAGTTTCCTATGAGCGATCAAGACCGCAGACTCCGGCCGTCACGCCGTCGCGCGAGTTACAACCCCAACAACAGATGCCCCAGATGACTACTGGATCTCCGCAGATGAACCGGCAGAATCACGATGCATTCATGGGCCCTTCACGGTCGGGAACACGCCCGACGACGCCATTCAACCCATCATACTCGTACCCTGGAACACCACCCGACCTCTTCCTGGTTACCCGTGATACTCCTAATATCAGTCAAGAAGTATGGCAAAACTTCCAACCCGACCAGCTATTCCCAGCCGACACACAAGTCAACTTCCCACAAATGTCGCCCATGCAAAGTCATAGTCTCGTCGACCCGGCGTTGAGCCAGCCGCAGAACATGCCCATGCCCTCACAACAGACTGCTGGGGGTCAACCACAGATGCAAAATCCACCATCGAACACGGGCATTTCTGGCGGTTACGAACATAATAACACTCAGTCCTGGCAGCAACAGATGGAGATGATGTCACAAAACCAGCAACAACATAGCGCACAGGATGATGCTTGGAGTCAGAGTTCCGGAGGTCGACCTAATCCTATTGTGCCGATGAGTCTAAATGTTGACGATTGGTAAGTCATAAACTTAATCATGTTCCGACCTATCGACTAACTTCTTGACCTAGGTTCAACTTCTTCGGTATCAACGGTGAGGCCGATATGTCGCACCTGTTCCAGCAAGGCCCAGCTTAGGCTCACAAGTCTATTAGCGTGATTGCTTTACTTGTTTTGTTATCGATCTCTATTCAGCGGAATAAGCATATCAGCGGCGTCGATCAAGTCGTTACATAGGTTTCTGTTTTCAATGTTCAAAAGTTCCAAGGAATGGATGGACGGGCATGCTACGGGACAGCATCTTTCAGCTTCAGTGCTAAATCATCATCCATTTCACCATAAGCTACCATAGTTGCAAAAAGATAAAGCATATTGAGAGACTCAACAGTATATCTGAAAATATGTATGCACTTCTCATATTAAGTTGCGACGCTGGTGTTCATTCGAGAATCCACCAGAGTTTGTGTAATCAATGCGCGATTGGATCTCTGCCACGGGTAAGTAAGGGAAAGGGTAAGTGATCTGCGTCAACGCTATTTCTACTCTATACGTCGTCATTACAGGTGCAATCATGCGACGCGGCTGCACAGTCTCTATGCTCAGCCAGTGTTCACTCGTCAACCGCGACGGAAGATCCCCCGCATTGTGAGCTAACCCTTTGTAGGATCTAGCGCCACTTCACTTTCGGGAACCTCCAGACGCGAGACTGATACAACAACACCGTGAGCTAGACATACGCCAGCCCACAAAAGTCAAGGAAACACTCTATCGCTAGGTCCGTACTCACTCTTCCCCTGCAAGCCCACCAAATTCATTCCTTTTCCCGGCCGCATAAACCCTAAAGTTCGACCGAAATCGCACCACGCCGCACATCGCAACGAAGCTACCCACGACTGCGCTTTCGAAGTCGCCCAAAGAACAGACCCACAACCATCACTATTCCTCTACGTGGCCATATTTACTGCGCGCCTTCCTCAACCGCCTTAACTTCAGCCTTGTCGCTTACTCCGGAGACCACGTACCTACTTGCGAATTAGACAATACTAACCTCACCCCTCTTATAGGCTAGGGCGCACCATTTCTACGAAGCATACGCGCGAACATGTTCCAAACGCAGCAGAACCCGGGCCGCGGTGCCCCATTAGGTGCGAATAGGTTGCAGAATGGCAAGATGGGTGAGAATACTCCTAGTGTGGTTGTAGGGCATATCGCTGACTGCTGTTTGTGTAGGTGGCGCATCTCAATGGGGATTCGGAGCCCCCATGGGCGCGCCAGGCTTGCCAAACACCCAAACACGAACAAACAGCGGAGCCATGTCAAGCTTTGCGCAAGCAATGGGCGGCTCGCAGCCTCATACGCCATTGAATCTTGAGTAAGTGACCACGTAAGATGGCAAAAAAGCAAGGAGATAGCCCGGAGGGCAGGCATGAATCTCAGAAGTCCCCTTCAGAGAAATCGCAAAGACACAAGCTAGATATTAACGATCTCAGGGAGTTCCCTTCGCTATCGGGCGCACCGCAAGCGCAACAGAACACGACCGCGCAACAGATGTGGGCGAACCCTACGATACGAGCGGCACAACAAAACCAGCAGAACACGATCGGACGTCCACAGGGCCAAGGACAACAGCAAGGGCAAGGTCAAGCTGCACAAGCTGCAAACCAACAACAGCAGAACCAGGGACAGGATGATTCATCCCAAAGTCAGTTTTCTGGTGCTGGCGATGACTATCGATTTGGGGGACAAGGGGGTGTAGGACAACTGGGGGGTGTCCAACCGCAGACGAGCAACGTGGAGGAATTTCCACCGTTGGGTGGCGCTGGCGGAGATATTCCACAAGACCGAAGAGCTGGCCTGATACAGAATGCTGCGGCTTTTGGAGCCAACGGAAACAACGCCTTCCCTGGCCTTGGACAGACACGGAATGGCCTTTCGAGCCCCACAGATAGCCAGCAAGACCGGAGCATCAACCCCACTGTAGGTGGCAGGGCGCTACCTGGCACAGCATCACGGACGCCCTTTGAGAACATGCGGACAAGCAACCAAGCAGATGGGAACCAACGGATAGGACAGTCAGGGAACATGTTTTCTTTAGGTCCTCAGATGGGTATGCGAGGTGGTGCAGATCTTGCCCCCGGAGGACAGCGACCACAGCAAAACCAGTTCGATCAAACGTTTGGAGCAGAGGTTCTCGGCTCCCCCAACGCTCAAAATATGCTGCACAAGAAGTTGTCGGACATGACAGACTCAGAACGATACGGACTGCCTGGCTTGTTGGCGATGATACCTATGGAAAGCCCTGACTACTCTTCGCTGGCTATGGGTCAAGACCTGACAGTCCTGGGCCTGGACCTGAGTCGACCAGAGTAAGCACCACAGATTCTGGTACGTCTTCACTGCTAACATTCCTCTTAGCAACTCACCATTACACCCCACTTTTGGTTCACCGTTCGTGGAGTCCAACGTCAAGCCAGTGATACCACCAGATTTCACTCTACCCGCAGCATACACTGTTACGAACGTTCCGCCGCTACATTCGAAAATGGCCAGCTTCTCTGCGGAGACACTGCTAGCCATCTTCTATCAGTTCCCGCGAGACATCCTGCAAGAAATTGCTGCACAAGAACTGTACAACCGTGACTGGCGGTGGCATATGAAGCTCCAGCAATGGATGATGAAGGACCCAGATCTTGCGGCGCCCATGAGACTGTCACCAAAAGAAGAGCATGGCTGGTACCTATTCTTCGATGTCAAGAACTGGAGGAGAGAAAGGGTATGTATTCTGAACCGCATATATATACTCTTTGCCAAATGCCAATCGCTAACATGAGTTCAGAAAGAGTTTGACCTTAACTACGATCACCTTGATCAGCGTCATGGTAGCCCTGCTATGGCGGGACAAATGTAGTGCATTAATCCAAAGAAGGAGCCTTCTGCTCGGTTCTCCGCTCGGAGAACATGATCACGATCTTGTCTTCATATTGAGTGGTAAATCCAAGGGATCAGCAATCACAAAGGTGTGCAATAGTTGGCCGTGACTCCGAGGGGCAACCGTACAATAGAGTCTCCCGAGGGTCTTTCGCCTAACGTTTATGACACTTTGCGAGTCTGCGCTAACATGCATGCGGCTGTGAGGTAAACTGATTCACTATCGCCATTTGACCTGGTCGTACCTTCTCTCACTTGTCTGCCGTGACTTCGCAACAGCCTCACCGCCTTCCTTTTCTGTACCCTTGTTCATACGTGAATACTTCACACGGGAAGCTCCTTCCTTACTCACCACCAGTCTCCACCGTAGTAGCCTTCACAAATTGTTCACTCTACGGGACTTACTACTCTGAAGACTGCTACCGCTACACCTTTCAGGCTTCAAGACTAACACTCAGACTAACAAATAGCAGCCAGACGTTATGTCCTCACCAAAATCGACCGATGCTGACCATGTCCGACAGACTTTGATGAAGCTCTCTGTTGCCGTTCGCGAGACGACACCTGCTGGCGCGAAACAGGTGTCGCACGCGCCCAATTTATTGGCTCGTCCTGTATACGGTGGCTGTCGCGTCTGTGGTCTTCCTGGTCATCAGTCTGCTGATGTTCAACATCCGGCCGCATGTCGAGTCGCTCTGCTCTCGCTGATCGGCTTCTGGGAGGTCGTCGCAGACCACACATCTTTCCTGTACCAGTATTCCGAACGCTTTCAGAAGGCTATCCAAGCCAACGAGCCGACCTATGCGATGCGTTTCGATAATCGTCCGCTCAAGGGTGGTGACATGGAGGCTGTGCTTGTAGATCGCCTGACGGGAAACTTTCTCAAGTTTCTGGCGCATGTTCGGGGTATCCGAGCCAAGGTTAATGTGGTGCTCGACGAAGAGGGTATAGGCAGGTACGAGCGCGTGGCCAAGAACTTGGAGGGGTTCTTCCTGGGTGGGCTGACCTGTAAGCCTTTGCACGAACATTCAGAGAAAGACGTTTACTAATTCTTCCGTAGTGTCCAACCTCTACGAGCGCAGTATGGCGATGGAAGAGTGAGGAAGTCTTGTCATACCTGGATGGTCGATTGACTACCCTTCATGATTGTCATGGGCAGGACCTAAACGTACCATCGAGCATTCTCAAATGAATGTTTTCTTAGGATGTGGCTCAACAACTCTGTCCTCAAGCTAATTTCCATCAACTTCACCATCTTCAGAGAATAATGACAACTTTATAAAACCAAGACTGATAATTCAATTACATCATCTATAGTGGTGAGTGAGAAACTCATCTGAACGTCATTAGAGACAAATCAGCATCCTACGAATGCATGTGATTTAGCGTTAGACTAACACGACTGCTTCGGCAAGTGCAGTTCTCCGAAACCTCCAACACCTCCTTCAGTACGCGCAAGTCAGCGGCGCAAGGTTTTCACGATGATCTCCGTCGAATCATAGTTGTACGGGCGTCAGGCCAAGGAGATGCGTTCTCCGCCATCGTGCGTTCCTCATAACACGTTCATTGGTACACGATCGAGGGTGCCACGGTACGCTCTCTCCGCAACCCATAATCGGTCACGATGCCTGATCAACAATCGCTGTACCTTCCATATCTGACCCGTTCCAGAACAACTGTATCTCGCAGAGGCTTCCACTGCTCTTCCGATAGGAAGATTCTCGTCCGAAGCATTTGACTCTCTCCAGTCTTCCCGGATCTCACATCACTTGACCCTCAACCACCCTCGCATCGGCAAATCTTTATGGGCTATCCAATCCTACGCGGTCAGTGTGAAACCACGTGTTGAGGAAAAGAAGACCATTTAGTTATGATCATGAATGTGGGATCCGATGACGGCAGCGCAAGGAGCGACGATGCGACGCAGGGTCTTCTGCTGCAGTACCAGGTTCACACCTTAGTTGAACCCCACTCAGCGACGGTAACAAGACCTCGAAGAGGTTGATTGGTCTTCCTCAACCCTGATCAGCCCTTATAGCCTATAGGTGCTGTGGTTTCGCTCTTCGGCTACGGGCAAATGGTTGACAATACTGCGGGCACAATGAACCCTTCACTTGCCTGATACGACCTTTGGAGTACATGATGCTCTTTGACGTAGGGAGTCTTTCCTGAGTTTTCTTATCAAGATGCGATTTCCCCACTGTTTTCCAGCAAGAACATATCGATATGGAAGCGGGAAACGGTACCATCATGGCATACCCGTTGGGTCACGACAAGGCCACGGAAATATTACTCAAAGCCTTTCGGGAACTAAGACAAGATGAAACTGGGTATGTAAATAAGCTGCATAGCCAAGCTTTACTGATATCTTTGTGGGAACAGAGACGGCATAGGGGTTGCAGTGACAGACGTGGAAAATGTCCTACCTCTAGAACATACCCGAATCCTTGAGGGCAGACATGTTTCTGGAAACTCAGCTCGATCATCCTTACTGTCGGGAAAGACATCTAGATACGTCCAACTGTCCGCGTCAGAACAAGAAACGAATACTTCGACGTACGATGATACGGCCGTATCAGAATCGCTAAAGGATTCGACAGTACTGAAGTCTCATTCCACGGATGTGACCGACATTACACACCGGGCCGATGCTCTTACTTTGACTCGCCCTAGGCCCTGGTCAAGTCTGTCGCATAGTAAGCTCACTGCGGCCATCGACCATGAGCCACCAACGTACCATCCAACAAGTCTACCTCTAGAAGGAACCCTTCCGGTGATCAGCAGTGTTGAAACTGAAGACGTCATTACAAGAGATGATACAGTCACCAGTATCCCGAACACGTCGCTGCGTCTGTCATCATCACGCACATCAACAATCTGCTCGGCTGTATCAGCAAGATCATATCAAGAGCCCGGGCCTATCCAAATCAATCCATCTGCTCAACTCCAGAGTATGCAATCTATTAGTAAGCTAGATGCAAGACTTAATGAAATCACTAGTTCATATAGGCCTTGGAGTACGTTACGGCACGGTCGTACAAGCAACCAGGCTGTCTATATACCTACCGGCACATCAGAGTCTATAACCAATATACCATTCAAAGCTGATCTCTTTGAATCTCACTCGAGATCGAATAATAGTATCCTTTCTCCATACGCCGATGGAGCCCACAAACACCAATGGGCGAAATCGAGTGAATGGGTTGAGCCCTGTATTATTAACGACGGACCAAAAGAATGGATCGAAGACTTCCTCACACGCCAGGAGCAAGCAGATCGCGATGAGGAAAATGAGAGGCAGCTCCAAGAGAAACAAGACAAGCAATACGGTAGTATCCGCTATCGAGTGAATAGTGCCGACAAGTTTAGGCGCAGGCTGAGCAAGAAGCGTGTATCTGGAGAGCGGGGAAGTTTCGAGGCCAGGCAGGAAAGGAAGAACGGAAATGGTCTCAACATTGATTTAGGCCCAACTCCTTTCAGGCAGACATCGGATTCAACACCTGGAGAGGATCTGGATGGGCCAGCGAGAGCGAGAGCTTTCTCGTGGACTCCTGATACGCACCAATCTCCCATATCTCTGACTGCTCTACCGGACCGATCATCTTGGACGCCCACATCATCATCCCCATTGCACCGTACACATGCTGCAGACAGGCTGCATATGTCATTACCGTCACACCACCCTTCTAGGCGGAAGTTTTCCAACAGTTCTTTCGCGCCGAGCCACCATCGTTCGACTTCCGCTCTAAAACGAGCAGCGACGAGACAACATTCCACCGCTCATTTGAGAACCAGCAGCTGGGAGAATTTGAGAGTCAAGAAGATCACTTCGATAGGTTCAGGATTGAAGAGAACACTCTCCACGGGGTTTGTGCCTGCGATTACAGAAGGAAAAGACAGTATGAAGGGCTTAGTGGGAAGAGTGGAGAAATTCGGTGAGAGTGTGACCAGAAAGCTTAGCGCAAGCTGCAAGGGGAAATGGAAGGGCTTGGGCAGGAAGAAGAAAAGCATGAACGTTGGAGGGATGTATATCATTGGGAGAGAGTGCTGAGATTTATTTCGAGGTAGTGATAGCATCAAGATCAGGATTAGCATCTCCACTCTCGTTCTGCGGACCAATGCATTGATCGGCACACTCTCGCCTGTTGAAAATAATGGCTTTCTAGAATTGTAACAGATTCTATCACACTCGCTATGCCCATTCCACGGCTTGTTCCCTACTATGCAAGTCATATCTAGATAAGAGACTGGTCTTCTATCATCTCGGAGTTCGTATCGAGTCGTGCTGCTCGATAGACATGAATGATGATTGACTCTAGCGTCCCGATCATGTTTGCTTGAAGCTGTGAGACAATATACTAATTGAAGTCACTGGATACTCGTTGCTCCATAATAGAATCATAATGCTGTGTGTACTAGAGACGAATCGCTACCGAGCCACGATAGTGTTCGGTCTGCTCTCATACCCCGGATCGAGTCGGGCCGGATCAGAATGGGCCAATTCTGACAGAAACCTCGTCACCACTACCCCTGACCCACGAATACTTTGACCCTCTACCTGAATCTGATAATTTCCCTAGAAAAAAATGCAGGAAACGATGTGTCAGATACCGGTGCTTCGGCTTAAGACACACAGGCAGACGGTACCCCTCAGTACCGACTTATTGGTTCTGCTCGACGCTGATACTCTTATTTACCGCTCCATTGGTTAGAGGACCTCTCAGAAGTTGTTGGCTGATGGTAGATAGGTGCTTCTTTTAGGTTGGTTGGTCATTGTGAGCCAACATTGAGACTGCACACAAAATGTATCTCCGGTTCTCCTGCGTCATTCGATATTCTTCTTTGATCTCCTTCAGTGTCACTATCCGGGACTGCCATCGATTTAAAAGCCGTCTCATACTCTAGGATGCAAGCAGGATAAATCTAGATTCTATCAAGAAGCGGAAACGATGCCGCAGTACTTCCCGACGGTCCCTTATCAACCTCTTCAGCCGTCAACCCCCCATCGTGGCTTCAAAGCGTATTTTCTGAACAACCACCCTGTCCTCTATACAAAGCTCCGTACGTTTAGCACAACTTATATGCATCCCTCTCTTTGTTCGCACACTGTTTCAGCAATATATCCTTGGCCGTATGTTGTAGCATCCACTTTCCGAGCAACATATCCGATACTCACTGACGATGTACCAGTCTCGACGCTATCCTACTCCCAAGACGCAGACCTTACGAAACCCCTTTGGATCGAATATACGTAATGTACCACTACCTCATCCGTGGTGACTACGAAGTCCTCCGCAACGAAGTCCAGGACTTCTTCGACCACAAGCACTGGCATGTCCAATCCATTCCCGACCCTCGGGATCACGATCCAGAACGTTATGCCATCCTAGCAGCCATAACGGAATATCTTGCACATGGTATCAATCGGCGTATCATGATTTCTCAGGGCTATCGGAAGGATCCAATAGGTCCGTGGCGGACGGTGGCCTACCACTTTTTCCATGGTACCAAGGGCTATCTGCCGATTCTTGAGAAGCTAGATAAGGCGCCGAAGTGGGCAGGAAGGGTCAAAATGGTGGAGAGTAGGCTGGAAATCTGTCAGGGTTGGACAAGTGAGGTCTGGGGTGAGAAGAGTAGTTTGAAGTTTGCGGCGAAGGGAATTGTGTGCACTGAGATCGTGGAGTGCTTCATTTGATGATGAGTAGACGAGTAGGATACATCATGTGAGTGTTGTGTGTGTACTTCACATTGGCATTGTTTAACTAGCTAGGAGTTCCTATCAAGTTTCCAATGGATCGCATCATCACGAGCCTCTATACCCCTACACAGCTTCGTCCTCGATCTCCAAATCTCCTACCTTGAACTTCTTTCCCTTCTTATCCGCGTAATCCGTATGATCGTGGTAGTCCTTCACCCTCTCTCTCACATATTCCAACCCCCTCACCGGCTTCTTGTGGGCCGCATCATCGCCAACAAGACCCAATCTCCTCAGTAGCGGCGACGCCACTGGCTTGATATCCACATCGTTTCCTGGTCGAACAAAGTAAAACAAGCCCAGTCGGTGGATGTAGGCTTGATCCTCTGGCGGTCTAATAACCCGATGGATAGTTGACTTTAGATAGCCTGCCGACCAAAAGGACAAAGTATCGCCAACGTTACAAACTATGCCGTTGGGTACAGGTGGGACGTACTTCCATTCTCCAGTCGGCGTTTTGAGTTGTAGACCAGCAACATCTTGGCTCCACAGTAGAGTCAAACTTCCAAAATCCGTGTGCGCGCGAGACCAGGTATTTTGAACCTTGGCGTCGTCGGCGGCAGGACGGGGGTGGTAAATCATGTAGCGGAGATGGTCTTCTGACGGATCGTCGTAGCGATGTTGGTCAGAGAAGTAATTTTCTGGTAGTTCTAGTATCAAGGAGAAGAGCTTGAAAATCTTCGAAGCGATGTCCAGAGATCGACGGGAAAAGTCCTCAATCTCGGACCGGAACGAATGCAAGAATGGGTGGAATGGTTCGTGAAAGTTTGAAGGAATGAATTTAGGTATGTTGATCGATTCGACATTATCGAGAACGGTTGTACCCATTATCTTCTTCTCGTTTGCCTTTTTCTCGCGTTAGTGTGCACATACTGCTGTCGCGCTTGCTGTTTAGATGGAGATACCTACAGCGCGGTACCCGAAATAGTTTCCATTTGCGAAATCACATCGGTACTCTGGGTCGCCCTTCTCCTCCAATGGCAAGTTGAAGTAAGCTTGACCGATGTCATATTGCCGATCAATTTCTTCTTGGGTGAAGCCAGTACCAGTGACGCTGAAGAAACCTGTGTGGTGTACCTCCGTGCTCGTCAGGATATAGGCTCATTGTACAATGTCTGTTAACTTACAGCGTCTCTTAATTCTTTAGCCAATTTCTGTTTCCCATTAGGCTCGTCGAATGTGGATAGATCGATGATCTTAATGTCTGCCCAGTTCAAGTCTTCGCTCGTGTGCTGGGGTCGCTTCCACTTCGCGATAGATGGTGGTTCTTGCGGCACCGCTGACGGCATGTTGTTGGTGGGAGTAGCGGGATTTGAGGTTTGTGAGCATGATATTTACGCCTATATGTATTCGACGAAGTTATCCCCGGTTCTTTCTGGCCTATCATAGTTGTTTGTATTCCCTGACAGAGATGCGGAGGTGGCGAGCACGCAATACCCCGCTAGACGTCGTGCTCGCATGACTGCGTCACATAACGCATACTCTTCTCATCTGTATTCCAAAATCCTTCACCTGAAATGCGAATCCGTGCGAAGCGGGTTTCTAAGTCACGATCGTTATTTCGACCATATCGAGGATACTTACTGTGCGTAATCGCGATTGATACGTTCCATGGGGCATGGAAATGTCGCCCGAGCCGGATGTCTTGTGCAAAGGTATCGCAGCACCTAGTATGCGTTTTGACCGTTCTTTGCAGTCAGCAAGCAGCATTCAAAGTTACTGTCAAGTGTCATGGGACCTTTCCGGCAGCTCTCTGCTTGACAGAATAGTATGAAGTTACTGGTCGTGCGTGTCGTAATGATGCCTCATCTGTACAGATAATACGCATGCTAAGGTTGTGCGACCACCTAGAAAGAGAGACGTGACGTTTCGTCTCTAGCTACAGTGACGTCGACAATAGCGTGGATGCGTAAAACAGTCATGTTTTCGAGCGACTGTTAGATCAATCGACCATCTCTTGAGTCTGTTTCCATTTCTTGGCTCTTCTTTCCGCTTGTTGTAACTCATACTATTGAGAAAAGAGGTATTCAAGGCAGAGATGACAGCAACTCGAAAACTTGAAGAAGACATGACCAAAACGATCGGCCATGGACAACCATCTGAGACACCTAGGACTCAACGCGCGAATAATGCACTCAAAGAGGCTCACCGAAAAGTGGACGCCCGTATGCCATACTGGTGTGCCTTCGTCTTCCTCACCATGCGCATGAACGTCAACAACATTTCGAACACGGCGATCCTGAATAAGGAGGAAGGTACCGACATACGAAAGCAACTTGGTAACCTTTCTTCATCTCAATGGGCATGGGCTTTGAGCATCTTCTGGTGTCCACATATGCTGTTCGAGCCGGTTGCAACGTTGATGTTGAAATGTTTCTCCCCAAGCATCTGGATGAGCTGGATCATGTTCACTTGGGGTGTTGTGTCGATATGTCAGGCTGCGACGCACAACTACTCCGGTATATTAGCTTGTCGCTTCTTCTTGGGGATGGCCGAGGTGGGTAAGTTGTGACTGTACGAAATGCTTGTAGGATACATACTGACTTTGCATCTTCACCTCCGCAGGCTTTTTCCCCAGCGTGCTGTACCATCTCAGCCTTTGGTATCCTGCACACCGACTGCCGTTGCGTATTGTGTTTCTGTATGCGTGTGGCATGTCCACGGGTACGGTCAGCGGGCTACTCGCGTATGCGGTAAGCTATATGAATGGGGTTGGCGGACTTGCTGGTTGGCGATGGGCAGTTGATCAGACTCTTCTTAGATTCATATGCTGGCAAACGTCAGCTTTTCATCATCGAGGGTATGTTGCCCATAACATGTTCGGCGTATACGTACTTCCGTTTACCAGGTTACCCGCAGACTGTCGATTTCCTGAGCGAAGACGAGTGCGCAGCCATCTTAGCTGATCTACCACAGCAAGCACCCACTATGCGCGCAAAAACGTTTGACACAGATCAGACCAAGTCTTTGTCCAAAAGCACAACCTTCCTCTCGTTCCTCATGATCTGGACAACGCACGATATCGGTGGATGGGGCATGTCGTTCGTTCTTCCAACCGTCATCTACGAGTTAGGCATTTCCAACACAGCCGTGTCTCAGGTTCTGACTATACCACCTTTCGCACTTGTCTTCCTTATACTGATAAGTCTCGCATACTTCATCCATCACGGGTATCTCTCGCCTTGGGTTGCCGGTCTTGGAGTTGAGGGCATACAGATAGTATGCTATATCCTCTTGATCAACGTCAAACAACCAGTCGCGAAGTACATCTTTATCATGATAGCGACAGCAGCCTCTCAATCTTCCTTCGCAATTATTTGGCCCGAGCGTGTACGTGTGGCTAAGGGTACTACGACAGCTGGACTGGCCATTGGGATGTCGAATGCAAGCGGACAGCTCATGGGCATTCTTGGGCCCCAAATCTATCAGCCGAAATTTGGTCCAACATATCGAATTAGCTACGCCTGTTCTATCGCGTTGATCGCAATGTGTCTGGGGGCTGTTTTGAGCACTTGGCACTTTGTGCGGAAGGGAGACGTCAAAGGAATGGCATTGCAGAAGACTGAAGATGGGGTATTGGTTGCGTAAGATCCGTGATACTCACGCATTTTAGAATCGAGAGGCCGATAAGCTGACTAATGATCGAGCAGGTATCACTGCAAGTCTTCATGAACCTGATAAATGTGCACAGTTGGTGAGAAACATGTTCCGATCGTAGAAAACAATGTTGGGTACGGGATGTTGATGGAAAGTTCTGGGCATCGTGGTGTGGAGGCCTTATCAGCGTTGACAAGATCCTGTCGGAGCTTTCGCATCCTCCGATTCCCAGTTAAGCCCATTGAAGCAGTAAGTACGAGCACCTTCGTCTCTCACGGTGCCGGAAGACAATTGATGGCCGACAGCCTTCCAAGCTTTTGTCCCTGCAGAAGTGCACACCTAGAACCCAAACAGATTATATCCAATTGCCAAAGCCCCAAGAATTGGAGTTAGCAGCGTTCAGGGCGACCGCCGATTGTCTTGGAACTCTGGTGATGTCATTAGCGACGGTGAAATTTCGCCGTAGCGCCTGAGAACCCGATCCGCAAGTTCCAAGTACGGAGTTCCGACTCGCGATACTGTCTGCATCCTAGTGGGCTGCACCTGGGGTAAGGAAGGATAGTACAATCAGGACGCATGTAAAGGACCGAAGGAGAGAATGGATGAAGAATATATAGTTTAGATGTACGGGCGTCCGTCTCGGAAAAAACACGCTTACAGTTTCCTTTTCATCCTGCTGCACATGTTTAGCCGCAGTACCTTCCATATCTGTGTCAGAATCATATCTCAGCCACTCAGCACCTAAAATCCCTATCCACACCTTCTCCGAGTTTCCTCGTCGCCAAAAAGATGCCGTCAGCTACAAGTCCTCTCAACATTCTCATAAACGGCTCTGGTATCGCCGGTCCTGTCACTGCATACTGGCTGCACCGCTTTATGCCAACATGTCAAATCACCATCTTAGAGCGTGCACCTGAACCAAGATTGGGTGGACAAGCCGTAGATCTCCGCTCTTCATGTCTGCCAATCGTGAAGAAGATGGGAGTATTGGAAAAAGTGAAAGAGAAGACTACAACAGAAGTTGGCATGCAATTTGTGTACCGGGATGGCCAAAGGCGAGCGACTTTTGAGGCTACTGGAGAGGAGGAGCGGCAAAGTGGTATGTTAGTCCCAATGCTTTGCGAACAGAAAAACACCGGTCGAGACGCGATAAGAACTTCAACCTAACCTCATTCCAGCAACAAGCGAGTACGAAATCTTACGAGGAGACATGGCACGCATTGTGTATGAACTCACAAAGGACAACCCACAAATAACCTACATTTTCGACGAGATGGCCATCGAAGTTCAACAAGACGAATCAAAAGACGGCAAAGCCCTAGTCACCTTCAAGAACGGCAAACTCCCTCCCACAGAATTCGACGTTGTGATAGGCGCTGATGGCCAGATGTCAAGGACCCGCCGTATGGTCTTTGGTCACGGACCTAACAACGACGATTACCTGTATCGTCTCGGACAGTACTCTGCTCTCTTCACCATGCCTCGCGATCCCACTGACACCCAGTATGCACAATGGTACAATGCATCGCGCGGCCGGCTGTTTTTGTTACGACCTGATCAGTATGGTACAACCAGAGCTTATCTCGCCGTCACCGATGCGAACTTGAGTCGTTTTGATGAGCTAGACAAGCTGTTGAAGAAGGGAACAAGGGAGGAGCAGCAAGCGTGGTTCGAAAAGGAGTTTGAGGGCGCGGGATGGCAGACTGAGCGTTGCATACGGGAGATGAAGAAGGCGGATGACTTCTACATGCAGCAAATTGCGCAGGTCAAGATGGATACTTGGCATAAGGGGCGAGTGGCTCTAGTGGGCGATGCTGCGTATTGCCCAAGTCCGATCTCTGGTGTCGTAAGTTGCCTCAACACATCTTCTTAACACTGACGTGTGATACTAACATCTATAATAGGGAACTGGAGCAGCCATAGTCGGCGCCTATGTCCTCGCTGGCGAGATCTCTCGTAACCAAGAGGATATTCCCACTGCACTAGCAAACTACGAACGTGTTGCACGGGAATACGTAGACAAGGCGCAGAAGCTCATCCCAGGAGCACCACAGATTGCGAACCCGCAGACTGAGTGGGGGATCAAGATCTTCAACACTGTGACCGGCACGCTATCACATCCGTATATTCAGAAGTTCAGTGGTGTGATTGGCAAGATCATTCCGGCATTTGGGTCGTCAAAGATTTGGAGCCCGCCAGAGTATGGGTCATAGAGTCGACGTATGGCTCGTGTATTAGCATTTTAGTTCAGGATAAATCGATTATGCGCTGGTAAAATACCGCATGATTTTAGCACTGATGCTTTCACCCTGCCCCAATAAGAACCTTCACAGACGTATTATAAAGGAGGTCGAGTTTTGCGTCTTGTCAGCGCGAACATCTTCTGCCCGTCTACTAGCTAAGCAGATCTACGCCAACACCTCGAAGCGCATCGACTGCCCATTGAGGGTACTTGTCCTTCTCTCCGTTGTGCAACTTGCTAAAGAAGTCTTTGACGAACTGCGGGTATCGATCTTGTATGATGGCCTCTCTTGCCTCTTTCATCAAATTGAGCTGGTAGTGCACATTGTGCATTGTAAGAAGATGCGCTCCGGCGGTCTCTTTGGCGGTAACATGATAGATGTATGCCCTCGTGATACCAAGTCCGCCTTCGGACATTGGACGGCAGCAGGTGCATTTACAACCTTCCTCGATAGGGCCAAAATCTTCAGAGTAAGCGGCGTTGCGTAGGTTGAGGCCACCGTGGGCAGTAATGGCGTTGCCAAAACGCTGGGAAACGTTAGTCCGAGTCTACAGTGAAGCAGATAGTATGCCTTACAGCCGTGCGGGTTGGCCAAACGCAGTCGAACATGTCCGCGCCAAGTGCCACGGATACGACCAAATCTTCTGGGTAGCCCTGGTCCCGTCAGTAAGCTGTGACATGTCGCAAGTCATCTAAGACATACCACGCCCATGACATATCGAGGCTTCTTCTCAGGTAGCAGATCGGTGCATGTCTTGACGACGTCACAGTAAGCCGCTTTTTCCTCACCACCAGACAAGCCTCCTATCGCAATGCCTGGCGTGTCTCGCGCGACCATTCCAGCCGTACATTCCCGTCGCATGTCTAGGTCTAAGCCTCCTTGTATAATGCAGAAGAGGTTCTGCTTCTCTGGGTTTTTGTGCGCTTGTATACAGCGGTCAAGCCAGCGTACCGAACGTTCCATGGCTTCCTTCATACGCGCATGATCGGGCGAGGTGGTCGCGATAACGTCGTCGAGTTGCATAATGATGTCGGACCCGATCGAGTTCTGGAGGGATATTGAGTGTTCGGGCGTGAGCAGCATGGGTGACCCATCGTGGGGACTGAGGAACCGGACGCCTTCCTCGGTGACTTTGGCGAGTTTGAGTAGCGATACCATCTGGAAGCTGGTGTTGATATCAGCTGCTGCTGCTGCTCAATTGCGACGAATTTGGAGGTATCACCCACCCACCGCTATCTGTAGCAGTCAGCACTTCCGCCTCTTCATCCTGTTGTGGTGTTGTGTTTGGCACCTGTAAGGATATTGTGTGGCCATGACTGCAGCTTGTGCGCGCCGCCTATGGCATCAAGTGTCGCCTGTCCTGGCTTCAGACCTCTCCCTCAAGTCAGCAGCTGCTGGCACATATGGAGGCAAGACTTCTCCCGTACAGATGGTATGTGTTGTTCAAGCATAGCCGACATCCCTGGTCTTCTAGTTGATCTGGCGTGAGGCCTTTGAGGGAAGCCTGCGTCGCAACGGGCATGAAGATGGGGAGGGGTACAGGGCCATGAGGCAGATGCAGCGTTGCGGCGCGTGCTTTGGTCACCTGAGGCTGTCAGAGGGTGCGCAACATGTCAAGCTCGAATATTGCATACTGAGCACTTCCCCAGCAACTCAAAGGTGAGCGCTGAAGGCATTGATACGGGTGCCATGATGCGATTGGAGGCGATGCATCCCGCAATAAGACGCGACATTGCGACCGACGATTCGGTTACGGCCCGTTCGCTTAGCGCGACTTCCCTTCTTTCATCCTCATGATTCGTTCCAGAGCAAATCAATCGCATTTGATAATCATGAGGCTTAATGCTCCCACCTAACAGGGAAATTATTCTGTTTCAAGATTTCATGAGATTCAGTAGCACTGATTGCCAGAAACATGTTCGCATTAATCCATAATGATATGTGTGCAACCCGGTTAAACCCAACAAAGATTGGACCATACGCCGGCAAAGAAGAGCAGGACATATTCTAGATGAACATCTTATCACCATGATATTTGACATCCTCCCTGTATGCCGTAGACTTGACTGAGGCCTCTAGCTCTCTCTTCGGGAAACCCTTGAAGGAACGCGCATATGTCGCGACCGAGTGTGCGATGAGCTGGGAAGTGTTAGCGGAATCCCTCTGTATACTGAGTATTGGAAGTGCTTACCTTGGTGTTGGCGACCCACGCCGTCTCATTGAGGTTTGAGATATCGTCGCAAAGCTGATGGTAGCAGTTGTCGTACCAATCTCCTGCCTTTCCACCAAACATCTCAACCTCCTTTTCCGTCTTGATACCCTCCGCTCCCGTAGCGATACCACCGCCAGGAATGCCGTTTCGGATGAAGCCATCATAGTCGCTGCGACCATCGAAGGGAATAAAGGTGTAGTTCAGACCTTGGTCCTTGTACCATTGGATGTACAGATCGCGCAACTCTTCTGAACCATTAGGGTTCAGCGCGTTTGTAGCATTGTAGATTTGGTAGGCGAAGTTCGGGCTAGCCATCATATCGTAATCCATGAAGAGACGGATCTTCTGGTTCTCCTTCTCGGGCAAAGAGGCGACATAGTAGTCAGAACCCAATAGGCCTTCTTCTTCACCTGCCCACCAGGCAAACCTCACACAGTTGCTCACGTTGAACTTGGTGAGTTGTGTAGCAACCTCAAGCAGCGACATCGTACCTGATCCATCATCGTTAATTCCAGGGCCTTCAGTAACACTGTCACTGTGGGCACCGAGCATGACGCAATTGTCTGGGTCACCAGCTGTCGTCTGCGCGACAATGTTGACGGTAAGGATCGTGTTCACTTCGGCGTCGATGTAGGCGATCGCATCAACGCGCTTTCCCTTCTCAAGCTTCTTCAAAATTGGCTCAGCTTCTTCACCAGAGAGGCCGAATGTGGCAATGTGATCTGGTGATGGCGTTCCGAGGGTACCCGAGACAGCATCTTTTTCGTAGTTGTACACAATGGCAGCAACGGCACCTTTACGACCAGCATGCTCAGACTTGGTGCCAAAAGGGCACACACCGCGCTTGACGAAGGCGATGTTGCCGGCTACGGAGTCTGGGAAGTCAGACTCCTGGCAACCCTCGTTTTCAACAAAAACAAGATCACCGTGCACAGGCTCTTTGTCCTTGGTGGCTGGCGTCAATCCCATGGCCCTTGCAGACTTGGGCACGCTGTCACCGATGACAAGACGCGATTCAAAAACATTGCCGGAAACAGCTGGGAATGTCTGGTTGGTGATGGTGTAGTAGTCGCCAAGCTCAAGGACAGTTTCATAGATGTAGGATAGCGTTCCAAGGTGGCCTACGAGTTCGTTAGCATCAACAAGCAACACGTCACGTGGGCAGACTTACCAGCACTCCCGATGACTCTGGTGGGGTGGTTGTATTCCTCCTCGCCGAGCTTCGCAATCTCGTACATCTTCTTAGCGCGCGCCATCAATCTGTCTCCACTGATGAGGTCCTGGAGCTCCGTGGAGTTGACCAGCGGTTTCGTTCCATGTGGATGTCCGAGTGACGCTTGGTTACTGGATGATAGGAGCGGGACCTGGAGCGCAGCAGCGCTTGTGATGGCTGCGCACAGCGCAAAGCCTGAGTAGAAGACCATGTTGTAAGATGCGTAGATGGAAAGGTGTGGAGGTGAAGTGAGATGGATGGATGATGTTTGTCTGTTGATAGAGGTGTCGCTGTTGCCATGACGCTAGCACGCGCCTACCGATAACACATGTCCCCGTGCACGAAGCCAGGTGATCACGCTCGAGCGCGTATCATATACTCATGGAGATTCTGGTGTGTTTCCAAACCCCATCATCGAGCATTGCGGATTGCAATGTGGGAAGAGCATCATATGGTAGAAATGCAGCCCTGTATAGGTTCACGCATAGCCATCCCGACACTAGTCTATCATATGCAAGGTACAACAACCATTCAAGAACCAATCAGCTTGAGCTCGAACCACAGCCTGATCATCACGTTCCGAACATTCGGTGCGAGTGATATTTGTATGTGAGTACAGGTTGAACTCGACATTCGATCGCCATCTTTCGCAACTCGTCGGGCCTTTTTGACATTGCGATCGATGGGGTTATATTCGTGCGAAGTTCAGAAGCCATCTCATCGGAAGCATGCTTTTGCGCTTGGGTTCAATAGCGCAGTCGATGCACACGACATCTGGAGGCTGGTAGTGTCCAGCCTGCCATCGAGTAGCTCGCATTTGCGTAGCGGAGATCGAGACCCTTTCCCCCTTGTTAGACCTGAAATGTGGAGTCTGGGCCCACGTCAATGTGCATTGAGCTGAAACCCTGTTCTGGAATCCGCATCATAATGCAGCCAAGGGGTGTCAAGCATTGCCAAAGACGTTGTACGGTGCTTGGTGACGTGTCTAGAGCAGATAAGCTCAGCTAGACACTTGATGGACATGTGGCAGGACGAATGGAGCGCAATTGAAAGGCGGTATAGTAGCCAGTCGCAGAGTTTCGGTGTAGCCCCGCTGCGACATTTTCGTTGTTTGGCGATCATAGCGCTGAGGCTGTGTGTTGTAGTGGACGCGCCCGTTGCGATCTCCTGCACCTCGTAAACAAGGAAGTATACTACTCCTCCCGAAATGACGCCCGGCCCTTTTACAATGTGTAGTCTCACCGGCCCTCTTGTCTTTCCTTTTTGCCTGCACTCCTACACTTTCTCCTCGATTGCAGCCTTACAGACTGCAATCGCTGCAGGTCTACTCATACGCACGCCCTGAAACACTCACCGCTGGGCCCCATCCGTGCAGTCGTCGCCTACACCTAGCGCCCATTGCTTGTGAATACTACAACCTAAGCAACCCACATTTACGAACACCATGGCGCACCGTTCAAGAAGCTCGCGAGATTATCCTAGCGGCCATGGGCACCGCTCATCGCGAGAACGACAGTATACCACCGAGAAGACGACGCGCCGCGGCGACGACGATCGCCGTGATAGATCCAGACGTCGCTCGGAACTGCCGCAGTACAATCACAATGGCCATAGGGTGACCCCAGGCCTTCATCCTGAGGGCGAAAGTGGCAGAAGGGGGTTCAATCCAATCAAATTTCTTGTCATCTCTGGCAGGAGTAGCAGCACGCCGTCCATGCTAGTCAACTGCTTGTGGCCTATCGTCCCCATTGCGATCGCATTTGTAAGTCTGGCATGCCAAAGTACGGTTCGTATATACTGACAAAGTCAACAGCACTTTGCGAAACCTGAATGGCATATGGCAATCTTCATTACCAATTACATCGCTATGTTGCCTTCAGCAAACTTGCTCGGCTTCGCTGGCCAGGAGTTCTCGCGCAAGATGCCCAATAAGGCTTTTGCCGTCGTCCTCGAGACAACATTCGGTTCCATCGTTGAAATCATTCTGTTCATGGTCTTGATAGGGACGTCCAATGGCGACTCCAACGTGCAGGTTATCAAGGCTGCCATCTTGGGATCCATTCTTGCCAATCTGCTCCTCTGTCTCGGAACATGGTAAGCACTCTCGTAATTATCAATTGACCTACTGTGCTGACATGCTGTAGTTTTATCTTCGGCGGTCTCAAGAATGACCACCAAGAGTTCCATCCTGCTGTCTCTGAGAACGGTAGTGGCTTAATGCTTGTCGCTGCTAGTACGTCATCCTCCTGCATCTTGTTCGATTCCAATACTAACCTCAGTAGCCGCATTGGTACTTCCTGCTGTCTTTTACGCATACCTCTTCCAGAATCCTGACTACGACTTGACGACCGTCAACATCCCATACAACACTCGTTTGATTTCCCGTGGCGTAGCCATCATATCAATCATAGGCTACTTGATTTACGTGTACTTCCAAACCGTATCGCACGATGGTCTGCTCCACGAAATCTACGAGGCGGACGATCACAAGGACAAGGACCGCCACGAGGAGTTGGCGAAGCCTAAGCTTACTATGACCGAAGTCATCGTCGCCCTTCTCGTCTCCCTGACTTGCGTAGCGCTTGTCGCCATTTCCCTCGTCCTCGAGATCCCATACATTGTAGAGGAGCGGGGTGTCAGTGACGCCTTTGTAGGTCTTATTCTGATTCCACTTGTTGAGAAGATCGCCGAACATCTGCTCGCTATCGACGAAGCCTACGACAACCAGATCAACATGGCTCTCGCTCATGTTCTGGGTGCGTCTATCCAGACTGCCTTGTTCAACGCACCGCTCGTAGTACTGGTTGGCTGGGGTATCGGTGTCGGCATGGACTACAACTTCGCCATCTTCGACGCGGTCGCTTTGATTCTTGCCGTTTTGGCGGTGGGCTCTTTCCTGCGTGATAGGAGTTCCAACTACCTTGAGGGTATGCTTTGCGTGATGACGTACATCATCATTGCAATCTGCGCGTTCTACTTCCCCAACCCCGCGCACCATGGTGGCGCCGCTGAAGGTGGTTCAGAGGGCGGTGCGGAGGGCGGTCACTAGCGACGATCAGATTGATGTGATCAGGAACTGTCACCTCAAATTGGCATTGGCACAGCTACGGTGTTTGGAGTTTCAGTACGGAATGGTTTGCGAGGAGCCTGGCGAAGCTTTGCTAGCGAGCATCTGTGATGCACTTTCTTTGAGCGTTCTTTCTTTCCACCAGCAACAATTAGCGAGCGTGAGATATCAATACTACATATATGATACAAATTCTTCCTACATGCCACAAATTGCAAGATGGTGTTCGTGAACGTCAAATGTCCCAGTCCCACGTTGGCGCTAAACCGCCTGCGACTAGCCTTGCGCACTGACCACCACACACATTACGCGAATTATCGAGCCGTCCTACCGACATTTCTACTCTTCAGCGACAATCCAACTAACCCGACAGCCACCGCCCCTTCCCACGACAACCTCTTCTCCCAGCTCACACAACAAGTCGCCAAAATGGGTCGCGTCCGAACTAAGACCGTCAAGAAGTCCGCCAAGGTCATCATTGAGCGTTACTACCCCAAGTTGTCGCTGGACTTCGAGACCAACAAGAGGATCTGTGATGAGATCGCCATCATTGCCTCCAAGAGGCTCCGAAACAAGATTGCCGGATACACCACTCACTTGTACGTCTCTGCAACGGAGTTGAGGCAATGGCAGTGAGGGGCAGGACCTAGAAGAGATGCGGTGGTTTGCGCCGAGTATTGGCTTTGCGCAGACCTCCTAGCACTTGTACAGGAAGCCACTCACTCCCCAAAGCTGGAACCCCGATGAGCAACTCGCTCTTCTGTACTAGGCATCAGACTAACAATTTGCAGGATGAAGCGTATCCAGCGCGGTCCCGTTCGTGGTATTTCCTTCAAGCTCCAAGAAGAGGAGCGTGAGCGAAAGGACCAGTACGTCCCCGAGATCTCCGCTCTCGACTTTACCCAGAACAGCGATTCTGGCTCGCTCGACGTCGACCAGGAGACCAAGGACCTCCTCAAGTCCATGGGCGTACGTTACTTCTTTACCCACACCACATTATGCTGTTTACTAACACTTTCAATAGTTCGACAGCATCCCCACCAACGTCATTGCCGTCTCTCAACAACAAGTTGTCGAGCGCGGTCCCCGCCGCTTCAACGACCGCCCCGCCCGCTCGTAGATACGAATGCGCAAGCGCGACCCGCCGGTCTCCCTTCTTCATCCTTTCTCGGCTTACTGAAAATATGGTGTCTGGGAAAGGGTTTCTGCCACGACTATGGCATGGTTTTACGGCTATATACGGCGGCATGATGATCAGGAGTCAATGAAACAAAAGGTTCTCCCCCCACTAGGTGTCGCTGAGTCTGACTGTCGCAAGACATGAAGACGATGCTTGATTGCCATTTCCCCCATGCATGCCCCATGCGTGATGTGATGTTGGAGTGATGTCGACCAAGAACGAATGTAGATACAAGGCAGGTAAGTGGGCTCTCTTCTCATCATGCACTGCGGTGTAAAGACAAGAAAGACGGAGTCGCATCAGGCGATACGTGTATGTGTCGTGAGCTCACCAGCTCTCATTTCAGTGGAAACAAGTTCATGTATTCACTCTTCCACACCGTGCATTCACTTCTCTGTAATACGCTACTTCTACAAACTTGATCTTTGCCGAGAAAGATCAGCACTGTAGATTTCCTCCACTCATCGCCTCTCAGAGGCACCATGGACATCACGCAAAGGCCAAGCTCCAGTGTATGCCTTGCTCACGAGGCTATGCTTCCACTCCTTAGCTGTTGATGCAACATCATCAGGTTTCTTCGACGCATCGCCATTCTGTTGGTCGTCTTCTGTACCCACATCCAACACCGCTTGATGTAAACTACTCCGGTCATTTGATGTCACACTGTCAGCCGGCTCCACTCTAGTACTCGATGGAGACGCCGTAGGTGTAGCTGTCACTGCTCTGATGGTACCGATCGCCGGTGTTTCGGGAACAGCCAATGTGGTGAGAGTTGGGTCAGGTCCATGTTCTAGGCCTGGATAACGTATATGATGCTCTGGGTCTGATATTTCAGTGCGCTTGTTGGTACCCTTCAGTCGCAGTAAAGAGGTGAGTGATGGACGGCCTGAGTCTGTGGGTAAAGGTGGATCCGTTGCATCCGGGAGTGTGTTCTGCTGGCGGACATGCTTGGTAGAGTAGAAGGCTCCCAAGCAAAGAATTAGAATGACGATGATTACTATGATTATGCCGGCTGTTTCTGGGCCAGACAAGGTCATCGTGTGGGACTATTTTGTCAACAGTAGTGCTTGGGTTGAGCAAGTCTGGATCATGGAGAGCCGACGAACAGTAGGTCTTGTATACTTTTCAATACGCAATGGGGATTTGATTGACCGGGTAAGGAAAGAGCTGGAAGTTGGTCGTGCAAACGCATGTTCATTCTGTTTGTGGATATTCATTGTGGTAGCCGTCGGGTAGTGGCGTGTTACATCCAGAACTTTCGAACACATCCTGTTAAGGGTCCCTATACTGAAATTGTGCGCATGATATGATGGTCATGAAATTTAGTGTCGATGGAAGGACTACATTGAAATGTGTAACTACGTGCTGCAACTAAGAGGCGTCAAAGGGATATCCCTGTCGCGCTGACGTAGTTTTCAAGGTTGGTGTGGACATATGTAGCATCGTGAGGAAAGTTCAAATCATTCAGTGCTTATGAACGTTCCATGAGCCACCTGCAATAGCCTTGAGTCCTTTGGAGAGTTTGAGCGCTAGCTGAGTATGTGTCAATTACGACCGCTTGAACAGCCACTCCAGCGCTTTCTTCACCCTGCCTGGCGGCTTCTCTACCGACTTCTCTACCGGCTTCTCCCCCAACTTCTTCCAGACAAATAGACCTGGCTTTCTTCTCGAGCAACGCCTCTTTATGCCCATCTCATCTATCCACCTAGCCTCCCACCCCTCCTCCAGTAACGCAAGCACTTCGGTCGTTGGGCACGATCGTAGGCTCGTAGTAGTACCGCGTTGGCGCATACTCTCTATGCCGAATGGATATACGAGCCGGCGGAATTGGCCACCTGCAACAGAGTGATCTTCATTGTGGAGTCTCTTTAGACAGAATACAATCCTCCTAATATTGCACGCATTTTCTGGCAGTGGCGGTCGTGAGGAGCGAGATGGACGACGGAGACACCAAGCGTTATTTTCTGGCAGGTGATTTCCATTGCAAATACCTGGCGCAATGAGACAGTTCATTGACATAGCAAGCGTGATAATATCCGAGTAGGCTGTTCTTTCGCGATAATGATCTGTGTTCGTGGTGTATCCGGGAGGAAACACGGCCCCTCTTGCCTCCACACCGTGCATAAAATACTGCATTAGAAGTGGAAACCCGATGTTAAACATCTGCCAGACATCATACTAACTCTCATGCTCCTCGATTCCAATGGTAAGACTGGCTAGATGAAGTTCCAGTAATGAAATTATAGCGACTACTATCCCGCTCAAAATGGGTCTGTTGCTCATTGCCCAGCGGGGTATTCCGACCGTGATGTGCATCGATGAGGCAAGGTTAATTGGACGAAGCGGCCGCAGCTTCATTGGCGCTGCGTAGGCGGTGTCTTGTATTTCGTGTAGAATGAGAGGCGCGAGGCGGACGGATTCTGTCGCCATCTCGTGGTAGATCTGGGAGCAGGAGAGCAAGAGCCCAATGTACGTCTTATGGTGCGCGTTCGGGAGGAAGCCCCCAGGGACCAAGTGGCTGTAGATGAGCAGGCGGAGCTCGGCAGGCAGTGCGAGAATGCGGCATGCTTTCGCGATTGGGGTACGGCTAGTTGTGGCTCGAGGAATAAGTCGTGCCATAGCGCATCCATCTAGCGATTGAGTTCCAGATGGAGGGTGAAAGGGAATCAGGTCGCAAAAATGTCCTCTCGCACAGAGGAGGTGTTCGGCTCCAGTCCACTTCTATGATGATGTGTTCCAAAAGTGTCCTTCACCGTGAAAGGCCTCATTAGGCTGGCCATTTACAACATCTCTGCTTATAACGTAGCCTTCGTTACATTCTTTTAATCCTCAGTATAAGACAGACATCATGATAGTCCGAAATATACTTTTCTAGCCTATATCGCAACATTGATGATTGGAAAACGACAAACACCTCATGGATGTCAAGCTCCTGGTTCCTTTCAGGCTTTCGCGCATACTATGAATGTCGTCCCGGACGTGGAAAACATCGTGGTCTGGCTAAATAATTGTTCCACCAACCTATCGGCAGGATGGTCACCATTTTGGAGGCGACACAGTCTATGGAGACTTCTAACGTTGCTCCCGAAAGGATGCAGGAGTCTAGTCGACAAGAACAAATTACGGATTGTGACCAGGCCTGGCTTCCTTTGATACCAGTTTATCTACACCATTCACTGTTTATGAAACATGTAGAACATTGATCGAGGAAGACAAATGGAACGCGGATGAGTCGAGGATTTTGCTGTAAGAAAGCGACTTGAAGGGATATATAGCTTACACGCGCCCGGGCTCACTCCGGAGATACTGGGTGCGTGTAAGAACATGTAAGCCATTGTAACAATTATTGTCGATGGACTGTAAGCTGAATAATTGAGGTGCTGGCGGATGGCTAGGATTATCGTTGTGATTAACAGCGCTAAGCTATGACGTTCACCCGAGGTTGTTGGGGCCACATGCTGGCTAGTCATGCAGTCACGTGCTGCTCCAATGCTCCCGCCAAGACAAGCGCTAAGTTTACGCGAGCGTGAATGTTTTTGCCTACAACCTCACGCTCCGACAACCCAGCCACCCCGCAACACTTGACCCAACTGCGAACCTCACCCTCCAACACCATCTGATTCCATCGAGATCTGACTGCTTTGGATTGTCTATACTGACCTGCAAGTGTTCAAGTTACCTTTTTCGGTACATCAGGTCATATACCGCGCTTGAATCATTATGTCGCCTGCCCCTGTCCTTCAGACCGCTACTACCTTACCATCTTCACCACAACAACCCCACACACCCACGTGTACGTGAATACAACATGCTGTAGTTCTGATCAGAAGCTAATGTAACATGTAGCGACAGCTATACCCGCATCAAAACACTTTGATGACATCTTTCACGCCAAGTTTATGCACATCATCCAGGAATGGAAGAATGACCCCTCGCGGGGCCAACTGACCCAAAAGGATCGAAAGGCTTTCATTGAGAATGCCTTCTTCGAGACCGATGAGCTTTACTTTGGTCGGCGGATGATGACCGATCTTGAGATCAAGCTTCGCGCACTTACCAAGGTCTTCTATAAGGTTCTTGCTGAAGAACCTTGGTCTGAGGATTGGATCCGCGCCCCTGATGTTGAGCGTAAGCTGTCCAAGTTTGAGATGCACGAAGACTCTGTAGCCCTTGCCAAGCAGTACGGCTTCACTACCCCCCGGGAGGCGGTCAAAGCGGCACGTGAGGCTGGCATCAAGAATGCCGAGACCTACAAGGAGGCCCAGAAGGAGGGGAAGTCTCTCCAAGACATTAAGCTTGATCGTGGTCCATTTGATGATATTGAGATTGTCTACATCGCTGGCACGGTCTCGTCATCTGCTACGAGCAAGATCGACCGTTCGAGTATTTACCCAGTATCGGTCTCCTCGGTCGCCAATGTCCTCCAGAACCACATATGTAGGGACATGGTGCGCCCGTTCTCCATGGCCGAACGCTTCGTCAACTGCACCGATACCAAGGAACTCGAAGACATGCGCCGCTTTGCCTGCAACGTCTGCGACTTTTGTCCCCATCTCCTCGATAACGACAACGTAAGCCTTCTTGTCGTGTTACTCATTCTCTCGCGATCTGACTGCTGTCGTCGCTTTGAGGCCAATGGTATCCGTATTGAAGGCTCAACGATTAGCCACCGCAAGGCTGAGTGTATGAAGAACAAAATGGGCTGGAAGACGTCAGAGGACAAGAAGCCATATGACAACTTCGCTCAAGAATTTCAGACTCGTGTTAAGAACGCTTGCTTTCCGGCTCCTCGAGCTCAGCGCATTGGTGGCCGGAAGCCGCCACGCAACTCCTCCGGTCCTGCGACACCTCCGATCTACGCCCAGCCTCACATGGGGTATGTCGCGCCTCCTCAAATTCGTAACGACAATGTCAACACCGGTATTAACGTTGCTGCTCCGCCTCCCCAAAATCATTTCTCGCAGGCTGCTCCTCCGGCAATCAAGGATCAGCGTGCGTCAATCGGTACCGTTAGCAACACCGCCGAACCCATGGACCTTTCTTAGGGTATCCGGCGAACTTGCTTTTCATCACCAACCTGATTTATTGCATGGCCATGGCGTTATATGGGTATCGTGTATTCTGCATAGAGGTATAAAAACGGCGTTGGGCGATTTGTCACAATCACATCTATAGGTGCGATATCATGTAAGCACCAGCTTCTTCTTAAACACATTCATGTACATAGTTACACAAGCTTATCTGTAGCTGTATAATACATAAATAAGTGAATGAAAGATTACGGGATTCAACTCTGAAATCTTGTCTAGTGACGTTGATATTTTAGACTACATGATCCAGGACCTGAGATGCCAGTGTGGTAGAACAATAATATGTCAGCCCAACAGCTGATTGAGGCCATTTAGAATCTATCATATCAAGGTATCAGTATCCAGGCCAACTCGGCGTCCCATCTACTTCCATCCCAGCTACCTCCAGTCACAAATTCAGCTAGACTGCCAAGCCAAATCTGTATTCAAGCTCGATACGGCTCGAGAATTGCCTGCTCAAGATCCCACTCACTTGCTGACTGACGACATACACTGCCGCAATGGAGTTCAATAGCTTTGACTTTATCGCTCTCTTCCTGTGCTCGAGCATCTTCGGCCTTCTCTTCTCGCTTTGGTCCAAGGTACGTGAATCGATACAGGTTTCCATGTACTCAATTACCAACTGATTCAGACTGAGCTTATCACCGACCGCGAGATCATTCTCTTGGTTACAGTCTTTAGCGCCGTCGTGATCGGGCTTCTCGCGCGCATAAACGCCACCAGAGCGCTCACCAACTTCCTCACGGATAACCTAGGGGAGGTACACGAAAAGCAACTTCGGGATATTGACGAAGCCCATCGTCGCTACATTGCGAGCGTCAAGCTTGAGAACCATCGTGAACATCTTCGTCTCCAAGGCGATGTCAATAATGCTGCCCTCAAGTTCGACCGCCTATACAACGAGCACGATTATATCTCGAGCATGTACCAAGAGCAGATGCAATACAAAGAGGAACAAGAGGATCGCATCCGGTATCTCGAAAAGAAGCTTCAAGAATTTGGTCAATCCACGCCAATGACTCGCACTCCTTTCTCCGCGCCGCCTTCGCAGATCAGCTTTTCTCCCCCACCGCGTCGCCAGCAATCTAATGAGATCCTCCGCTATACAGCTTCGGCGAGCCCACTAGGTCAGGTCTTGGAGGCAGAGGACGAATAGGTGTGCTGCCAGTCAATCCCACAAGGAGAGATGTTAGCGTGGCAGATGGAGACCAGCCTACGCTTTTCAGAGACGCAGAACGTATGGGAAGTTTTGCTGCCGCTCACTTGCACTACTGCATCCATGTAAGCAAAGCGGGTAAAGATGAAAAGCTGATGGAGGTTCAATGTAAGAGTAGGTCGAGGATATCATGCCTAAAACAGGTCTTTGGGCCTTAATGACAGTTGTTTGCGCTTCCTATGCATGGCAAAAAGTGTCACTCCGCTCTGATCTTGTGATATGTTCCGTAGCAAGCACATTGAATATACATCAGTACAAGATCCAGAGAGATTATACATCTCCAAGGCATTCCTACTGAACCTCAACTTCCGCAATGTTATCACCAAACTACAGTTTTACTGGACCCACTGCCGAAACTATTGTCAAGATCTCTCAAGCCATCAAAGAAGTCGACACTAGCGCTCCCTCTTCCCTTCACAACCACCGTCGCTATCTATACCTAGTTCGTCGTCTCGCTAGAGAGATGGAGGTCCAAATTCACTCTTGGGAGGTTCTCGACGCGCGTGCCCAATTTGCCAGGTCGCTTATTGCTGTTGTTGATAGGGAATTAGATCTACCGCCTGAGTACTACGAAGGCCAGAGCGAAGATGAGGGCAGAGAGACTCCGCAGCAACTCGGTGTTACACATGATGAATCTGTAGTACGCCCAGCACGATCCCGTCGCCGTCAGGGTGGAACGACTGCACAGCAAATAGGTGCCCGGTTTGCTGATTTTCCAGATATGCTACCGGCACCACCTTTTATGCAGACCGCACGTACACTTGGTTTCGCGACGCCGCCTCAGTATACCGCGATGTCGTCATCCCCACCTATGAGTGCAGCGCGACTGGACTACCGTGCGACGACAGAAGACAAAGATCGACGTGCAGATGCGTTTCGTACGCATGATACACAAACATTACCGATGGAAGCTCGAGTTACAGGCCGTCGTGCTTATCTCAGGAGAAGTCAGAACACTGCAGTAGACTATTCGTCGAGTCAACCAAAAGAAGACGATGAGTGAACGTTTGCAGAGTTTCGCGATGCATGAGAAATATACACAGGGTAGATTGAAGGCAGCTGAGTGTGGTGAACAGCAGGGTAAAGATTGGGCATGGTTTCATTGATGAGCAATTCAAAATTTGATATGACGACGTATGATGACAATATGATTGCTGTTGACTCCCTAAACATGCGCAATGAAGCAAAGGGTATATCTATCCAAAGTATAACAGGGCGAGAGAAGGGTATCGTGTGAAAAAGCAGAACCACATAAACTCCTTCAGCAAAAACAAAAGCGAAAATCAATCTGGATGCGAAGCTCAGTGCTTCCTCTTCGATCCTTTACGACTCAGCCCTGTGCGCGAAGCATAAGCAGGCTGGATGTAATCACCCGACGGACTGTCAGAATCTGTTGCGAAGGGATCGACATAGCTTTGAGGCTGCGTCGTACCGTAACGGCTATCAGTCTGCAACCGAGGGGTCGGGAGCGCACTTTCGACGTTGCGCAAGTCCCATGGATCTTGCGATGTTACGGAAGGCGACATCATAGACGAAGCTGCGAAGGGATTCTCCTGACCGCTGGACGAAGGGCGTCTAGATGACGACGGCCTAGTAGCGTATTCCTGGTTAAAGTTCTTCGGAAACGACAACGGTGGAGGCGCACGTTTTCTCGAACTAGAAGGTCGGTATGTCTCTGCAGGCACTTGGGTATCAAATGCTGTAGGGTTTGGTTGCGAGATGCTTGTGCGACGCTTGCTGGGAGTTCGACCCAACTCGGCTGGACGCGAGGTAACGCTATCGTGGCGAGTCATTGACTCTCGTCGATTTGAAAGCGAGCGGTCCCCGCCACGCGGGTCCCAGTAGCCAGGTTTCTCCTGTTGGCTCTTGAGAGTTGCCGCCAGTTCTTCATCTCGTTCTCTGGCTTCTGCAATCTGCCTCTCACTACGCATCTGCGCCTTCTCGAATTCGATCAGGCGTTGCTGGTCTGCTAGCTGAGCTGGCGTCATGGTTGAGGACATTCTGCGTCCTGCAGATGGTCGTTTGCTTGAGTAGTCGGTTGTTGGAGGCTTCGACCGCTCCTTTTTCCGGTCTCTCGCTGCCTTCTCGAGATCCTTCTGCTCTTGTCGCAAACGCTCTTCTTCCTTGAGACGCCGTTCCTCATCTTTGAGACGGCGAGACTCCTCTCTAGCTACTGCCCGGTCCTTTTCCTTCTCAGCTAGGTGCTTTTCTGCCCTTTCCTTCGCGCGACTGTCTGCACGGCCAAGTTCGAAACGCACATGCCTTTCGTTCTCCCTTTCAGCTTTCGCAGCTTCTTCAGCTGCCTGTCGCTCAGACTCCTCTTGACGTCGGCTAGATTTGGGCTGTCTTTGTCGCTCGTCACCGTTCTTGGAACGACGATTGACTTCAGGCATACTTGAGCCACTGTATGAGGAGTTGTCGGCAAAGACGTCGTTGTCAAGTGGGTTCTGGTAGGAGTCTCGTGGAGCGACATTTGAGGTCCGGTATGAGCCAGATGACATTCCAGTCGGGCGCTGAGACGGCGAGGATGGAGTGGCAGGAGGCGGGTTGTGGATGACAGTGGCAGGATATCTTGAGCTCCTCGGCCTAGCAGGTGGATCATCGTCTGCATAGAGCGATGGTGTTTGGCTGGAAGATGCTGACGGAACATGCGACGGACGATATCCGTAGGAAATGGCGGGAGTGGCAAGATAGTTATTGGGGTTGTCAAAATTTGCCGTTGGAGGCAGAGGTGCCTCAGGAAATCCTGTTCGTAGAGGGTATGAGGCATCGGAGCCTACCGGCTCAATGACTGCTTCGTGAGATCCCCTGGAGCCGAGAGAAGACCGATCAAATGGTTTGCTGGAGACAGAGATCGATGGGTATTTTTTAGTTTTATCTTTCTTGGAACCAAACCCAATGATAATCTCGGTGCTGATAGGTCGTTGGCCATCCCGAGTGGAAGGGCGACTGCCACTGCCCGATGGGCGGCGTGTTTGAACTAGGTATGTTCCACTCCCAGTAGGAGTTGGTGGGTTTATCGGGGATGGTGTGTCGTCACGGCCTGGAGAGCCTCTCTTGGGGTTGTATCGATAGGGTATGACTACTGCGTCCCGGCATGGCTTTCTATCGCGTGCTTTCTCGCACAGGCGGGTCCGGGAAGACGTCATGGGTCGCCCATCAGAGCTGTACTCGATGCACTCCTCTATCCGACACATGGCGGTAATGTGAAGTAGGTAACGTTGGGGTGGGAACTTCAAAGACGAGGATGATTGTGAACCTCTCTGTCTTGAGTTCAAGATGGTGGTATCAGACCAAGTTATCCGAGTGTGCAGCCCAGTCAGAGAATGGGCAGTTGCGGAAGTATTTGGTGTGAAGGGTGAATCCTATGACAAGAGTACGATGGCCTTGCAAAGTACAAGTCGATCAAAGGATGTGTCGATTTGTACTTGCTTGATGCTTCGGTAATGTTGGGGACACCGACGGTATTTGAGCAGCAGGTGACGGCCCGACTGAGACAAGCGGCAAGCAGGATGAGTGTACTCGTCAGTTCAAGTACGAACCGAAAGGCGAAAGAGTCAGAGCGGCGAAGGGGTAATAATAGAGTGTGATGTGCAGGGAGCTATGCGACTTTGTGGAAAGTAAAGTGTAGCCCTACTAGGCAAGGGGTTCTTTTAAGCACCAGGCTGCGCAGAGTGTAGCCTGGGAAAGTGCACCATGAGTGGACAAGGGAACAGATTTACCAACGATGACCGAAACGGGTGTGCAGAAAAAGGTGCCAGTGCCAGGCCGCAGCGACGGGCAGGACAGAATGCATGAACATGATCCGGGCGTCTTTGGGGCCATTCCTTAGGGCTGCGCAGCGGTGAATTGCACAGCCTGCCAGTGACTGAAGACACCGCCCAGCCACAAGTGGGACCCTGTCCGTCACCGGTTTTCCTGTGCCTGAGGGTGATGAAGAGGGAGATAGGTCCGCTGCAATTGGGGAATGAGAGAAATTGTCGAGTCTGCCAGCCGGTTTGCGCATCCGCGCGGCCGCACAACCTGTCTCAGACTCGATGGGCAGCAATGGCAAACTGCCGGTGTTCGAGCGCCTCCCCCAACTCCCTCATCATCGTACCCCTAAGCTCGGCCCTAGTGACTTTGCTCGATGACATTCCTCTTTCTTGAAAAGACGGGAACACGCTGGTGCTGTTAGCGATGGAAAAAATCCTGACAGACAGCTTTCAGCTGAGGGACTGGCGAATAGAGGCAGGCGCCATGCAGTCATTCCCGTATCGTCAGGCAGGCGGCCCTCCATGCCAGGCACCAGAAGCCGGGGATTTGATCGGCGCCCAATGCCCGACCATATTACTTTACACTGATGATTGATATGGATGGAGGGAAGTGTGCTTGGCCGCTCGACTGGCTGGTGCTGGTGGGGCCCCTCACGGTGCGGCGGGCACTAAAGGGGGATGCACACCCACGCGAGCAGCGGACGCATCGTTCGCATACTGGCCTTATGCATCGCGTCCTAAAACCTCGACAGCGCGATTATATTGCGCGCTGTTAGTGTCTTGCAGATTCGCGAAAGAGGTGCTGATGGATTGCGGCCGTCAAGACGGTTGATGATTGTGGGCAGGCGAATTGCTGAGCATGTGAGCCTGCTGCGACCTTGCTGCCTTGACTCATCCGAAGTCGGGAAAGAGTAGTCGACACCTGCCGCCAAATGGTGAGTCTTCGTCAGCGCCCTCCCCCAATATCGAGCACATTGTCCCTTAGCGCCGACTCGTGATGTAACGCCGAGAGGCTACAATTCGCCGATCTTGACGACAAACCTCACTCCTTACAAATCTCCACCATCGTCAGCGCGAATGCCATAGTCACGCAAGCGTCTTTGTGTGCCAAATGTGGCTGTCGACCGATGTGTGCTCCTGGCGAGCCGTTTGGTCCACCCCTGGCCCACAGTCTTTTCTGTGGCTTCACAGCCTCACTCACCAGCCCTAAAGCTCGTGCGCTTTGTCACTCTTCTGATACTTTGGGGGTCAAAATCCTTGATTCTCAGACAAGTACGAGTGGAAGAGCAAGCGAGCCGTCCCTTTAATTTGCGACACCGCTATTTGCCTCTCTCACCATATCCGAGGAGGGATTTGGCCTAATGAGGAAGGCACGGCCACCCCAAGCAGCCACCGTTCTCATTTGCAGTGGCGCACACTCTTTCAATTGCTGACAAAGAGATAGACAATGGTGTTCAGTTTTGGCTGTACGTGGCATCATTGTAACATATGTCTTTGCTACGAGAAGCGTGGTCGGTCCGTGGTTGATCGCGATAACGGCAAGTATGTTCGGGGACACTGTGCTGCCACACCCTTTGCAGTTCACTCTCCCAATCAAAAATCTCTACCGTCATGAAGATATCGACTCACCGTGTTTTCGCAAACACCATGCCGGCTAAACTCCATGGTGCACGTCAATGTCCACCGATATCTCGGCCTCAGCCACGACGCCTCAACAGACTAGACTGATAGCGTCTTAAGGCATGCCGCGCCACAGCATATCACCAATCCGCTATCAGTGTCGCATAGCCGCTCAGCCCTCGTTGGCCGCCTGATGTATCCAAAAGTTTGCGTCTCACAAACTTTGCTCACGCTATCGATGACCTCGCGATGGCCCGACCGGCGGTTGCGGAGACTACTGCGAACCCCAGACCCACCCAAGTCACCGCCGTGCTTGAATATTCTGCACTTAACATGTGGTATCGTCGAATAGTGCCACCAATGGCATCGCTGTGGTATCAGAATGGTTATGGTGTTTTTCTTCCGTGTCATGGTTACACCGCCGTGGATCATTCCATGGCAAGGAGTACGTCTCAACGGCTGTGAATTGAGCAGCTAGCGAAGAGTATGCCTCCTAATCCCTCTGGATTCCAAACGGAACCGTCAACGCAATACCGTCAACCGCGCGAACCGCCCACAGTTACTACGACTCTAACTTGCCAAGGTCTCACCAGCGGGTTTACCTGATACACATGTCAATACACAGCCACCACCTTCTTTCTCATATCTTACAGAAACAGTGTACGCGCCGTTCCGTCTTGCCTCCCCATCCTTAAGCAACATGCAAACTGCTATCAAGCTTCGGCCCCATTGTCATTGAGCACCAACCACGGCCCTGCGCAGGAACAACAAGCTTTCTTGCATGGGTACAATGACAGCTGAAACACCTGCTTAGGCCAAGAGTTAGGTATCAACAGCGGAAATACACTGTTGTAGCCCAATTCGAACAAGATTTTCTAAACGGTGTCTTGCGGGATATTGCCAAGCACGGCGAGATTCGACCGGCATATATGTAGACTTAGGTGGAGTGAGACTGTTGAGAGTGCAATGGCTAACATCCTCGAACGGGCTCAACAAGGTACAGGTGCACACTAGCCGCCATTGAACGGATATCCGTCAAAATCATATGCACGAATGCACATGACTGCTAACATACGGGCCTACCCAGAGTGACCTGGACAGTCTGCTACTACCAGATGTCTATCTCACCTCCAATAAAGATGGCGGACTCTCTTCGCAGCCATCCCTGTTCCAGGACGCGTGTTAGTCGGCATGCTTGCCACCACCATGTTGCGGCACAGCAGTCCAATATTGCTTTCTTGGCATCGCCCTCTGACTTCGACGTCGGCTTCTGCTGAGCCGAAGTTGGAGCCTGCAAGATGTCTCACAATGTAGGCAACCACCATGTTTAGCACTAGTGCGGCCCATGATTTCTCAACGCATAACCTCGGTCATAGATTTCTGTCCGCTTTGTCAGTCAGTGATGTCTGGAAGCTTCGTGGCTATTCTGTAGGTACGTAATGTCTCACTGTCTGCCTTGGACCCAATAGTCTCGAGTGAGCGATATTGCAAGTGTAGCGTATGGGTCGATGTCTCATCCAACGGACCAAACTACACTATGTGGGAGAGGACCTTTGGAAAACGTGGTCTATCAGATGACCAGCAGGTTTTGAGATACTTCGTGCCATGAGCCACCTTCCTTTTTACGCACTGTGACCCGAAAGAACATGACGCCGTTCATCTCTCTGGCTCAACTGACGCCCATACCGCTTGGATTCGTTTCTCATCATCCTCTTTGAAGGATGCCCGACGTGCCTGACACGATCACTGACGTTTGTTCATCCAATCAATGCTCATACAAAACTTGTTCTCTAGAAGATCAGCTAGGGCAATCAACAGAGAAAGCAGCAGGAGACGATATATGTGTATTTCATATTCATTTCACACAGTAAAGTACAATGGATGCAGTATACTACAAGACCTCCCTGCTTCGTCTTATCTCAACGCCTCAGCCACCCCAGGAAAACCCTTTGCGGGCTTCGCACGTCCTTGAGGGGCCTCGCGCTGCAAAAACTCACTCAACTGCTGACCTTTCTCACTCATCTCATCCAATTCCTTGACCCCACTCTTTCCCACTCCACTGACTATGCTTTCTAGGTCACCGTTATCGATGTTAGCCCTAACAGGTGGCTTGTCATCGAGTTCACCTCTCGCAATCATGACTTCAGGGCCCGTAGCACGATCGAGTTTGATGTGAATACGGCCATCGTTCGTGACGCTGGCGTATCTAGGTTGCACCATGATCTTCTTGCCACCAGGTGTATCGACGTCAATTGTCTCGACGTCTTTGGCGTTGGCCATGCTGGCGTTGCGATTGACAGGTGAGTAGTCTATGCCCTTGAATTGATCATTTGCCACAAAGCCTCCTACTCCGAAGCGGGCGTAAAGCTCGTTCGATGTACCTGTGCGTCTTGCTTGCATGAGACGGGCTGGTATGGGAGTGGGCTTGGCTTGGGGACCGAGAATGGGGTGGTTGGCGATGTAGGAGTAGTGGCGAAGGTAGCCGAGTCCAGCTGAAGGGTGGGTGGAGAGTGGTGCGGTCTCTTGATCGAATTGGAACATTTCGATGTCGCGCTTGGAGGCGTCTTCCTTGAAGGTTGTGTTCTTGAACTTCATGGTTGGTATCCTCAAAAAGGGGACTATCAACTTGCTGACGAGCTTGCTACTCAATGGATCCTTCGCAGCCTCTCTTCGTAGTGCCCTGATGCCAGCTTCAATCTGAGGTTGCGTGATTTGGCGCCAGGCGTTCTCCCGTTGCTCGTGCCATGCCTCAGCTTCTTGGGCATCAATTGGCGGGACCTCACCAGATTTTGTGGCGGCAAGTCGGCGGGTAGCGTAGATCTCGTTCTTGACGTACTCAACTAGGTACTCATTGAACTCCTTCTTGCGGCCTGTAATCTGTTTGTTGAGGTAAGAGACAAATTCTTCGGCGCTCATGCCAGGGAGCCAAGGGCCATCGTGCTTCCACCGCCTGGTGTTGTGAACGACTGGATCCACAGGCGGCGGTCTAAAAGGTGTAAATGGTGCTGCTGCCATTTGCTCCTTCAGTGCTTTCTTTGCTTCTTTCCGCTCGTTCTGGAAGGCGTTGAACTCTTCTAACCAGGGCTTCGTCTCTGATCCTCCTCTAGACGCTTCTTTTCGGAAAGCCTCAAATTCGACAAGGTTGTCAGCCCATCCACGTGCCTTGAAGCTCGCGAGTTTCGATTGCCATTTTTCTCTCCAGGTAGCGTTGAAGGCTTCCCGCTGGGCCTTGGCTCGCTGTGCTGGCATACTCTTCTTGAGTGCCTGCAAGTACAATCCAGCCTCATCTAGTCCCATCTCGGTATCGTAACTCGTAGTATCATCCCGGACCTCAAAGGCTCCAAGTGGTGGTTCGTTCGTTATCTTCGACGTGCTCTTCATCATGGGCATACCCATCTCCTCCCACTTTTGCCTAGTCCGCACATGGTCTGCCGCTGAGTCGAAGTCGGTAACATGTTCGATGGTATCAAGTTGAGTGATCCTCAGTACTGGGTCGCTCGTCTGAACTATGTGACTCCTCGATGGGATTGGCCGCTTGAGACCCCAGTCACCACGTGCTAACGAGGACTTTGTTGTCGCAATGGCTTGGTGGGTCGGGTATGGAAGCGTGGCGGTGTCGGAGGCCTTGGAAATGCCCGCGCCGTAGGTTTCGCTAACAGGCGGCCGTGGGAGCGGGTTCGGCAGCGAGAAAAGGCGGGAATTTCGGAGAAGATTTGCAGTAGGCGAGAGAGACTGGCGGCTTAGAGACATCTTGGCGATGCGACAGCCGCGTGTGGGCGTTCAATGGCGGCTGAAGTGATGATCCCGATGTGTGTATAGTAGAGAAATGTCGATGGAGTTTGCGGCGAGGGGTCCGTGCGAGACTTCCGCGGCTTCTGATGGGCCACAGGCATGGATCACATCACGATGTCAAGATCGTCAAAGGTATGGAATTATAGGATTTGTAGACATTAATTTCCACAGTGGCTAGTCCGCGACTATCTATCAAGAGCAGCCTTGCTAAGACATATCCTGAGCCTTCCTGACTTTGCGCTTTGGCAGTAGGGTTTCAAGCCTGACTTCTGTTCTACTGAGTGCAAAACGACTCCCACCGTTTTCCAGGCTGGGATCTCTCTCTACAAATGTACTCGGCCAATAGGTTCTATCCACATGGTCTATCGAATATGTTTTGCGAGTTAAACGTTTCGTGGTTTTCATGGTAGTGTCATGGACGCGTGCGCACCGATAAGTGAGGACCTTGATATGACAAGACCTTGGTCGTGATAGCTCACCCAGGCAGGTGCTTATCCCAGTCTTGATCGTCGTCCTCATCGTCGTCGTCTTTGTCTTTGCGGTTAATACGTGGAACGTGCCCTTCGATGGCCATAGTATGGTCAGATGTTTGGGAAGGAAGCGAGGGTGGCTGTGGCGGCGCGCTGCTGGATGAGCGCTCGAGAATCTGGTCTTGGATGAGATCGTTGTTTGCCTTGGTTAGGTTACCTGGTTTCTCCCCCCGTTCGAGCGCCAGATCCTTCATAGCATCTGCTTGAGCAGCCCAGGCGGCATCCAGGTCTGCTTCTTCGTCTACATGGGCCATGGTCGCGCTTTCCTGCTTCAGACGTAACGGTAGAGCCTTCTGGTGTTCATCGGCATTGTCCACCATGAGCTCAATCTTGTCGCCGTATCCCCCATGCCGCATCCACGCAGGCTCTTCGTTCAGCTGCACCTTGACGTAGAGTGCGCGTCTTGCGCAGTCGTCTGAACACCACACCTCTAGCACCTTCCTGTCTACTATCTGCACACCGTGGTCTGTGTCAACAAACTGCTTCCTTGCAGTGGATCGCGCCTTCTTCTTTGGTTTTGGGCAAAGCGCATAGCCACACTTGTCGGCGATGTTGCGCTCCTCGATGAGAGCATCATAGTCGGCAGGCTGAAAGGGAATGACGGCCTTTTGAAAGAAGTGCGCATCTGAGGCTGATGGTCGCTTAGCATCTGCACCGGGCGAGGTGGGATAGTCCATCAGTGTCATGACAGCCTCGAGCACCTCTGCCTCGACGCGCTTGCGATCTTCAAGTACCGTGGCATGGTGGCGGGCGACTGCAAGGTGGCGCGGGTTCACGGGTTTCTTCGCAGGGGGCCCGTTTGTGGAGACAGTCGTGTTCTTGAGTATGGACTTGGGCGGCATGTCGGGTGTCTGTTGGTGTTGGGATCGTCGTGGCTAGAGTGTGAAGTGGAACCTCTTTGGGCGTGCCTTGGCGGAGCGTCGGGGGACTTGGGCGGGGCTGTTTCGAGCTTCGTCACCACACTTCTTCGCACGGAGGCACCTGCAGCAGCCCTCATCCTTCCCACTACCCCTCGCCCCGAGCTGTGAGGGTGCAAGCATTGAATGGTACGTCGTGACTTTGTTCCGCGCCTCCCGCATTGCTGCACATGCTGACATCCGCGTCATCGCAGCTCCACGTCCGAGACCCGCCGTGCACAACGCCCTAGAGAGCTCCCACACAATCTTGCCCAAGCGCTGTTAGGCAGGGACCGCAGCTGTCACCCCCCATTGAGCATCCTGCAGCTGGAACGACTGCATCCACCACTGTAGCCCGTCGCCATGTACAAAGTCAAGGCCGTCTACGACTACGCGTCCCCCCACGAAGATGATTTGGGCTTCAAGGTCGGCCAGATAATCTCCGTAACCGAGGAGGAGGGCGACGACTGGTATGTGGGTGAATACACCGACGAGAGCGGCACCAAGCACGATGGCCTCTTCCCCAGGAACTTCGTCGAGCGCTACGAGCCAGAGCCGCCGCCACGGCCCAACCGAGCATCGCGGCACAAGCCCTTAGAGCAGCCGCCTGTGCAAGAAGCTCCCCCCATGCCCCAGGCTCCTCAGCAGGAACCAGAGCCAGTTCAACCTCAGGAGCCGGAGCCCCCCAAGCCACAGCCTCCCCCCATCGAGGTGCCCCAAGCTGCCAAAACAACACCGTTGCCCATGTCGCCCATGTCGCCCATGTCGCCCCGCTCTGCTTCGAGCGCGAAGGCCCAAGAAGCCCTACCGCCGCAGTCAGAGTCGCCCAAGCCAGCTCCTCCTGCGAAGAAGGCCCCGCCACCTGTCGCCGCCAAGAACAATGCTTTCCTGAGCCGTATTGCCGCTTTCAACAAGACAAGTGAGCCTCCGCCTAAACCTATCAAGCCAGCTGGCGTCGCCCCGAGCTTTGTCAAGAAGCCATTTGTGGCTCCGCCGCCGAGTCGGAATGCCTACGTTCCTCCCACCCGAGAGTCGGCAGCTCCACCAGTCAAGACATACCGTCGTGAGGAGGATCCCGAGATTGCAGAGCGCCAGGCGCAGAATCAGAACGATGCAGAGCGTGCGGGACTGGTAGCTCATGACTCTCAGAAAACAAATGAAGGCGAAGAAGAGCAGCAGCCCAAGATGAGTCTGAAAGAGCGCATTGCTCTTCTTCAGAAACAACAGCAGGAACAGGCAGAAAGGATGGCAGCTGCGCACAAAGAGAAGCCGAAGCCTAAACCGCCAGTAGTCAGGAGAACCGAGTCCCAAGACGCCCACGCTGAAGACAGCGAAGACACTGGTCTAGAGCGCGTGACAAGTGGAGCGTCCAAGGGTCGTGCGTCCATGGACCAGAGTCGACCTCCGCGGGCATCTCATGACATTCGGTCTCCGGACTCGGAAGCCCGCAATCGCGAACTACTTAGCGAAAACGATGCCGACCAATCTGCCGCCGGAGACACCGAGGATGCTGGAGGAGAGTCCACAAGTGTCGAAGAGGATGAGGACCGACCAAAGAGCAGGCACCCGCCGCCGCCACCCCCTAGAGCACCTAATGCTCCTGCCGAAGAGCCCAACGTTGGCGACGAGCAAGATGTGCCGGAAGAAGAGGAGGAAGAGGAGGAGGAAGATGAGGAGACCGCAGAGCTGAGACGTAAAGAAGAGCTACGTGAGCGCATGAGGAGATTGGGTGGCGGCATGGGCGGCATACCCATGTTTGGCGGTCCTATGCCCATGGGCGGTCTTCCACCAAAACCACCAAAGAAGAAGTCGACCACTGAGAAGAAACCCGAAGACGCCGAACAGTACAGCATGCCCCAGCAACGTGTGCCTATGTTTGGGTTTGGTATGCCTGGCATGGCACCCGTCAAAAGCCCAGAGCCGGAAGACCGCGAGCTTTCCATCGAAAAGGAAGACGAGACCTCGCACCCTGTGACCAGCGCTCATCCAGCGGACGAGGTACCTGATGTAGAGGACGTCGCATCTCAGCCAACTCAACAAACATCTACTGGCAGTGGCGCCCCACCTGTCCCAACAGACCGTAAGTTCTTGATTCCTCGCAAACCAATCCACACTTTCGTACGCCATACCCAAGACTGCCTGCAGCCACCATCTTCCGAGACCTTGTCAAAGACCTATGTCACTTACGACGGTCTATCGGAATATGTTATGACTGTATGCGTGTCTAGTATGTGTGTGTGCATAATGCTGTAGTTTGCGTTCTTATTGATACTGTACTGACAATCCTTAGGACGACCTGCTCCTCCTCCGGTGCCAGCAGCGTGTAAGTCACGTCGCGTTATGATGCTCAAGCTTATACTGACAATACATAGCTCGACCAGTGCCACCACCCCCTCCTCAGGTTCTCTCTCCTGGACCCGGATCTGAGTCTGGCGATGAAATGACAGACACTGCTAACACACCGTCTGCTCCAATGCAAGCACCCAATAAGCGACTCTCATATTTTGCTTCCGGTGAGCCATCACAAGACCCATCAGAGAGGCGTGCGCCACCTATCCCGTCTGCCGGTCCCGGATCTCCTACAACAAGCCGGCCACCTCCACCACCTCCACCAGCACAAGCGCCCCCTTCGCGTCACGAAGATCTGCCAATCCGCAGAATTGACCGCAACGAGGGTGAGACCGACTACGAAGGTGATTATGACACGGACATGGCACCAGAGGCAACCCATAAAGATGCTTTGAAGTCACATGCTAGGGATTCAAGTGTAGAGGACAGCGCCTTGACAGACGAGCCAACATCAGCACGATCGCCCACAATTCCCCACGGCATGCCACCTCTTCCCCCTACTGCGCCTCGTGCAGTACCGCCTCCTCCACCCCAGCAGGCGCCCAGCCGGCCATCAACAGATGCACCACGTGGTGCTCCTCCTCTTCCTCCGGTACCGCCGCCGACTCGCAACGCCCCTATGGACGACGATGACGACGAGTATGATCCTTACAAGTATTCCGGACCACCTCCTCCACAGGCTGCGGCACCTGCAGCTCCTAGAGCAGTTCCACCACCCCCACAAAGTCAGCCGCCTCCCCCACAGAGTCGTCCACCGCCACCAATGCCACCATCGATGCCTCCCATGCCCCAGCGTCAACAATCAGACGATGAGGACGATTTGTACTCTTCGCCTGCGCCTCGGAAGTCTCACGACAGACCGCCACCTCCACCGCCTCAGGCCCCGCCGCACCAGCATGCACCTCCACCTCTTCCACACATGCAGGCTCCACCTCCCCCAGCTCAAGAAAGAATGGCACCACCTCCACCCCAAGAGCGTCCTGTTTCAATGTTCTCACCAGTTGCAACAGAGGCACCACCTCGGATATTGAACACTCGAAAGTCACTCGATGCTGTCCAGATGCTTACAACTCGCTCCTCTATGGATCAGACTCGTCCGACAACAAACCAAGGTTTCATTGCAAGTGATATCGATTTGGGGGTTTCTTCGCATTGGTGGACTCAACCCAAACTGCTCCCTCCTTCACTGCAGGGTCGTAAAGACGTCCTGGTAGACATGAAGGAGTCGCAGTCAGGCAACACTGTAGAGAAACTCATCAAGGTTCTTTACCTTGACTATTCACAGACAATCATTTCCGCTCGCTTCGAGGTCACCAATGTCTCCGACGTTGACCTGGAGCAGCGCAATGAGCCGCCACCTCCCAGCCAACGCCCAGACCAGCTAGAGAACGCGTACGAACAGTATGGTCGCTCGATAGCCAAGACCATTGAGTCAAAACAGAACACTGTTGTCGGCAACGGCACGCCGCACGGTCTGGTTGATGAGCTGTTGAAGCCCTTCAATGACGCGTTGCCTCCGATCTCGACCCGTTCGTATGGTGCGCTCGTTTACGCGAACTTGGCCAACGCGTCCACTCAATCTTACGATGAGATCCGCCCTGGTGACATTATCAGTTTCCGCAACGCCAAGTTTCAGGGTAAGACTGGACCAATGCATGCCAAGTACGCAATGGATGTAGGGAAGCCAGATCACGTGGGTGTTGTTGTCGAATGGGACGGTAGCAAGAAGAAGGTGCGGGCTTGGGAGCAAGGACGCGAGCACAAGAAGGTTAAGCCTGAGAGCTTCAAGATGGGAGATTTGAGATCAGGTGAGGTGCGGGTATGGCGTGTAATGAGTAAGAATTGGGTTGGTTGGAACTGATGGAACGGAGAGTCGTTTGTAGGTGTGCGAGTGTAGAATTGTAATTAGAACCTAGTTTTGTGTCTATGCTACCTACCTAGCTCCTGTAGAACTCCCCCCGTCAACACCGTCAAGTACATAAATCTATCTCAATACATCGGAACCTTTTTACCATCGTCCACATCGCAAACCACAACAAGAATTCAGAGTCAGCACGAGGCATGTGAGCTTCAAATTGATACAGATACTGCGCCCACTCTTAGTGCATCATCTGGTTTGTCCGAACCGTTCTTGCTAACGACTTCTTTGTTATGGAGTACGCCACCTCCTTACTCAACAAGAAACAGATCCAGCTAGAACAATCTGTGATGTCAACCTATCGCTTGAAATGTAGTACCGATGTTCGCCTCAACACAAAGAAGGGAGCGATAGTGGAAAGTTAATTAGAGTATAAAGATGAACCGTAGGTCGGCTCGGTAGGTTGTGTCTCTTAATCACGATTACACACTTAAGATAAGTATCACAACTGATCGAAGGAAGACGTGAGTAGCCAATTCGAAGATATGAGTGACAAATCAGGAAGTGGAAGAGACCGACACAGTGACATGCCTGCAGAAAAGAAGGGGAAAGCAGAGAGAGAGAAGCGATCTTGAAGGCCAAACTCGCAGAGACCTTGCGACTTGCTCAAAGGCTATTGAACGAACTCAGTAACGATGACGATGCACCAGAACCGGTGGAGATCTTAGAAACCACAGATAGCGATCTGATCGGCCAAGAGGATGAGGAAGATGATCTAGTTAAGCAGAGTACAACGGGTGAATCAGAGTTGTCTAGGAACAAGGGAAATAGTGGCAAAGCGAATATGGGCGAGCCAACCAATACCACTTCACATGCGCATCACGAGAAACAAAACCTGGAGGTTCCATCTGATCTCACAGTTACAGAAGCGACTTTGACTGAGAAAGTTGGCGTAGCTTTCGACAAAAAATATCGATGTATCGCACGCAGGAAAAAGTCGAACAAGAGTAACGTGGAGATGTTAGTCCTGGCTGATGAACTTCAATGGCTTAGGAGAACTGTTGTTCGGCCCGACCTCCCGGAGGCTTCCGAAGATTATAAAAGAGCTAAAGAAGCAGGAGAATTTAGGGAAGTAGCGATTCCGAGGTGGCACGAGGTCCAGGTACTCGAGAGCGTCAGTTTGAATACTGATGTGAACTCTGGGGAGGATGACGGCAGTGATGATGGCACTCCCGGAGACGAAAAGGATAAAACCGCACTACTAGACGGCGGAGATGACACGCAGGCTGGAGTAGATGAGCAAAATAGCTTAGTAGCAGATGCAGAAACTCAGACAGAGCCTGATCAGGCTGCACTAGACGACGCTGAATCTAGTAGCAGCGCAGAGTCTCAAAGCTCTGAACAGCAACGTGTCTCGAAAAGGGACGTAGCAGCTACGGAAGAAAAGAATAGAAAGATTCTTAGAAAGAATGTTCAGGGAGAGGCAGCAGAGAGAACATCAAAGTCTCAAAAGGACAACAAGAGAGGCTCCACCGCGCCGGCCAGTATGTAACCACCAGCGAAGAAGCCAAATTCTGCGAAGACCGCAAAACATGCTGAAAATTCGGGTGAGGATGACATGGAGGGTATAGTCGATGCGGACCCAGAACAGACATAGAACTGCTCTTCGTGACCACTCGTAGTGGCTGACGTTCGTCGTCCATCTAGCCAAACCAGCTGCCTTTGGACCGTTTGCTAGACACTTGAAATTGCAACAACTATCTCGCTCTTTCGTACGAATCAAGGGGTAATATGATGTCATAAACGTTATGTTCCTGAGCATGCCTGCTTAGAGCTGCTGATACTTCACGACCATAGTCTGTGTAATATTCCAGCATTTGATCCCGTTAAACACTGAAATTTTCGCGGTACTTTTCATGCAAAGTTCGTAGCTTCAAGTATCATTTCCTCGTACTAAGCTGCTACCTTTGAGTTTGATGAAGCCACTCGTGCCGTATAGCAAGCTTGAAATGATCAGCACTGGTGATATGCGACGTGATTGCTTGCACACCTAGCAATAGTACAAGTAGGGAAGAGCGTCGTGCAGAAGCCTAAATTCATTCGTCACTACCTCCCTAAATCACACCTGACATATCAGACACGACATGTCGGACAATGACCCAGAACCAACGAAGTCCAGCAGAAGTGATGAGCTGCAACTCAAGTCTGAGACAACCACGATCAAGCCGAATGAGAGCACAACCTCAGACAACCATGACGAGATTAGAGTGCCTGCCGACATGGCAAAACTCTGGCTGAAAGATTCAACGCCGAACGACAACGGTACAGAGGTGATTGGAGACATCATCGCTGTAAGACGACGGGGTGGTCCAAAAACAAATTATAACTACCTACTGACATCATCGATAAGAAAGCCTCCCAGTACTGAGGGAGAAAATCCGGAAGCTACCAATGACTTACTAGAATCAGGGATCTGGTACTGGCCAAGTCGCGTTACACAAGAGGCGAAGAAAACTTGGAATGGCCTAGAGAACAAAGTTTCTATGCTAGAGCTGAACCTGGACATCAAAAGTGATCTGACTCGATTTAGTGTGTTCTTAGTTCGCATCGATTCTGACAAGGTAAATCCACTCTATGGGGTTGCTAACTGGGAATGGGAAGCAATTGGAAAACCTCTAGACATTATAAGATTTCACGCAAAAACGAAGAGCGCTGCTATTGCACTTCCAGAAGTAACAGTGGACAACGCTGTTGCTGATAGAAAGTCCAGTACATCATCTGAGAAGCAAATGCTTGAGGCAATTTTGCGACGAGCGAAGAATTCGTCCGGCTGGTCCATTTGCGGAAAGAACGACTATGGCATCTATGATCAGGAAGACTACCAGAAGGCAAGAGCACTTTCTCTTAAGACCGCAGCTGAAGTACTCAAAGCTGCCTTCAATCACCACATGGAACCATGTAACTTGACCGAGAAGCAAGGAGAAGATCTCAGTAGCATCAGACTGCACTTTGTGGGACGCGTCGATCCTCTTTCCCCTCCTTCGAGATCAAGCGACATCGCGCGAGAGGGACCCGAGATATTCCCAACGCTGATATTCAAAGATGTCTTTGATAATCTACAAAGCTGGAGTGCCGAGAACTTGCTTGGCCTAAACCAGACAGAGCGGGAAGGCTTCGTCAACTCAATTGTACGCCAAGCGCCTCACATGTTACATGGACGCCATGGGGTCTTACCCCTTGTACTTGTTCTTAGGTCGGAGGAAGGCCTCAGAAGGGAGCTCCAGGCATGCAACATTCAGGTCGAGGATGAGTGGTATGAACGCTCTCATCAGGAAATCCTTCTCATGCTCAGCACGTCGCTGAAAGACGAATTTCCAGAACTAGAGGTTTCAGAGATCCATGCTACGTGGGAAAGTCTGAAGCGAATAATTCAGGCGAACGATAACGAACAGAATGCAGCAATTATCTAGAGACGGTGTCGAATAGAGGCGTGAGAGAGACCAGTATGACAAAGAGACTAGACCTGAGAACCTACAGCTAAAGCTGGTGCATCTGTAAGGCAAGGTAGCCATAATAGATACGGAAATATCGATGAGACAAAAGACCAAGATGACTCTTGTGCACGCGAGGCCCTGTTGACGTCTGTGCAACCATGTATCCGATCTGCTTCTTCCCCTCCGTACTCGAATCTATAACCCAACTGTATAATCTGTGGATCTGCAAGGACGTCTTTCTTGCTACCTGGGTTACAGGGCGCGTGCCAGACTCATCTCCCTCTCCGTATTGTTCTCAGTCGCCTATCAAGCGTGCTCCTCTAATCTTGACCCCTTCCCGTTCGACAGCCTGTTTGCTAGCATCTTTTCTTGGTACGGAGAAGCTTCGCGAAGCCAGATTGATACGTGGAGATATCGACGACGGAGATGACCGGCAAGCTACTGAAGATGAGCGCGTGCTGGGAACGACAGAGGGGGCAGATGCGACGTAGGTGTCTTCGTACACCTGCGTCCAACAGGCGTGCGGTTGGTCGAAGTATCAGTCTTCGTGGCTGTAATCATAGGCATTTCGCGTCCTGCTCATATCGAGGTGGTAAACTATGGATTGGCTCAACTGGAAGAAGTTGTTTCCTGCCTGGAAGAGAGTAGGTCGAAGCTGTATGCTGGTAGGCGGCATCAAAAAGACATCACTCTGGACATCGCGACAGCCTGTTGCTATCTATCGAATTCTGCGGGTATGCTTGTGCTATCTGGGCTTGTTACTCTCAACTCTTTAGCTTTTCTGACCATTTCGCGTCAAGCTGGTTTCCAAAGGGCGAGCGCAATGCACACCCTGGGTAACAGTAATACATGTACGAGGGCGCTGCTGGTCTATCGGGTTGTACGAAAGGGCTGACTGAGATGATGTTGGATGAAGGTTGGTGTGTCACCCGGAAAAGCAGCCGCACTATTGTTTTGCGCTTACTAACTTCAGGAAAAGCACCTCGATGAATCAATGACGCGGTAACTCCTTTTGCTCAGGACGCCATTCTTCCATCGTAGACGCACCCGAACAGATACTTCAGCCGCGGAGCCTTATCATGGCGCGACAGCACCAAACATGCAATAAAACGCCAAGTCGACTTCGCGTAGATGGCGAGGCGCTGAAGGTGGGTCAAGGGGCGGCTGCAGAAGATCGTCGCCTCTTTATCGTTAAATCCATGCAAACTCCGGGAATAATTACATATCCACGGATCCAAGTTGGACATGATACAAATACTCGGCCTTCCGTCATTGTAGCCAAGAATCCGTCTCGCCGACTCTCAAACTTCTCGGACCGCTATGGCAGACTCCAACATAGGCCCCCAGCATACACCAGTATTGCCGCAGTCTCAAATGCCTCCAGAACAGACACCAGCTGCAAGAGAGGATGATTACGGAAAGAGCGAGGAAGATACGACACATGACTTGGAGAAAGCTTCAAGCAGCACCGCGCCACCTCCGATAGATACGGAGTCCTTCTTCGTAGAGTTCGATGGACCCAACGACCCTGACAATCCAAAGAATTGGACGCCAAAGCGGAGATGGGGGATCACTATCTCTATGGGCCTCATGGTTTTCACAGTCACATTTGCCAGCTCGATATTCAGTGTCAACATCGGTGTTGTCCAAGAGAAGTTCAATGTTGAACTGGTCACAGCTACCCTTGGCGTAGCATTATTCGTCCTGGTACGTTGAGCAACTCCTCAGCGATCGGCTACCCAGTAGCTAACACAGAGCTACAGGGTTTCGTGTTCGGTCCAATTGCCTTTGGACCCATGTCAGAAGTGCTTGGCCGGAAGCCTCCCTTGATGTTTGGCTTTGCACTGTTTGCTATCTTCCAGATCCCAGTAGCACTCGCGCAGAACATTACAACGGTATGCGTCGGTCGATTCCTGGGTGGATTCTTCGCCTCTGCGCCTCTGGCAGTCGTTGGTGGAGCTCTTGCAGACTTGTGGGATCCCATCCCTAGATCTTATGCCATCTGTGTCTTCGCTGCCGGCGGATTTGCCGGCCCCGTAGCAGGCCCCATTGCTGGTGGCTTCATTACAGAATCACACCTTGGATGGCGGTGGACGTCGTGGATCACCCTGATCATGGCCGGTCTGTTCGGAGGCATCGGCTTCTTCGTCGTTCCGGAAACGTCAGCCGCCAGGATACTGCAACTGCGAGCTGCCAGATTACGAAGGGAGACGGGTAACGACAAGTACCACGCTGCAGCAGACGAGAACAAATTGACAGTCGATAAGGTTGTCAATGTCTATCTCTTGAGGCCATTCATCATGTTCATCCAGGAACCAATCTTAGCACTTGTGACAGCCTACATGAGCTTTTTATACGGCATCGTGTACTTACTATTCGAAGCAGTAAGTGTTCATCCCTATAATCTTCGATAATAACGCCTGACAAGTGACAGTTCCCGGTGTCGTTCCACGAAGAACGAGGATGGTCTTTGGGTGTATCGCAGCTGCCATTTGGTGCCTTTATCGTTGGCATTCTGCTGGGTGCTGGCTGCATCGCTTATAGCTCCGCCACAAACTTTACTCGCGCATTCCACAAGCACGGCAGGGTTATTCCGGAGGAACGTTTACCACCTATGATTTTAGGGGCAATTGCACTCCCTGCCGGTCTATTCTGGTTCGCCTGGACTAGCAGTCCCGACATTACCTGGGTGCCACAAGTGCTCTCGGTTGCTCTCCTCGGTTTTGGATGCATGGTGCCGTTCTGGCAAGGTATGAGCTACCTCATCGACTGCTATGGCTTCTATTCCAACAGTGCCATCGCGGTCAATACCTTCATTCGCTCTTTCGCAGGCGCGTTCTTCCCACTGTTTACGCATGCCATGTACCACAACCTTGGTGTACCTTGGGCGAGTAGTCTTTTGGCGTTCATCTGCGTAGTCTTCCTTCCTGTTCCCATTCTTTTCTACATCTACGGTGCACGAATAAGGAAGAAGAGCAAGTGGGCACCAACAGCATAAGAAGTTAGGAATTGAGCATTGTTCGTGGCCAGCGGTCGAGCGCTTTACACATGGGTATCTATTTCTCAACCACTTGTCATTTCTAAGAATTCCATTCATACATTCATTTCCTCTGGTATCTGCCTGCATTGGTTCATTCAAACTTGGGGGCCCATCCGTGGAATCCAGCGAGCTTTCCTTCAGTCATTCTCTTAACGCGCTCGAGTCGCTCGACTGGTCCCAAACCCCTCAACTCCTCCCAGTCCAGGTCGCCGAACAACTGTGTCAATGTCGCGAAGGCAAAGGCCCAGTATCCGCCTGCTGCACGTGCTGCTTCATACTCCGCCGAGCATCTAATCTTCTGCGAAGGAAAAAACCAACCACGACGCCAGTCCACGCGTCCAACATACCACTCTTGGCATGTTTGAAGCCAAGTCGATGATTCCCAAAGATATTGCCTCAAGGTGCCATCCATGATCATCTGTCTGCCATCGCCCATCTCGACGTACAGCACGGAGTGCATTAGCACCATAGGCTGATTCGGATTACTGCGCCACGTCAAGATGCGGTCGATCTTTGGCCAATATGTCAACCACTGGGCACGTCCGTTGAATAGCTTCCTGACCACTCTGTTCACTTCCTCCTCTAGAACAAGACTGAACCAGTCGCACATGTTAAAGCGCGAGAGTGCGTCGTTCAACCACAGTGGCAGGAAGGTGCAACGGCTGAGGTCTTCGGGGTCAGGCGGGGCGAACACTAGGTCTTCTATCGACCAAATCTTCCAGATCGGGACTGGGACCGAAGGATCGTGAAACTCGATCGCGTATGCGGGGATGGCCTTTGGGGCAGTATCGGCGGCGGCGTGGAAGCAGACCAGGAGTACTTGCAAGACCTCTTCCAGGGACAGGCGGGTTGCGTTTATGGTAGATGCAGCTGACACCATGATGGTTTTATGAGCAAGAGAACGACTTCTGCTCAAGAATGTGTTGTCCTGGTGGTTGTAAGAGTATAGAGGGACGGCGACGATTCATCTTGAAATCAGGCGCTAGTGGTAAGTCAGTGCACCCTTGTAAACTTGGGAGCGGCTTCACTAACTATTCCACTAAGCTGTGATCTCAAGGAAACTGTTTCTTGTTGTCTTTGAAAATATAGGCAGTATAGTGTCATTGACGAGGTCATAAAGACCTGTCCTACTGTGCCACTGCCTCCTCATATGCACCCGCAAAATTGGCCCTGCTCAGAGTGCGAACCTGCGCCTCAATCTCATCTTCCGCACATCCACGCAGAGAATGCCAATCCACTTGCTCAAATATCTGCTCCATACGCCTGCTCGCGACAGCCCAATATCCATACTCGTTGTTCATGCTCAGCGCCTCCGCACGAATAATCTAGTCTCCTCTGAAGTATTCTTCCAAATACGGAGCTTGGCTCAGATCCATATGGCCTTCCACAAGCTCATCCTTTGTCATGAGCCAATGTGTCACCCAATTCCTTCCGTATTGATCGATAGTACCATCGAAGATGTACTCTTCACCGTGACCGTCGTTTACCAACAAGACTGAGTGACCAGGTGGGTTGTGAAAACCTCGCAGGTCTGAGACGAGAAGAATGTATGGTATGGCACGAAAACGTCTCCACTCAGTCGCGTTGCTGAGGCCGAGAAGCTCTGTGAATGATCGGTCAGTTACCCACGGCGCAAAACCTGTAGTACGTCGCAAGAGCTTACTTTCCAGATGTTGTTCTACGAAAGGCTGCATGATCGCACAGAATGTGTCGCATCTCATCCTCATGATGTAAGCGCGATATGTATAGCTTGTCTTGATTCGTGACATGTTGGGGAGCCTCGGTATGAAATCTCCGCTCGATGGAAGGAAGGCTATCGAATAGGACTCCGAATAGAATGTGTCACAGATGATATCCAACCACCTGGAAATCTCGTACCCGTAGACATGGTAACCAAAGACCGCTTCTTGGAATACGATGAGGTGTACAAGAAGGATCTGGCGAAGGGTAAGGGGCGGGAGAGGTGGGGTAACTGGCATGCCGGCTACACACGGGTTGGTGGCCATGAGTTGAGGAGAAGATATGAAAGTCACTTGAAAGAATGGTGTAGCATGAGTTGCTGTCATTTGTGCTCGCAGCGTGGGCGTTTGGATGTTATTACTAGCGTGGAAGTGCGTGCGCTTTGCTCCTCCAAAACGCTCGATCTATCCAAGTCGCTCACCCAAACTTGGCGTCTTGGTCACAGTCTTCTGTAAAATTGTCTAGAAAAGACTCCAATCACGACAATATGGAAGACTGGGTCGGCCAGAAACACATCTTGGAGGCCGCACTGATCGACTGCTCAAAACAATACAGCGGAAACCCCCCCAGGGAAACATAGGTCAGCCAACTTTAGGATTACTTCATCAGCTAGGGATCTAAGACACCAATAGTAGGTCTTCGAGCGATGATAGCTATACCAGACGGGCATTGAGAAGCTCGAAATTGACAATCCGACTGCCCTTGCAGCGATCGAAGAAGCTCGTCATACAGAGCCAAATGATGATAACCATTTCGGATCGCTTCGTACTAAGGCGACTCCCCACCTCAAGAAAGATTGCAGTACCCGAATATACAGTGTGGCTGCATACATGCACCACTATCCCTCCCGCGCTGCGAACGATGTCGACCCGAGCGACGACAAAGACATGCTTTCAATCGGCCCATCCAAGGACATTGCGTTCAATTGCTTGCTAGTCACGCTTTACAACCTCATACATGCGCCACATATCCAAAGAGCGACAGTCCCTTTCTTCCCCTCGCCCTCGTTTTCAAAAGACAGCCATCACCGAAGCGCTACTAGCTGCCATCAGCGTAGAGTTCACTGAGTAGAATCTCAGCGAAATGACGGTGCGCGAATTGGAGCTGCCTCAGGTACAACATAAAGAAAATTGCTGAGCTCAGGCTTTCAAAACCTCCACGATAGTATAACAACAAGTGGTACTCAGACGTGGCTGCGGACCATAATAGATGGATGGACGTCTGTAAGTACCATAACGCCAGTTTCGAAGAACGGAACCTTCTGATAGAGCATAGGGCGCAGTTTAGGTACGTACAATCAGATCACTTAGGAAGTCGCGAATTGACAAATCTTAGGCTACAGTATCCCTACATCCCACTAGCCTCTCGCTCCCTCGTTATTCATCATTGCAACCTACCTGCGGCATCTAAGAACGACTGTAATACTGTTTACCCCTTAGCATTGCGTCGAGAGGGTTCGAGGTGCACAACTGGCTAGCGCGCATGCTTGGAGACCGTCGCACGAGCGCAAGAACGTGGTGGCTCATACGTTTGGTGGGATACAATGGCTTGATGGCTCTGAATACGTCCATGTCGAAGCAAACGTCTCCAGCAAGCTATACTCCTGGAATGGCGCTATACGATATGTAGTACGCTGCCGGCAGCAAGTCATGTGGCAGCTAACTGAACTGGTGCCTTCTTTAGCAGCAATACGACTACTGGGTCAAAAAAGATCAGAAACATGGCATGCTTCCCGTTCATGATTGTTTCTACCAAAAGCTAGGTCTGTGACCGGTCTGCACCACGAGCAATCCTATAGTGTGATTCTAATATGATACGCAACGACTTTATGATTCAGCATAAAGGTGGGAACCATACTAAACCGTATCATAAAGTTCATGAACAAGTCTTCGTGTGCCATGGCTATCTATTTTTGAATGGGGTATTTGCATGTCATCTGAACAACCAAACTCGTTGGCAGGCCAGAAAGCGCTGACGCGCAGTCATTGTCCTCATTGACCCAGTGAACACCATATGCTGGTTCAGATAGCATCTTGTCATCGCTAAAGCTGTGACAGATCCTAGATAAACCAGTTCGATTGTCATAAAGCACACGAGTTCGACGTGCATACAGCTGTAGTCCGTTATTCACCGCTACGAAGGCTACGACCATTCTGCTACCCTATTATACCAACAGCTACCACTCGGCTATATGATACGACGATATAATACGATCAAGGAGTCTACATCTCACCACTACTAGGCTTAACCAGAAGTGTGTACTATGTACTCTGTTTGGTCAACGCGTTCCGCGCCCTGCGTTTCCTAAAGAACTCGCTAATTTGATCTTTCACAGTGCGAATCTCCAAGGAGTATAAAGCCGCGCCGTGGCATCTTTTTTTGCTTCGATCACTGGCAATGACAGGGACATAGAGTGAATCTTTTTACTTTTCAGAGTCACTTGTGAGACTTGTTTGGCCGGTATGCGGAGATTGGCCAGGTGACAGTGCGGACAATGACGCGTTCCCCACTACAACATGGGCCAGGAAAGCTGATGGATCTCCGAAAACACAATCGAGTATAATAGAAAGGACCTCACAGCCCTTTTATGGTTGTGTTCCTACCGACTTGGCAGATTCGCGGCTCAATAGCATATCTGCAATATTTCAAACTCGAAGTTCACCGCCTTCGCTTCGCATCGTCTGCGCCTGACTCAATGAAGAGTACCGAGTTTTCTACTGCAAGATTGATTGCAGAAGTAGATCGTTGTACCGGATATCTCTTTGGCATTCGGTCATTCTGCCGTGGTTACATAGACCATCAAGGCGCCAAGTGACAAGCTGTGGTTGTCATCCAGCTCATCTACGTGAACCATAGAGAGCATTTCTGCAAATACGACCTCAGACTTGCTACTTATCCTCGTCGGATTGATTTGACCCCCTTTGTTTTCGATCTACACACTCGTTATGTAGGTCTGTTGTGTTGTTGACCCTCTGAAGACTTGTGCATTCGGCCATTGAACATCAGTACCCTTTCAGATAGGCATTTAAGGTGTTTGTAGTCGGAGAATGTAATGATATGTCAACCCTTGTATCCCTTTCCTTTCTGTACATGAGAGTAGGTGAACGTGAAGAAGATGGTCGGCCGGTTTCGCAGCATAGCGAGGAGAGGTCCAGTCGCTGAAAGATCAAAACACCAGGGTCGATGTCTCTCCTTCACCTCTGACACACGTCGCATACACAGCCAATTTCTTGATCTCAAGACACTTTCCAATCCTGAAGGTATTGTACTTCGACGCCTCCTTTGTCGCTACCTTGTCTATCCCACGCAAACACGACAAGCAATTTCGTCTCAGCATGAGCAATCCGCAAGCCACGTTACAGAGGCATGCCCTCAATCGCATATCAACGTTCATGGTCGCAATCTTCACCCTCATCATGAGAGTGGTTGATTCCCGTATACTGTTGCGCAAAGAGATAGTCGGTAATGAACTGCATCTCTTCTTCTACAAAGAAGACTTGGGTGATCAATTTGTCGCTCAAGAAACCGGATACACCTCCATTGAGGCAGAGGAAGCTATGGAATCCCATAATTATTGAGTTTTCGTGTGGAAGGTCTTTGCTGGTATGCTGGCTTGGTTGATAGAGGGTGCGCCAAGTTCCAGTCGCATACAGTAAATCCTGACCGCTAACAAGACGCCATCTAGAGCTCCACCTTCCAATCACAGTCGATGAAGCAGACTCGATGTCTCTCAAGTCCAGCCTGTCGTTTGCATCGATGTCATTAGCCGGGAACAGAGAAGAGTCGCACCCGTTTACACAATGTTCAAGGTCCTCTCCTCGGACGCCTACTCAAAATTAGACGGACTCGTTGAGGAAGAGAGATTGTACATCGACGCTTCAGCGCCTCAATACCTCCGCCCGGCTGGACTATACGCCGTCTGCAGTTATCCTGCACGACCACAATCCTCTACGCAGCTTGGTGGTGCCTACGAGGCCCACCTCAAGAAGTTGCATCAAGCCGCTACTTGGAGCAATTACAGAACAGAGGCCGTTATTCTAACGATCGACAACAAGATATACGCGAAGATGAATGGGCCTGAAGGGCCTAGGATTCTGCTGGATACAGACATCGCGAAATGGGAAAGCTTCGAGAGGGAGATGCTTGCTTCCGTCGAGATCAGTCTCCGGTCTTTAGTTACCAATCTAGACCTCCTGTACATTCCCGTATACGACAGGAAGACATACCACAAGCTCGTCGCTCAAGACTGTTTTGATACCGGCCATGAGAAGATCATAGAATCTCTGGAGCGAGTTTCGGCTCGTAAAAAGATCGTGATATGGCAAGGCATTTGAGCAGTGCTGATCTATGATTCTCTTACGTATGAGCTCGAGATAGGGCTTCAGTGGTGGACCTCAGTGAGAAGTAGGGATGTGAATATGTTCGTTTAGCGCAGGATTTCAGACTCCAGCAAAATCATGATACCCAAACCACCAAATTAGCGCATTTTGATATCGTTCATGACTTCCTGAGTGATACTAATGATCAAGTATCAGTTAAATCTGCCTGCGCAGTGGATGCCGTGAAGTACAGAGCGGCTTGTCAGTTTGGCCATTGGCCATCGTTTGTTATCTCCAAAGCGGCTGAACTTTGGAACCAACGCAGGCAGGCGCATGCTCTCTGCCACCATAGGGATGTATTGTAGCTGGGTTAGCTTGTCCCACAGTCATGAGTTCTGGTCAAGAGAAGAACTCCTTGGCGTGTCCAGGTTCGCCAAAACTTGAATCGCCTATGATCACGATGATGTGTTCAGGTCACATGGCTGAGTCCCCTAAGGGCTGCGCCCTTGTCAGCAATTCTATACCGCAAAGGCCAAAAGATTCTTCTTCTGATGAGATACGCGGCCTCTATCAGATAGCCGAGTCTTATAGATGAGAAGGCTGGTGTCGAAAGAACACTACGACAGAGGGATTGAAAATGTGCCGCCAGGCTCCGCTCACACACCAGCCTACCACGAACAGTACCCTCTCCTACCAACGACAATCAACAACATCATCCGTACCACACAAAGCTCCCAAACGGATGCGTAGGCCCAAATCTCCTAGACTGAAGCGCGCAGCAGCTTGACTTTTGCATAGTGCGTTGATGCTTGACAGTTCTAGGACGGCTGAGGGTCGCCCGAATTGGAAGTCTGAGGCTGCTCTCACCATTGCGGATCGTAGAGCCGGTACCAATAATATCGAGACGGACGGAGAGGGAGAGGCACGAAATTGAACGATCTATCCCTTGTCTCACGGCGTTCGATTCGACCGCAAGCAGTGGATATCGAAGAGGCACAAGGAAAGGGGACGTCGGCTCCGACTTCGCGAGTCTGTGGTAGACAATGTTGCCTGAGGATCGTACGTCAGCAATGATGTTGCGTAGGACACCGTTGTCTGTTCAGATGGCAGACTTTATGATGAGACATGCCGCTGATCGGATCGCCGAACACGTGTCTTGCAGGAGCTTGAATCTGCCTTCCGGCTCTTTTGTAAGCCATCTCCACGAACATGTATCGGAGAGCAGCGCGCACAACCATGTGCGAAGGCCTTGCTGCCGCTGTCTGTCAAACCATCTACACAGGCTGGGACGCCCGCCACATACCATCTATGTACCTCGGACCATGGCCTTAGATACCGACAAAGATTACAGGCCGATGCGACCATTATAGATTGGAGTCGCGGCAAGACGATGTGAGGGCGTACATAAGAAAATCCGGAAGTTCATGCTTGGCCACGTACTAATCATGTTGTAAGTCTCGAAGTACAGTAGCGGACGACAAGACCGCAAGCTGGGCGGCCCACAGTATTTCCGTGCAGGTTCGACTGCGCTATGGACGTAACGAGCGGAGATCGAGGATGTATTGGGGGCTGTCGGCCCGAGAATCAGCAACATGATACTCCGAGTCTGGTTTACAGTATAACCCCCGACAGGTGTGCTAACTGTGTTGTAGGAAGCCGGGTGCGGGACAGGGTTCAGTTAGCGGAATGCTCGCCGATATACGCAGGGAGCCGCGCCTGCATCGCCTGGCTGCGCTTTTCGACAGGGCGAGGCCGCCCCCACGAGAACCAAGAAGATCTCATGTCTCTCCACAGTCTTGTTGGAGTACGTAGCGATCGTAGGCAAGGCGGTCGAGGACGTGGATTCGGCGGCTTCGGTCAAGCCCTCGGGCGTCTCCTTTGGTATGGCGGCAGGCTTGTAGTGAGCAGAGCTTCTGCGTCGTGTGAAGATGGACACCTTGCCACTGACAGTGGCCTCAGTACCTTCACCACGCTGTGTCGGGGTGATTGAGTTGGGGCAGTGTGGTCTGGAGGAAGGGGCAGAGAGAGTTCAACCAACAACCAACTTCATCGGTCCGTGCGCTGAGGGCGCCTCCCTCAGCAGCCCAGCAACAACATCAGCACCTTCTCAAAGCATTATCGCGCATTACAAGGTCTACGCTTTGTGCGTGAGCCTCTACTCTGCAATTCCCCTTGCATGGTCTGATAGAAAAGGTGTCCTCTTTGCTGGCTATGGTTTGGCAAACTCCGTAGGGTAACAGAAAGCCCGAGACCGACGACATGCGTAGCAGCGGCAACGCGAGTTCAAAGACTCGAACAGCAGAATCAAGAATCGCCAGGACCTTTTCAGACACCTCTTCATTCTCCTATCACCACATACGGTCCCTGCATCGATCTACGCGCATTGCAGCGCCATAGAGATGGAAGGCCTTTGTCACATCCATTGGCAGCAGCTACTACTGCACTAACGACGATGGCTTGCAACGACTACAGCCCCCGTTATCCCACAGTCTTCGGACCTGTTTGACATCACAGATGCAACCTTCTTGAGCAATCAGATCGAATGGTCGTGGCGGAGAATGGAAATGTCTGGGAAGAAGGACAAAGGAGGGGGCAACTACCTTGCGCTGGATTATGGAGGCCCATATCACCGGTCGCATTGCAAAAGCACCACACCTCAGCCACCTTATATACTTTTCTTTGTTGCACTCGACGCATCCGTTGAAGTGGTGGGAGCATACCCTGCGATAGCAAAATCTGGACTCGAAATAGAGGCCGATTATGGTATGTCCATGACTCGGACTTGACATTTTGAAGCTTCGAATGAGACGTCTGGCCCTGGAGTCATCAGCGACCTAGTAAAGCTCATGAAGACTTCGGCTAGGCTGGAGAGCCTTCACATCTTCTAGTTGCTGTATCAAGACGGGGGAAATCTGATCGTTCTGCAGAATCTTGAAAGCTTTGCAGGGGTTTAATATCTATACGCTGGAGTGGCAGATGACAAAGATCACATAGCCATCCTTACTCTCGCCGAGAAGATTCAGTGGCCGGTAAACTCGATTGGCGTTTGGGGGGGCATTTCACATTGAGGGGGACAAAAGGATGACATTACCAAGACGTATCATACCCCTAAGCGAAATGATATGCAAGCAGCTGTCATCTGCGAGAAATAAAAACATTGTGGAAAGTTATTCACCTGGCGGTGTCGCGAGATCATTTTAGAAGCCACTACTCACAAGATTGCGCCGTAGCGGTTATGTGCATTACACAGGCCTCTTTCATAAACAATATCAACAACACGCACGGCAAACTTGGAGGATATCATACTAATGAATTCCACTTCGGTTGCCATTCGTAACATCCACTAAGGTCGTCAACTATCTACTCCCTACAAATCTCTATCGTCAATAATGTCCATTCCCCCGTCCTCCACCGCCTCTCTAAATTCATCATCTGTAACTTTTGGCTCCATGATGATCTCCATGACATCCAATAGCCTTTCAGAATCGAAGAGTTCCTTCATCAAGGCAGTTGCCTCATTCATCCACCTACTCCTGAGTTCCTCCCACGATGTATCTCCTTCCAGATCATAGTTCGCAATGAACGAATAGAAGTCATCGCCAATAATTAGGCTATTGGTATCTTCGTCTTCAATCACGTACTCCAGCTTGTCTCTTTTCTTGTTCATGCGGTATTTCTCCGGTATGCGTGATGCGCTGTTGGTTAGATATCGAAGCAAACCGATCATCTGCTTGACAACAGCTTGCTCATCCCAGGTCGTGACACCGTGGGGATGCACAATCCTTACTATCGGAAACTCCTCCTTCTCCGTAGGCGTCAGTATGATGTTGCTTCCCTTCAGATTCGTGTGCCAAATTCCTTTCGGCTCAAGCTCGCTGCCTTGTGCAGCCATGACTTCGTCGAAGATCTTGCAGATGAGGAAAGGCGGGAGACCGTCTTGGAAGAAGTTTTCCTTGAGGTGTTGCAGGTCACGGCCATGGCAGAAGGACGTGACGTACCAGTTTCCTCTTGGGTCGTAGTCGATGACTCTGGTGACGCGGCGAGTCTTGATACTGGGGAGTGATTCGATCTGTCTTAAGAGTGCTTCACGTTCTTCTCTTGAACGAGGAATTCTCAGTGCTAAAAGAGAAGAGGGGGTTGGCTTGACGAGGTTGTTGGGAATTACAGCAATAATGAGGCCATTTGGGCTTCCGCTAATGAGTTTGATCGGAACATACTTGTCGATAGCAGACTTGGGAACATTGGGTGGTAATGTCATGGCGTGAAATTGATGCATGTTTGGACTTTAGTGGAGGATATGTGTATCGTTGGACAGCAAGCTACAAGACAGACACAAACCAATTTAGGAAACGAAAAGGCTTGTGACCGATTGCGGACACTGACTAGCCGCTGATAAGCTGGGTTTGCGCGGTGAACTTGCGGATCAAGCGGACCCTGATGATACTAGCCAGTGAATGAGGAAGAGGTGAGTCAAGAAGAACCATCAGTGACTTTAGAATAGATCTATGTTGTAGCATAAGTGAAATCCTGCAATTCTCATGCTAGCGCTGCAGCTGAAGCTACGGATGGAGGGAATGAAGCCACCATTGCACTCAAGGCTTCTCTTCTCTGGAGGATATCACACCTGTAAGCTGAATAGCGTCATCCACCAAGTTATTAAGTTGATCGAACTCGCCGTTGAGCCATCTGTCGAGCAAGACCTGATCCTCGCTAACAAACGTAGGCCGTTCTGCGGGCAAGACCTTGGTGCATTCTTTGAGGTCGTTGATGTTGTTCACGCCGAGAAGCGACAAACGCGTGTAAGCCTTAGCATAGTCCTATATCATTTCGTCAGATGAGATATTTGTTTGGAGATATGTGCAGTCATACCGCGTTCCATCGACCCTGAGCAGTAGCCCGATCGCTGAACTGCTGCCACGAAGGACTTGTTCTAGAATCCTTACTCAAGTTGATGTCGCTTTGGAATTTGATGACACGGACAGGCGCATTATTCGTAGTCTGCGGGTAGAAAGCCATATCCCAGACACCAGGGGTTGAGTCTTGTGGGTCACCATCGCGAGTGGTATCGACGAAGTGTTGTTGCGAAGTAGTGTGCGCCCCGACAAGAGCTACGAGATCATGAGCATCGATGGTTTTGTCTTGGAAAAGCTTGATGAGCTTGTCTGCAGAGTCCTTTTCTCCAGGAAGAAGGCCGGTAGGGCCAGCCTTGCTATTATCTTTGCGCCCAACGAAGGTTCGAAGTCGTGGTCCAAGCGGACAAACTACGGTCGCGACATTGGCACCGAATTGAATGATATCTGCCATACTCATGCCGTATTGATTGTATTTGGTATACCACTTCTTTGTTTGATCAGCAATTGCCGAAAGACCGTTGTTGTCCGCACGCGACATCTCGTCGCTAAGGAGGATACTGCCGTCTGCACCACCATAACTGCTGCTCTTAGACCAGACGGCTGCATCATGGAAACCCAGGCGGACGGCTTGACGAGCAAACTTGCTGCAACGACCGGATGTACCGTTGAATTTGGCGGTCATTTCGTACGCCAACCATTTCCAATGGCAGCACAGATCAGCTTTGCAGGCAGCGCTTCCGATGTTGCCAGCCGGAATAGAGCCATCTATGGTAGCCGACTCAGCAGACTTTTGGTCAAGTATGATGGCTTTGATGTCCTTGCCAATAGCAGTGAGTTTGGAGTCTGCCAATGTCTTGAGGTCGCCAATAAGCTCTTTCGAAGCTGCACGCTTCTCACGAGCTGCAAGGTAGCGCATTTCGTTCATCGTGTCACCCATCCCCGGGTGAGCTTCAGTAAGTGAAACAAATGCTAGCAGGGCATAGCTGAAGTAGGAGAAAGCCTTCATATTGGCCAGCGAAGAGGAAGTAGATGTCGATAGGAACAAAGAGTGGAGAGTTGCTTTTGGGCAGGATGGCCATACGACATGTTCAACTCTTATAGAAATGGCTTTCTGTGATTCTGGAGACCAGACCTCGCTTCAGAAGTGCATTAGATTAAGTGGTAAGTATATCCAGTCGCCTTGAACACTGTTATCATGAGGCAAACGAATACGAGCACTGTGTACCCTGCATATGGTCCGACATACCATGGCATTGACTTTGCTGATTCATAGTATCTGGCTGTAGTCAAATCGTATGATACCAGAAGGTAAAGTCGACGGAAATCTGGAAGGCCGGACTTCCCGAATTGAGAAACGCTGACGACCAAGTGTAAGATTGGTGGCTCTCCAATTGGTCGAAACCAAGTGAAGTGATGAGCAAGGTGAGCCTGGCTACCGGGTAAGCGAACACGGGAGGCGAGACTTCACTTGCAAAACTGTCTTATTACATGAAGTATATTGCACATGCATCTGGGCCTCTGATGCGAACAGTAACCTCATGTAACGAAACGACGTGAGGATTCGACAGTTGCTCGAATCTGAGGCTTCTCTCTCTTACTGCGTCGCTATTAGTGGAAGCATTGTCATGTCGGTAAGAGCATACCAACATATTTGAGAGAATTCCGAAAGTCCGATCTCTTGAGATGTTTTCCATCCAGTTGTCAGCTGCATCAAACATGCTGGATTCCAAGAGGCAGTCAAAAGGATCGACAATTTCAGACGCAGGTAATATACCGCGCTCGTATAGGGGACGTTCGATGGGTTCGTATGCTACACGGCTATTCTTAGAGTTTACTAGTTGCTCGGTCCCAGGCTCCAGGTTGTAGATCGTGCAATCGCAATATCAAGCCGTCGATGGTGTAACTATCGCACATTGGTACTTCAGCCTCACAATCAAAGTAGATCTACCGCGCCCCCTGGAAATCTCGGTTTGTCGTATCCATCCCTCCAGAGCGTTCCATGCGAAAATTGTTGAGTGAAAATGCCTTCCACAACAACGAGGCAGCTATGCACGTTCGGGACCATTGCGGTCAACCGGTAAGCTGCAGGACAGGGCTTCGCCGCCAGGCGAGTAACATTTAGCCGGATAACATACAACACCCAAGGACTCTTTCTTTGTACCGAACGGTCCTTTAGGGTAGACGTGGGAGGCCACTTTTCTAATCGTTTGTTGATCTACACATCGGATGGTGTGGTGGATGTTGTAGCTCATCTCCTATTGTGTGATGTCGAGTTTGATCGGTCTCGGGACGGGACACAGAGCAACGAACCTTGATCCACCCCGATGCCGCTCCAGATGCATAGATTCAGCCGCGTGTTTATAAGGCAACAGGTCGGTACCGGTGGGAGGGGTTTGTTAACGGAAGAGCATACCACAACGACGGATCTTCGAACTCGTTTCTGAGCAAGGTCAGCGCGTTTTGGCGCGTGTGTTCAGTATTACTATGTTCAAAGGCAACACTATATACCCTGAACTTGGACGTCTCCTTATCCTACTGCTATACTAACAGTACTACTTGCAGGATTATTGTGCTTGTATGTTAACGGCATCGGAGCTTTCAAACGTAGCGCGCCACGGCGCGAAGGCAACCACCGCTTAGAGTTGTCTCCCAATTCAGCGGGTTTGGCCCGCAGCCGGCGGCGACGGCATTGAAGAGAAAATGGTGCTGATCGGAAGTTTGGTGGTGGATGTCATCGTGGCAGCTGTAGATGGCTGGGTAAAGAAGGGTGGACTGGGTCGGGGCGGGGCCGAGAACGCGCCATCCGAAATCAGGTTAGACGAAATCTAATTTGGTCCCGCGCTGAGTGATTCTGCGGTGTCTCTCCATAGCCACCACCCGTAGACCGCGATGCATCGCGAAGACACATGGACATCCAACAACGGAGGTGTAAGGAAAATGAAAGATGACTGCAGCTACACTTCTCGTGGTTGTGTCTTCGACGGTGCCGGGAACAGTAACAGAGATGAGGCTGTGCTACTGAACAGGATCCATGCCTAAAATCCAGGGCGCAGCTCAGCTGGAATCCTGCCGTAAGCCGCGCTTTGTTACCAGCGCTTATATGTCTCTCAAGTCTTCCCAGTCTTCCTGCTGATTCTTCTAGTCCTTCGTCAGTATAGATACCCAGGTTTGTCTTTCTAGAAGCGCCTCTGCTGTAGAACGCGACCAGCCTTCAACCTCACCTTTTTCCTATACCTAGTCTACGAATCCGGTGTCACATACACTGAAATCTCGAGCGGCCACCCAAAAAATGCTGCCCAGCAAGATGCGACGTCTATCTGGCCTTTTCTCTGGCCCGAAAACTTCCCTCCAGGTCCTTTCAGATCTCCATCTAGATAACGACTCGCAATACCTAACGTTTCACATACCCGTCGCTGCACCTTTCCTTGTTCTCGCCGGAAACATCGGCAAACTCATAGACTACGAACAATATCTATCCTTCTTGGTTCGGCGGTGTAATCTCCACGAGAAAGTTTTCTTGGTTTTGGGCCCCCTAGAGTTCCGCGGCCTGAGCTGGATGGATGGCTTGCAGCTGGCGCATAAGTTGGAGAAAGAGCCAACAACAAGAGGAAGGCTCGAGGTACTATATGAGACGAGGAGCGATGTTCCGGGCACAAACATCACGTTATTGGGTTGCACACTATGGAGTAGAATTCCAGAATCAGAAACAGCTGCTGTGCTAAGAAAGATGCCCGAGTTCGATGACAAGGAAGGCATACAGCTTTGGGACGTGGCAAAGCACAACTCAGAACATAAAAGAGACCTAAGGTGGCTTACCGATGAAGTCAAGAACCTCAACGCATCACCAAACGGCGCTTTGGCACCCGCAGCCTCCAGTAATTCGAAAGATGAGCGACAGCTCGTTGTCGTCACAGCGTTCGCGCCGGAGCTACGTGAAAGTCTGGATCCTTGGCAAGTCGACGCACCTTGGGCTTCAGCATATGGAACAAATCTGCTCGACGGCCCCCACTTTGGCAACGTCAAGATGTGGATCACCGGTATGACAGGTCGAACATGCGAGTTCAAGCGAGGCGACACGACTATCGTAAGCAATCAGCGCGGCCGGCAGGGCGAGCATGTAACCGGTCTTCTGAAAGATGGCATGTCAGATAAGCAGAAGATAGGCTTATTTGATGTGATGCGAGTGGTCAAGGTATAGAAGATTAGCTGATCGTAGGGACTTTGCCCACATTCGAATCTACTGAGCCGCTAACTATGGCTTTCTGTGTCCATATGACCAAATGCGATGTAGAATGCGAGGTACGACATGAGAATGCGAGCCCCGCATACGCTTACCAATCTTTTCCACGCCCTGTGACACAACATCCACCGACATACGTAAGCGCTACATAGGGGGTAGCACCTGCAGCTACTTGCAGCGTAGTATTTTCTGGCGGAGTACCTGCGGCGTAGTACAAGCGACGCGGTAACTGGAGTGCATTCTCTCCGAATAACAATGCCTTGTTATCGCATAAGTACTAGCACATTACCACAAGAAACCCCGCCACCACATCAAGCTCAGTTTCAGCTCAGACTTACAACATGTCTTCCTCGTCTGAGACGGTGACCCTGACAGCATCATGTCTCTGTGGCACCTTTGAATACAGCACTACCTTTCCCGCATCTAATCTTCCTCTACCAGGGCATACGTGCCACTGTACGAGCTGCCGACACATATGTGGCTCACTACACACCTCTCTCATAACTTGGCCCGAGCCTCGCGCCAATGTCGATATCAGTGGCCTCAAGGTATTCAGCGCCTGGGAGCGCTTCGACCTGCTGTTCTGTCCTACCTGTTCAAGCCCAATGTTTTGCGCTTTCAAAGATCCAGAGAGGAAATTGGGGGTGGTGACTGGAACGCTAGGCAATGTGGATGTTGGAGATCGCCAGCTGATCAAATTTGGTGGAATGGGCTATGTGCTCGATACGCAGGATGGGGGTGCCAGTCCATGGATCTGTGCTCTTAATGGTGATGGCGTGGACTTGAAAAGTTACGAAGAGACGACGCCCGGCCGTGGTTCGGAAGCAAAGGAACTACCTGCAGACTGGCCTCGGTCTTCAACTCTCCCAGAACTCAAAGCGAAAGAGGAGGACAGTGTGCCGATACGCTGTAAATGCGGCGGTGTGGATCTACTCCTCCGTCGGGGCGAGTATAATGATACGAGCGAAGAAGATCTGCCCTCCTGCGTTGAGCCTGCCAGCAGGAAGCTCAAAGCCAGCTTCTGTGCTTGCAACAGCTGCCGGTTACAAAGCGGGAGCGACATCTTTTACTGGACCTTTACAGAGACGAAATATCTGTCTTTTGGAAAATATGATAGCAAGCCCTTTCCGGAAGATATTTTTGATCTCAAACATCTCATCGACACCAAAGATCCTGCTATCGGTACGATGAAATACTACACCTCCTCACCAGACGTCTGCCGTTACTTTTGCGGTACTTGCTCTGCTGTCGTGTTCTACGCATCAGGTAACCGGCCAAAGATAGCCGATGTGGCTGTCGGTCTGTTGGATTCCAAGTACGGAGCGAGAGTTGAGAATATGCTGTCATGGCCTTTCGGAAAGACGATGAGTTTCCAGGAAGACGGTGATGGTGGGTGGCGAGAGACTTTGTTTGAAAGATTGAGAAGTAAGGCGGAAGACTGGCGGGTGGCGGGAGGGGATCCGAAAAACTGGAAGAGCACAGAGGAGTATGAGAATATTCATCAGGATGATGATTAAAGATGAACAGGTAGTTTAGGCTAGATTTGGTACATACCAGGTCTAACATGTGTCTATAATTTCTCAGACTGAGACTCAGCAAGTGGAACGCCACTCAGAAGCCCATCGTACCTTCGTTCTATTCGTGAAACAAAGAATCCGAGTTTTCACTGGACAAAGAAACCATATCGACATCTGTGCTAGCCACGTAGGCAGCCTTCCTAGCCAAGAAAATTGTACCATATGCCCAATCTCCTTCAAGCTGTACCTGTCGCGAAAAACATGCATAAATTCCGAACTGGTCATTAAGAATTTTCACACATGAGAAGGAAGGTGATAGTACTACTTGAAGTCGAGAGTGTAGGTGGAGCTGGTTTGCCTTATGCTTATGTTATAAACTAGAAGGTATGCTTCTATTCCGAAGGCACCTACATTCAAATCTTTATGGTGTAAAAGTGCTGTTTTCATGTGCCACGGCTATAATCTCCAGAAGATAAAGGACTAGTATACACTTTTCTCATAAAATAAAACTGGCAGGGGATCAGAATCCAAACTTTCGATGTATATGCTTCTAGACTACATGCCATGCCTGATAGTCACTATCAGACTGCAGGCTACATCGGACATGATCTGCAGATACTGTATCTGAACATAAGAAACATTGTAGTTCCGCAAGACCCTTCACGTGCAGTGCGATCGTGATGATATCTCTGTAGTGATTTGAGCGCATGAACCATCGTCCGCATAGTCACCGGGACTCTACAATTATATCGAACCCTAACAGTCTCGCCTCTGAACCCTTTCCACGCTCAACTCTACAACCATATCCTTTACTACTGCATCACAAACATGAAATTCCGCTCCAGGACGCCGTGTCAGAAGCCTCCTACAAAGTCTTTGCTCGTGTCCGTCCCTAAGCCCCCAGGTCAGCTCTTCTGCGTGGTCAAACCCCTGTCCACAACGACTTCTTCTTCAGTAGTTTACCTCTGTCTACCTCGCGCGCTTCCCCCTCCATTCGAGCCGTCGAGAGAAATCGACTATGACCTTCAGGATCGGATGGCAGACTTCCACGACGCCTTTCAGACAGTGCGTGGAAATATGCGCCTTCGTCAACAATTGTCGCTTCTCTCGTACAAGAACTCTAGCGATGTCCTTTACGAGAACATGCAGCATAACGGCACGTCTTTGCTCCAGGACAAGCATCTGAAGATGTTACCACGGCTGGTGGTGGTCAAGATGAGCAGAGACACGGATCTCCTTCGTAAGGAGGTCTTGCATATTGAGGCGCAGCATAAGAAAGGTGGACGTGCCACCCTACATGTCGGTTCGCATGTTTTGCGTGCTCAGTTTACTGCCTCGACAGCAACGTCGTTTGTTTGTCTCCGCCCTGTTTTCGGTCCCACCTTAGCGCAGGTTGGTGAAGCCAGCAACAAAGACCAGGGCCGTATGCCAGGTTGGTTTGTGGGACATATTTGCGTTGCTTTGGTAGATGCTGTGGACTTTCTACATGATGAGGGTATAGTGCATGCCAAGATTGAAGCATCGAACATAATGTTCAATCTCTACCCTACGTACATGCACCATCGGTACCGGGGATATCCAGATGTACAGCTTATCGACTTCTCTTTAGCTGGCCACAGCGATGAGGGCGCCGAAGAACGAGACCACCGCGCCGTGCTCGAGTTGATGGAACATGTGATTACCGAGTGGAGCGATGTGGCACCGTTCGTGCCGTTCATTAACAGCTTTACTGGGCTGAGTGGAGAAGGTGACGACCCTCTACTCACTCAATTAGCACTTATCCGGACGATGCTTTCGGGAGCTTACGATGGGTATACTAATCTTGCGGAACTTCAAGCGCGAGCCGTAGATATTCGACATGAAGGTCCAGAAACCATGCCGTGGAACCTGATGAAGTTGCTGCACGCAGACCTAGTGACAGCCGACAATCTCGATGGTGGTGTCCGAGATCCGCTAGTGCTTAGATTAACGGCCAAGAAAGATGCGATGGCGAAGGTCTTGGAAGATATCCCTGTGACTATGGGTGGAAGGGGTAATGCGGGTATGAAAACCTCGCGGATCATAGTGTTGCGGTTTGTTAGAAGGAAAATGGAATTCATAGATGCAATCGGACAGTCTGTAGCAGAGGAGTCGATAGACGATGGAGCCAGGTTCTTTGGCAACAGGGATGCGAGTATGGCAGACGACGAGATGAGTACCGCGGAGCCACGGGTGATGGTACCTATCTCGTTGCTTGATGATAGCGATGAAGAGATGAGTTAGAGGGATCAGCACGACTTTGGAAGCGAAGGGCAGGTGATCAGGAATGAATATGGAAAAGAGCAGGGCATGATAATGACTTTCATCAGAAGCTCTCTCTATCATGGCAACAAGAGAATACCATAGAACACGCATTCCGGGCCATGGAACCGTCTACAACCACTCCTTGGGCACCGCTCTTTCTGACCATATCCTCTCACTCTCCCAAGCCAGCCAATCTGATTTTGTCGTTGGTAAAAGTCCCATGGCATTAACCTTCCATATACCCAATGCCAACATCAACATGTTGCAAGCAATGTAAGCCATCTTGACACCGAGGAGTCGTCCAGAGGTGCCGGGAGTTTCGTAGGGGGCGAAGGTGCGTTGGAGGCCAAGTACAGCAAGCACAGGGGTTTTGAACAGCGTAAAGACCATGAAGACAGAGAAGATTTGCAGCGTATTTCCAGTCATGTACATTCCTGGTGTTGTTAGTCAATTGACGAAGTGATTTCGCGTGGCTTGCACGCACCAAAAGCATTCATAGGCAGTTGCTTCGCAGGCGCGATGGCAACTTCCCAAGCCTTCTTCATCTTGAGTGTGTCCATCTCTTCTGGTGTCGGAGGTTGCCTCTGAGTCTTTGATGCCTGGGAACGCTCCTTCCTGGACAGAGATGGTGTGTAGCCTGGCGGGTCCGCGAGTGAGGCGTTCTTCGGTTTGGATGCGGGCGTCGAATTGAGGTCAAGCACCCACTGCGGGGGAGGTGGAGGGGTCGCGGACATGGTGATTTGACTTGCTGGACGCGTGGTACCGGATGCCAATTTGTGCTATGTTGTTGCTTTGACCAGGGTTCAGGGTCTCACGATGTTGGAGGTTCGCTGGTGGTGGTGCGGAGCAGGCGTCTGGAGAGGTCCACACATGGCGGGCTTGGCGGATGCACGTCCCCTCCTCCGTGTTGACCGCCGTCAGGCTTCCCAAAAGTTGTAGTCCCCAAACTTGTCCATTCGTTCTCCTCTCCACGTTTCTCCGGCCGAATTCCACGTTTCCCTGCCATGCGCGACACGATACGAAGCCAATAGACGAGCGAATCAGCCATCGAACCCCGCACGCTTCCTCTGGACGGCAAGGGAGGGGCGCTAAGTCGCGAGGGAGGTTATCTTGATTGTGCTACGGCAGGCACATGCATTGAGGGAACAGCTCAGCTGGCACACGCGACATCATTAGCCCAACATGAGCCAGGGCGGCCAAGATGCGAAGCTCTTTGCGAGGGTACGTTGGCCCCGTCATCCGCACAACCCAGACCTTCCGTCTTGTACAGCCTACATGGTCTCCTATTCAGCCTGCCTGCCTCCCGGCTATGAGTAGTTGGCGCCATGATGATGTTTCTCCCCTACACCTTTGACAACACGCGCTTACAGAACCTTCGCACTCCACAGGGCAAAGTCGCCGAACTACGCATCGAGTTGAACAATGGCAACAAGAAGGACAAGAACTTCTCCGCGAAGAAGACGGCGCTCAAGAAGATCGTCGCCAACATGACCATGAGCAACAACGACATGGTCGCGCTATTCATGGACATAGTGGGCTGCATGCACATTCCGAGCCTGGAGATCAAGAAGATGTGCGTAGTGACATCCATACGAGCACGCGCATCGCTGACATGGGCAGGTGTTTCCTGTATCTCGTCAACTATGCCAGGATAAAACCTGACATTGCGCTCAAAGCACTCCCCATCATACAGGAAGACATGCACGACAACAACCCCTTAGTTCGAGCCCTCGCCCTACGGACCATGTCCTACGTTCACGTCCGGGAATTTGTCGAAGCCACCGTACCACACCTGAAGAATCTCCTGAAGGACTCTGACCCATACGTCCGGAAGACCGCAGCTTTCTGTGTAGCGAAGCTCTACGACCACGACCGACATCTGGTGGAACAATCAGATCTAATCGACAGGTTGAATGGCATGTTGAGAGACGAGAACCCCACAGTAGTGTCAAGCGCATTGGCGGGTCTCATGGACATCTGGGAGAGAAGTGAGAACATCAAGCTCACCATCGACTACGCGAGCGCATCCAAGATTGTTCAGATTCTCCCAGACTGCTCAGAGTGGGGTCAGACGTACATCCTGGAAGCCATGATGAACTATGTTCCACAAGATACCAGCGAAGCTGCCCTGCTTGCTGAGCGCATTTCACCACGCCTTTCACATTCAAATTCTGCCGTCGTTCTTACCTGCATTCGCGTTATACTCTACCTAATGAACTACATCAACGATCCGAAAGTCGTCACTTCGTTATGCAACAAGCTATCACCGCCGCTCGTCACGCTTCTCTCCAAAGGACCCGAGATTCAATATCTAGCCCTTCGTAATGCGCTTCTGATCTTACAACGCCGACCAGAGGTACTCAGAAACGATATCCGAGTCTTCTTCTGCAAATACAACGACCCTATCTATGTCAAAGTCACCAAGCTTGAGCTCATCTTCATGCTGGCGACTGAGAGGAATATCAAAGAGGTGCTGACTGAGCTTTCTGAGTGAGTCTCTTCCAGCTATTCTACATATGAGCTACTAACACCAGCCCTAGGTACGCTACTGAAATTGATGTCGACTTTGTGCGCAAGTCCGTACGAGCCATTGGCAAACTTGCCATCAAGATCGCACCCGCAGCACAACTTTGTATCAGCACTCTCCTACAGCTCGTCAGCACTAAGGTGTCCTACATCGTACAAGAAGCGACAGTTGTGATTCGAAACATCTTCCGAAAATACCCCAATCAATACGAGTCGATCATCTCGACATTGTGCGAAAACCTCGATTCACTTGACGAACCAGAAGCGAAGGCGGCTATGATTTGGGTCATTGGACAATACGCAGACCGAATAGAAGACTCGGACGTTCTTCTTGAAGACTTTCTCGACACTTTCCAAGAAGAGACACATGAGGTGCAACTGGCACTGCTCACTGCGACTGTCAAGCTGTTCATTCAGCGACCCACTCGTGGCTCCAGTCTGGTACCAAAAGTACTGAAGTGGGCGACTGAAGAGACAGACAACCCTGACTTACGCGATCGAGGCTACATGTACTGGCGTCTCCTCTCGTCAGCACCTGAGCAAGCGAAGCAGGTCGTCATGGGCGAGAAACCTCCGATTACAGCTGAAGAATCTGAGAAGCTTGATCCTGGTACCCTTGAGGAGATGTGCCTGAACGTCGGCACACTAGCTACAGTGTACCTCAAGCCAGTCAACCAAGTTTTCCGCAGCGCTCGCCCACGTAGATTGCAAGATTCGCCTGCATTACAAAAGCATGAATTACCTACCGTCAAAGCAGCACAACAAGCTCGGGACCGCTCCGCAGCAGAACGCACAAAGCTCGACACTACTACGAATGGTAATGGCCACCTTTCCCCAACAAGCGCAAACGGCATGGCGAATGCTGTCAGCGACGCGGACATGTACTTTGCCAGCGTAGGAAGGCAGAGTACCTTTGGTGGCAGCCCTGTTGCCGATCAAAGCAGTGGTGCAGGAGGTGGATGGGTGGTAAACCAGAATGAGCCGCAACATATGGTCATGAGTCCTGGACCAAATGATGGAAACCAGGATCTGCTACTCTAAAGCGGGTGGTATATACATGGCTGTGGATAGTATAATAAACATATTGAGGTGGATGTCACATATGAGATCGTCAACATGAGCCGTATACATTAATCAAGCGGTAGTGTTTCTCAATAACGTTGAGTGAGCTATGAGTAACCTAGATCCAGCATTGTATAAACATTCCGACCTGAGAACTTATGCGATATGCGTCGAACCAGTATGTCACCGATCCTCAACTTCGAAGTTGTTCAATTACACATTCGTCCCCTCATGCCCAAGCGAACTAGCACTTGAGTACAATCGCTGTGCCTTTTCCACCACCACCTGTCATGCGACTAGCCTTGGCAGGCTTTCTTCCATATATGTAGACCTCACCACCATCTCATGTATCTCAGCACAAGCATAGCTTATACACAATGCTACACCCAATACCCCCACATCACCACCTAGTCATCGGCCAACAAAGGTGCCCTCTCCCTATCCTCGCTGACGATCTGGCCACGAGGGAAAGGATCGCGTCCAAGCAAACCGGGCATGCCGACAGCAAGTGAAAGCAAGAAGAGCAGACCACCAATTGTGAAAGCAAAGATCCACTGGAGCTGGAAGAGATGCGGGCGGGTAAGGAACTGTCCAACGCCGGTTGCTAGAAGCGAGATTAGCAAAGATCCCTTTGATAAAACAAGCAAAAAGGGTGAAACTTACAGAAACACAGCACACTTAGCGCAAAGCCCATGGTGTAGTCCTTGTACGCCACCAAGAAGAACATGCCGTAGCCCAACCATCCCCAAATAAACACATTGGCCACAATTCTCGCCGCAAAATGATTCGAATGAACCGCGATCGCACCAACCCAGTAGAGCGCGACAAAGTTCCATGCCAACGGTCCACTAACAGTACCAATATGGATAGCCCTCGGCGCAGTGCTGTGGCGGAAATACGCCATGCTGAGATTACCAAAGTTGAGCACGAGCAAGAATAGCGCCAGCCAGTAGTGCATGTGCGTGAAGAGGAACACAAAGCCGAACAAAAGCAAGTTGTTGGCAATAAAGTGGCTACCGAGGTTGGCGGCTGAAGTGACGTAGGTGGTATCGCTCATGTACAGGGCGTACGCGTAGCCAGACTGCAGAATGAAGATGATCAATACGTAGATGGAGGTGAAGAGGCTGGACTGCGCAAAGGGCGTGGAGGGGTTGTTGTGCCAGAACTTGTGCGAGTTTGGGCCGTTGGGCGAGGCGAAGGTGGTATAGATGGCTGAGACTACGAGTAGGAGCCAGGAGATCGTTGTGGTGATCTTGTAGAGGAGGATGGATTGGTCAGAGTGCGAGTCCCTTTTGGCGAAGGGGTTGAGGCTGCTGCCATTGCCGTTCGAGTCGTTGGCGGGGGCGCTGTCTGCCATCTTGGTGAGATTTGATGGGCTATGTGTGCGAGGTTTGTTGAGGTTTCGATGGATATTGACGTTGGTAATTCCGTTATGAGGGGCGAAGCAGACGAAGGAGGAAGAAGAACCAGGTGGTACGACTTGAGCAAGCGTGGAGTCAGGTAGAGGGGTCCGCTCAATCAGGTACTTGCACGTTTGCGCCCACTGTATTCGCCTTGACTAATGATCCACGCAGCTGTCCAAGCTTCCTGTCTGTCAAAGGTGCGCAGGAAGAGAAGAAGAAGAAGAACTCGGAACTGACCCGACGAAAAGATAGCTCGTCTGTCAGATCAGCCACCTAAGTACTCGCCCAGTCCCATGTTTCACCCTCCTACACGTACTCCCCAAGGCAGCCGACTAAACATGTCAATCAAGGCCGGGACCCGAAAGTACGTCACCCGTAAGCTAAGACCCTGGACATGCATGATGCGCATGTCGCGCGTTGGTTTGCCCAGATGCCCCGCACCGAAACCTAGTCCCATGATAGAGAATACGCACTAGTCATTGGTTCCCGCCTATGCCACACCGATACTGAGATACTGCACGCTGGCAGCGGCCTGCGGGGACTGCAGTAATGGCGGCGCACGGTACGGCATTGGGACGGGCGCTTAGGCAGGGTTTTCCACTGTGGATAGGGTTCAAGTGACAGGAGGGGTGCATTGGTACTTTGTGTTGTGTTGGACTTCAATTCCGCGGGTGTCGGTTCAGCTGCGATACCTTGATGGATCACCAAACTGTCGCTCAAGTAGTCATGTCATTAAGGGACATTGTGAGAAGAGAATTATGGAATTGCTCCTACACACATTCTTCTTCGGGGGGGTATCTATCTTCTACATGCGCATATCCTAGGTAAGTCTACAATTGACGATCTTTCTCCACAGAAATCCTACAAAGACAGCTCCAATTATTCGCGGCTAGTGCGCCGATTCGCTGAAACGAAGTCAAGGTCCACCAATGAACACCAATCCGGGTAACGTCAGGCATAGTCTGCCTTGCGTAAGCCGGTAATAACCACTGAAGGATGCAACCGCGATATTGCAATGCGATGTGCATAACAAGAAGTTAATAAAGTCAAGAGGAGCCCACTTGCACGAGCAGTAATATTGACCTGCTTTAGCGAGCGGGCGTATCAGGGACCTCCCACATATCCCTGACCTTCTCCTCGTTCTTGATACCTACACCAGAGTACTCAGGCCTAGACGCGTTTTCCAACTCATTCGAGCCTGATGCGAACGGTATCGCGCCGTTCGCTGTAAATACAGGCAGATCAGCCCTCTTGCTTGGCGGTGACATGAGCGGAACACCAGGCATGGTCGTGTCCTCAGCGTGTGTATTGGCAACCCATTGTAAAGTCGCAGATGCCTGTGGGCTTGACGTGTCCGGTGGCGAGTTTACAAAGTCTGGGTTTCCACCGAAGCTCTGCGCCGTGTAGTTGACGAACTGTGAAATATTCGACGGTGGTGGGGGAGGGGGCGTATCGGCACGAGAAGGTGGTGAGACATCCGAGAGTGGCTCCGTTACAGTGACGAAGGACGGCATAGGGAGTTGTTCACGGATCTGTTCCGGTGTTATAGCCATATCATGCAACTCAGTGGGTGGCTGCACGATTCCACCAGAAATACGTCGATCTACAGCTGGAGGCTCCATCGGATTTTGCGCATCCTGGAAAGGCTGTGGCGCGGTAGGCTGTGGTAGCAAATTAGACGAGTCTGTCTGTATTGGCTGGGGTTGTTCGAGAGGTGCACCAGCAGCAACTTGCATCTGTGGGGCCTCAGGGATAGGCGATGCAGGTTTCGACGACTTTGCTGGCCGACCAGGTCCCCTCTTAGTAGTCGCTGCAGGTTTAGTCGTCGGTTTTGTGGGAGGAGCGCGAGCAGCTGGTGGTTTCCGTGCAGTGGTTTTCTTTGGTGCTTCAGAGGCCTTTTGCTTCTCAGCCTTCTCCTTCTCTCGTGCATCATGCACCTCCTTCGAGGGCATCTTCAATGTGATGCGCTTCAAGCCTGAAGTGAGTGCATCGACGCCGTCGTTCTCCTTTCCTTTGGTCGCACCCGCCTTGACAGAATAGCTGGAAGGCGCTCTTGCTGCTGCGGGACGCTGAGGGGCGCGAGCTGCCGCAGCAGTCGTTGTTGTTGATCCTCTAGCCTTCTTGATAGCCACTCCATTGGTTGAAGCTACAGAAGGTGCAACGCCTCTTCGGCTTGCCGCTACACTTGGCGCACGAACATTCCTGTTGTCTCCTATTGATGAGACGCTGGAAGCGATACTCATGCGGCGGGAAGCAGAGTGTGCTGGCATTGAAGGTTCTGAACTGGCTGGTGCAAAGTCGGCAATCGTCTGGCGCCTACTGGCTCGTGACTCCTGACGAGATCCCTTTTCGTCGTCGGAACCAGGCTCAGCGTAAGATGGAGCAGCTTTACGACCACGCAATTGACGTCCCGACTTTTCAACATGAACCGCCGTTGGGGCGGGTGCGGTCGGCTTCTCTTTCTTTGCTTTTACTTCTGCTAGATCTTCTGGCCTGAAACTGCGGGTTTGACGATCAGAGGGGATTAGCAAACTACTCAAAGCATGTGCAGCGGTAGCCCAGTCAACCTCTGGCGGCGGTGGCGTGGGCGCTCTCAAGGGATTGGAAGCGTATTTGGCGGAAAGACTACGATTGATCTTTGTTGGATCCACGACTTTGGCGACGTAGGACTGTGTGGGTGAAGAGAAATGGGCCAGGCGTTCAGCGCGGGTCACCTTTGAGGCAGTTACAGGCGGTGGGGGAACGAGACCCTCCAGCTCAGATAGATGATTTGCCTGCCACCACAGAGGATCATAACTGACGGGTGTGAGCTCTGGCTCGATAGACTGCATGGGAGCGTCTTCATCCTGGATGCCAAGTCCACTCAGTCTGTTTCGCATGGAGGAGGCGAGGCCCTTTGATGGTTCTGACTCCTTCCAGATTTGACCATCCACAAGACCGCTCAAATGACTGAACACGCCACTGGTAAGAGCTCGGTCGCTGTAACCGCCTTCTAGGACAGAGATGACACGACCCTCCACAGATGTACCCTCCTCTTGGGCCAAGCGTACTACATCGCGGGTGAATCGAGCGTAGAATTCGGTAGGTACGTTGACACTGTGTCGTTGCATGCCGGCAGTTTCCCACTCGCTCGCATCAAAGCCAGCAGATAAGAAGATGGCTGCTTTGGGCGCAGGGTGATTTGGCGAAGCCCGGAGGCGGTTGGTGTGATGTTTGAGATACTGGCGAGTTTTCTCTAGCAGTACCAGGTACTTCTCTTCGTAGATTTCCCAGAACTGCTCCGGTGTCTTCCAAGATTGCAGATGCACGTTCCAGATGGACTGGCCGTGTGCGTTGTCGATACATAGACTAGCGGCCTGAACTTTGTCGTCATCGCCGTCTTCGCAAGGGTACGAGTTGATGTCGTGTAGACTGAAGTAGCCGATCGAGGTCCTCTTCCAGTTGGGTGTATTCTTGGGCATGTTCTGAACCTTTTTGTTGCGCGCCCATGTTATAGCTTGCGAGCCATCTCCGTGATGCAGATCAAAGTCAATGATGGCTGCGTGCGTGAGGCCGTATGTCATCATGGCGTGTTCGATACCAACGTGAACGTTATTCAGCCAGCAGAATCCAGAGGGAAAGTCGTCGGAGCAGTGATGACCAGGCGGACGGATACAGACGAAAGCTCTGGAGGGGCCACTACCAAGGCTGGTTCCCTGGAAGACAGCATCCACCGCATCCAAAACACCTCCAAGGGCCCCCTGGAAGGCGTTCAGCGATTCGGGGCAGAGGTATAGATCACCAGCATGTAGTTGTTGCTTCGGCGGTTGTCCCGGTATTGCAGGGGTGTCCCTGACCAACTCTTTTCCTGTCGATGCCAGCTTCCGCTCTGCGTTGTCGCACAATGACTTCAGTTCGCCCATCCACTTGGTTCCGTGTACGTTGGTGACGACCTGTGAGGTGATATCGACTGCTCGGGAAGTCTTGCGGATCTTGAATGGGATACGCTCGGGCGGATTGTAGTGCGGATGCGGTGGATTGTCCCCCTCGGCGTGGCGCTCGCCCAGTCGCACGTAGGCTGCTGAAATACCCAAAACGCTTGCCAATATCCTCTCTGGTCGCTCCATGATCAAGCTGAGGTGGCTCCTGGGTGTCTTGGGCCGCGAAAAGCGATGGCCGTAGCATTGGTCGTGTACGATGACGATGGTGCCTGCATTGACTGCGCCTGCCATACCCTCATGTCGCGCCATGTCCTTCTTGAAGTAGTCTTCGGCAACATCACATGCGCGCAGTGGTGGCTTCTCCTCTACATACGTGGGGCCTAGCGGGCTCTTGGGCATGGGTGCCTGCATATTTGGGTTGAAGGACGAGCGGCGGGATGCAGAAGTGCCCGGCCGAGGAGGGTCGCCGCGGAGGGAAGAGGTCGACGACTTGCGTCCCAAGGCGGGTGTCGAAGAACGGAAACTTGCTACACTTGGGCTGCGTTGGACGGCATTCGCCTTGAAGTTGGGGGTCGAAGGCGTCCGGCGGAGATCAGCTGAACTTCGAGGTGAATTCAGAGCGGGAGACTGCGGTAGTGGGGTATTCGAGGCGGAATGCAGGGACAGGCGTTTGAGGGGGTGTGAAAGGGGATTCGCGTCGTTGTTTGTTTGTCGCGCCCCTCGCGGAGTGCCGGGCCTGGCGGCGGGGCTGGACCGCGGTGAATTCTGCATCTTGGCACAGTATGCCTGCGATGCAGGACGTAGCCCGTCGTGTCTTGGTGCCTGTTTCTTATCAAATGGGTTGAAGGTGCAAGAAGAAAGGCGCGCTATGACGAAGCTACGTCGCGTCCACCATCAAAGCGACGACGAAACAGGGTCTCGCGCCTAAGCGAGCCCCTAGCTCAACGGCTCGTAGGGCTGGCGTCTTCTTCACATGTGCATCCTACAAGCTGGATTTGGCCGCAGCATATGGCACGAGAAATCACTTCGACAAATTGTCAAGTATATTATTGAACAACATCATGTGTCACGAGTTCTACGTTCACGCCGAATGCTGCTGCAGAATCCAGCCCAAACCCTCCTTCAAATCAGCCAACGCCCTCTTCGCCACACTAAGCATGGGAAAGAAGTCGGGCGCACCGTGCGGATATCCAGCATACACTTCGACCTTCGTTGGTGTCCCAATGTCTCGGAGAACGCTCTCGTATACCAGTGCTTCGTCACGCAGGGGGTCAGTCCTGCTACCTGTTAGCACACATCAAGGGGTCATTACAGCTTTACCTACCCCATAACCTGCAGATACGTAGGAGGTTGGCCTTCATGAGTCTTCCAGATCAGCGGGCTCGCTAATGGTGACTTGGGGTCTGGTTTGTAGTTGTCGAAGAACCATTCCATGCCTCGGCGGTCCAGTACTAGACTATCTCTATGGTCTTCCCAGCTTGATATGTGCTGTTTGTACTCTTCTGGCATGGCCTCAGGATGGCATATCGAAGCAGACATAAGGACTACTCCGGTAATCTTCGGGGTCAACTTGTCATCGACAACCTGATGGGCTGATACAGCCGCTAAGTTGGCTCCAGCTGAAGTCCCTCCTAGGATGAAACCTTTGGAAGGATCCGCACTCAACGACTTCGCGTTCTCGGCACACTGGAGAGTCCGGTTAATCTCACAATACCGCGAAGGTAAACAGGAAATTACTCACCCATTTGACTGCATCAATAGCGTCATGCGCCGCGGTGGGAAAGACATGCTCTGGTGCATTCCGATACCCTACGCTCACGACCGTGAAACCTAGTTCCTTCACCAACATCTCTGCCATTCCCTCGCCGAATTCTGGCATCCCAAAAGTCCATCCCCCGCCGGGGAAGTACACATACAACGGTCCTGGTTCCTTTCCCTCAGGATGAATCACGAGGGATCGCACTGAAGACCCATCGCGCGTAGGAATTTGGATTTCAGATTTGTGGTAACCAGTCCAGTCGGGAAAAGTCACGATGCCGGCCGCAACCATCTGGCCAATTTGCTCGTTGAAAGATTGACGGAGCTCAGCGGCGGATGAGTAGTCTGCGAAGGATTTGGGTGGTGGAAGATGGGGTCGTAGCTTCTTAAATCAGCGACAGCATTGATGATTATACTACAAACACGTACAGCTTCAAACTCTGCATCTTCCCTACTATACCCCTTCCATGTTGATGAATCAATGTTCATATTGTCTGTTCTATGCAGAGTACTCGACGGTAAGGCACGGAATATCTGAAGGTGATCGTGGCAGCTGGAGAATATTGAGGAGAGATGCTAGATGGTGTGGGTTTTGTACACAACATAAGCTTTGCGTACGGTAGGCACGCCTCATCTGACAGCCAAGAAGGCAACATCTTACATCTCCCTCGCATCTGCGCTTACTCTACCCAGCCAGCATCGTCAAGAGAGGCACGTTGAATGCGGCACGTACAAGATCTGACTCCATTTGTGCATTCCAAGAGCCTTGCGCTGGAAGTCTAGCTTTACACTCTCTATCCGCTTCTGGCAATACACAGAACCTACAATATTTTCACAGCGGCCAAATCCATACTGTTCGAAAGACTGAAGAGTAGCATCGTTACATAGGGAGTTGAGCACGTTTCTGGTCAAGTTGCGGGGTTATCTTCCACATGATTCATACTAACGAAGAAGAGTAAGCGCCCATAGCTTAGACTACTGCGTGGCTTTATTCCGTACGAGCATACTCTTCAGCCTAGTGTCTACAGGCGGCGAACAAAGTAATCGTTGGTAGACAATGAGCAAGGTATGATACGCAGGGGGGCCGACCTTGCTTCTTGGATATTAGTGTCGACCCATTTTTCTGGTTCTCGTATCCGCTGCGGGCCGTTTCCCCTCACCATGAAGCCGCGAGCCGCGACAGACAGCCTTATCGTCAAAGTGTCGAAGAGCTGTCTAAACTTCATCAGTCTTCCACGAAAAATCTGCAATTCGGAGATTACATGGCATGGATACACCCGTGACCAGCGTTATGGGTAACCTTTTCCGGCACGACCTATAATGCGCTACGGAGTAAGCCTGCAGCTGAAGGGTAATTTACGAGCCCGAATATGGTACCTGGACGCTGGAAGTGGACTAATGAACTTTATGAACGATCTAGACCTAGTCACAAAGCGATCGACTACGCTTTGTAGAGTTTCAGCCCCAAGGTACAGACTGAGTGTGGTCTCACATCTATTCTACTCGCTCTAGATACCACAGTCACTACCACTACTATCGTGCATTACCAGATTAGCTCCTTGGGTATAACTTCTTCAGCTGCAGATTATCCCCTAAGCAAGCCATAGCGATAGTGCGAAGGCCCTATGTGTACCACAGCTTGCCACTACTCGGAGTTTTGCCCGGAAGCGTCAGACTGGCCAATCAGAAAACCATCCTACATGCAGCATATATGCCTCGATTTCTATAAAACGGGCATGCTTGACTTCAACTATGGTATCGTTGCTTGTCGTAATACACTCATCCGGTTCGCAGCTAAGAGCCAGCCATGATGCACCTCTGCAAGATTATCTCGCTGGGCTTCTTCCCTATAGGATTACTCGCACAAAATACATTCGAACCACCCGACTTCGACATTACTGCGGCACTGTTGCAGAATGGTGTGGACATCTCCACTATTCCAAGCCTAGCAGGTCTTTCCAAGCGGACTACCTCAAGCGGAGGATGCTCGATCGCAGTAAGACACATTCTACGATCATGTAGTATTGCCAAACACAGTCGATGCTAACTCTCACATTAGTGCAGCTCTCTCAAACGCATCTTTGGTGATGCGAAGGTCGAGACCCAAGAGGAGACTGCCTATACCTTAGCCATCGATTATTTCTGGTCAGCGCAGCAGAAGGTTGCCCAACCTTACTGCGTATTCAAGCCTGAGGAAGCGCTCGATGTATCCACCATGGTGCTGCTATCTCGTCTTACTCAGTGTCCTTTTGCAGTGAGAAGCGGAGGGCATGCAGCCTTTGCAGGTGCATCAAACATTGATGGCGGTATCACAGTTCTGTTCGAGTGCATGAAGCAAATCACTTTGTCAAAAGACAAGAAAGTTGCATCTATTGGGCCCGGTAACCTCTGGTACGACATCTACACAACCCTAGCCAAAGACAACCTAGCAGTGGTAGGCGGCCGCGTCTCTGGCGTCGGAATTGGAGGTCTTACAACGGGTGGTGGGATTTCGTTCTTCTCGAACGAATATGGCTGGGCTTGCGATAACGTTGCATCTTATGAAGTCGTCACTGCCTCAGGATGCATCATAGAAGTCAGTCAAAAGTCGTATCCAGATCTGTACTGGGCGTTGAGAGGTGGAGGCAACAATCTCGCCCTGGTTACGAAGTTCAACCTCGAAACGTTCGCCCACGGTCCGCTGATGTTTGGCGGACAAAGAAGGTTCCTCAGCTCTAGTTTCCCTGCTGCGATAGACGCCTTCGTAAACCTGGGGAACAGCATTGCAAAGTACCCGAAGGCTGCGCAATTTCTGGCCATCATTCTAGACGCCGCTACGAACACCCAAATCGCGATTGCCGAGTTGGAGTACGCAGACCCAGTCGCTAAACCCCCGGTCTTTGAAGAATATTTCAACGTACAAGCCTTCCAAGACACCACGGAATTGAACAGTCTGGCCTACTTTACGCAACAGTTGAACAATAGCAACCCCAAAGGCTATCGCGAGTCATTTTGGACTTCTTCGTCTAAGCTTGATCGAGAGTTGGTTCAGTTCATGTTCGATGCCACTTATGAAGAATTCGCAAAAATTCGAGATGTCGCCGGTATCTTACCTGCAAACACCTTCCAGATCATCACCGTTCCGCAGCTCGAGCAGATGCAAAAGAAAGGAGGGAATGCACTAGGACTTTCGCCTTCTGACGGACCGATCCTTATCATTAACCTGAGTAGTCGCTGGGATAAGGCTGAAGATGACGCGCGTGTTCTGAAGGCGAACGCCAACATCGTCAGAAAGATGGAGGCAGAGGCGAAGCGCAGAAACTTGGTCAACGACTACATCTACATGAACTATGCCAGTCAGTTCCAAGATGTTGTTGGGAGCTATGGAGAAAGTGCAGATAAGCTGAGGCGTATCGCACGCAAGTACGATCCTACAGAGGTGTTCCAGAAGTTGCAACCGGGCTATTTCAAGCTGCAAGGGCCGCCGAATAAGAACTGGCCGTAGGTGTACCTAGATGTGAATGGACGAAAGATTTCTACGGAAATACTTGGTCAAAGGAAGCATAACTCAACACCTGGGCGAGGGGTAGGCTGCAGATCCAAACTCCTGACTGCAAGCTACCTAGGTACGGTTACACCCGTGGTGCTTTACCGCCATCAGAGTATCGCGTGACTGACCCTCATCCACTGAATTCGCATCAACCAAGAAATAGTATCGATCATTCATTGTCTAGGTTCATGCTTGACGTTTTGCGCCAGTAGTGCCTGCACACATGATCTGCCTTCTCTACAAATGGGACGTTGGGTTGGCATGACTGTTTTGGGACATGGACTTGAGTGGCTTGCAGCTCCTTGCGTCTTTCTCTCACGTTGTCAGGCGCAGGCACGCTCAGCCCCCATCATGTTCAGCTGTGGTGGGGCTGGTTGAGCGACGCACCCCGCAGTCGATCAAGCATCTTCTTTCCTACAAACATAAGAATCTCTGCATAATACTCATATCAAAGATTGTATGGCACTCGACAGTCTAGAGCCACGGATCGAAGAGTGCGAGATACGTGATCTGGACGATGCTCGCGGCGGCGCATCAACCAAAACGCCCTATGGCGAACGTCTACTCCAGTCTGACAGGATTCGTCTTTTCACCATCGAGCACGACACGGGTGCATTGCGATTGCGCATTTCTCCACACAAGTTCCAAGACGACCTCGAATATAATGCGATATCATATGTCTGGGGAGCAACGGAAGCCTTAACCAAAGTCCCATGCAACGGGACCGACCTTGTAATCAGCCCAACCGTACTCGACATCCTTCATCATCTGGATCGAAGCCGTCCGTGTTGGGTAGATTCTATATGTATCAATCAGCAAGACACCGAAGAAAAAGCGGTCCAGGTACCACTGATGCATCAGATCTACTCGCAGGCTGCACAGGTTGTTATATGGATGGGCATACCTACAATGCAGAGTGAGAAGTTTATGGCCGAGTTTCCGAGCTTACTGGAGAAAGAGAGAAAGTGGAATTCAATGATTACCCAGCATCTTCAACCTTGGATTGGCGCCAAGGGTCTCCTTGTCACCGATGAGAATCTCTTACAGGGCATGTTACATATTCTCAAGAACCAGTGGTTTGAACGTTTGTGGACTTTCCAGGAGTGTGTTCTCGCAAAGCACCCCATAATGTTACATGGACATCTTTGGATCAACTTCGACGAATTTCTCATATTCGCTGAGGACGGATGGTACCAACGAGACTCATACCTAATCCACTCTTTGCAAAATGCAGGTCTCCTCGCTCCATCACCCAGATTATGGGCGGCGTGTAGATCACTGAAGCTTTTTCGTGAGCATTTTGAACCATATGGGGCAGTTCAGTACAACCGAATACCATACCTTCTCCACACGCTACGTAGGCGAAGCGCAAAAGAACCGGTCGACCGAGCCTGGGCAGTCACCGGATTGTTTAGCGAAGCTTTGAGATCAAAACTAGACCCATTCGTCGATTATAGCGACAACGGTCGGTTGGACTTCTGGAGAACTCACATACTGTTTGCGAAAACTATCATGGTCGAAGAACAAACGCTAGGTCTATTGACGATACCTCCAACAACTGAGGAGAGACCCCATTCAGTCCCATCTTGGTGCCCGGCTCTCGAAGGGACGTTCAAATGCAGTATGCTGACGATTGGTGCATGGAACGAACAGATTAGCGGACAGAATCATGCACCGCTCCTCGAAGACATCGTGGAAGAAGCGGACCGAGCGCGATCAGTCAGTGCTTTGGACCCGCTGTCAAGTCAGTACAGGTCCCGCAGGGTTATCGCATTCGAGAAGGACGATGCATTCTTGAAGACATGCGGTTATGTGATAGATACAATATCAGAGGTCGTGGAGGATCCTCAGGCGCAAACAGGGTTCAACTACATGATGAGCGTAGATGCGTCAACGCGCTTGATCAGCAATCCTATACACGCTGCGAATGTGGACGTTTACGCTCGCAGTCTCCTTCTAGCTCGTCGTACAGCTCATTGCACAAATGATAGTATTGAGAGTATACCCCCCGAGTATTTGATGACTCTGCTTTGCGATACCAGACTTTCTAGGGAAGCAACTACCGCTTACGAAGATGCTTGGGCTGTACTCACCGATCGAGAACACAACAATTTCGAAGGGCTCTTCGCCGAGCGGCGATTGCGGGCGATCACATTCTATAACAGACTGTTGAACCTTCCTGGCCATTCCTTCTTCAGTACCGCTAGCGGTCGATTTGGTATCACGACGGCAGGATGCAAGCCCGGTGATGAAATCTGTGTCTTCTACGGCGAAGATCCTCTTCACATACTACGATGGCCGGAATCCCAGAGCGAGAACAACAAAATCCATGGCGAAGGCCCCGCTGAGTTCTGTGGTGTCGCATTCATCCCTCATCTAATGAAGCCACACGAGCAAGAAGCGGCTCGACTTGGACCAGACGAGATCTTTATTATTGGGTGAACGTATCGTGAAGCATGCAAACTTTGCGAATATCGTGAGTTTTTTGTCATTTGGTGGCAGTACAGAATTTGAAAATTGATGAGACGTATGTTGTGAGCCTCCTGGCTCTTGAGGGAAATGTGTCATCACAGGACCATTCACTGCTCTCTGACCCAGCGCTCGTGACTGAGCTATACTCTTACAGCAATCTGCTTTCTCCTTTCGCAGAATGTCTCTTATCGTTTGCTTAATCATGTCCTCTGGATCTCACCACTCGAGACAATACTATTGCGACCAAGCAATCAGAAAAACTCTTTAAGAATCAAAACTGAGAGACACACTGTTACGGATGTCAAACAACTTCCCCTACGCAGCCTACCCAGGCGTCGGCGTGCCCACAATCTTCCTCGTTGGCCCTACCACCAATCCAACACGCTTCGATGTCCACCACTCGCTACTGTCAAAAGTATCCCCATTGTTCACTAAGCCCAATGGGTTCCCTCGCATCATTCTCTTCAACATCTCGCTTCCCAAAACCGAACCAGCTACTTTCCATACGCTCTTCACGTGGCTGTACGAGCGCAAGCCTCCTGAGTACGCATCCGATACGAACCTGTTAGACCTGATGAAACTCTGGATCCTCGCCGGAGAACTCGGGATCTGGAGGACACAGAACACGGTAACGAGGCTGGGTATGGCGCTGATGCAACCAACCTACTTCGTCTGCAAGATAGAGACAGTGAGGTGGGTGTACGAGAACACGCCGGCAAAGTCAAGCCTTCGAGACTGCATCATCACGATTTTCTGCCAGCGCGGTCCGCCGATCATGCCCTCGATGTTCTCGCTAGATAACGAGCGTTTGGGTATATTTCGCGATGCGGCAGATTTCATGCGCAAACTAAATTTGGTCCGCGCTGGCAATCCTAGAGGGCTGGATGGATATGACCTCTATGAGCAGTTTCCAATGCAACATACGTGGTCGCCGAGTGAGAACGAGCTTGCGCCAGTGCGGGTTCGTGGGTGTCTGGTGACGGGTGGGGAAGATGTAGATTGGAGCAAGATTGAGTATCCACTTCCTTCTTTTTTAGTCTGGGGCATAGAACGGGAAGACTTGCCCGATAGGCATTTCGTCAGCGAAGAGAATGTTCGAAGTGTGGCGGAAGACGTATTGAAGCAGATTGAGTTTCCATAGGGATCGTGTAGGAGTTGATCTAGCAGTGTTATACCCTCATTCAAGTGATAAAGCATTTACCCTGTATATAAAGAGGTTGCACGCAATCAGACGCCTTGCAGTGACACGTATGGGAGCAGGTTGAACCTTGAAAAACGGATTCTTATTGTGACGTCTATCTTGACGAAATCATACATGCGTTGCGTGAGTGCTATAAAACATCAACTATAAATGAGATAGGAGTTGACAATCGACAACACCATTTTCGTATTCGAGTTTCCAAGAGTCAAATCCACAACGTCTAGATGACGAAAAGCGTAAAGCAACAGGCCGCATAAATCATGAGCAGCGCTTGCTATGAAAGTCGGGAAGGGGTATTAGCAGAAGCTATGAAACATGTGTACCGAACGCCAGGATCATGAGAAACCTATTTTGTAGTAAAATGAAAGAGATCTAGAAAGAAAACGAGATTCGGAAGGGTTCATGACTCGTGCAGGTCGAGCAGAGACTACCTTTTGGGGTGTTTGCGCTGATGCCTCAAAAGATTGTCCTTACGTGAGAAGCCGTCGAGGTTGTCGCAGCCAGGGTAAGGACAATAATGCTTGAAGGCAACTACCAATGAAGGATCATTATGTGTCGGAAGGTGTCTCCGGAGGTCCTTAGGGTATAAGAAACCCATGTTGCAGGTTGAGCATACATGAGGTGACTCTGTCGAGTGAGTCTTTTGGTGGCGGCTAGAAGCAGTCAGTTGGTGATCGATTGACCTTGATTCAATAGCGAAGCTTACTTTAGGTCACATTGACGGTCAAACACCCTGTCGCATCCTTCCGTGTTGCAAAGAAACCCACCGGGTCGAGGCGCCTGCCGCTTTTGTACTGGCTTGCGGTTGCGGCTGCGTCGTGCAGACAACCGATCGCCGGGCGTATAGATGTCTTCCACATGAGCTTGTACGGTAGCTGGCTGCACCGTCGTCTCGTTCCCGTCCATGATTTGCATGTAGTCGTTGATCAAGGGCTGCCCATGACCCGCGTTGACGTATTCGTATACCGGTGCCAGGTCTGCTGGCGTCTGTTCGAGGTCGAGCGACGGCATGTTGAAGAGACCGGGGCCATTGAAGAACGTTCTTGCAGCGACATACTGGACTTGTGGCTGGGACTGTCAGCAAGGTCTACAAGAGCAAGAGAAGGTGTCGTACTATGGCGTGAATGCATTGGAAGAAAGGCAGGCAGCAGAGCTCGCACAGCATGTCGTCAATGTCGCCGTAGGACCCGTCGATAGGAGTGTCAGACATGCTGAAGTCCACAAGTGGGCTTGATGCTGCCGCCGGCTGAAGGAGGACAGTAACAACTACTGTGAGGAGCAGCAGCGAGTACATGCTCTGAGGTGTGTCTGGATGCCTGAGGACAGGACGTGGGGACCAACGAGGTGGTAGACAATGCTAGAAGTTGTGTAAGAAGCGCAACAGCGTGCCTAGGAGACGGCGACAATGACGATGTACTATGCAGAACAGTAGGAAAGCATGTAAGAAGAGAAGTAGAGAGAAGGGCGCAGAGTCGAATTGAGCAGATGCGTGCTACGGGCAGAGGACTGCGGAGGCCGGCTGCCTGAGGAGCCACAGGTCACGGGCAGGTGTGGCTATGTTGATGATGTAGGTGTCGAGCATTTTGGCGATTCTGCTGCGTCTTTGGCTGCAATTCTGTCAGGTTTGAGTGTTAGCAGTGATGAAAGTGCACTTTTGATGCGTTGAAGTGTGCAACTGTGGTCGTGATGGGGTGACAGGCGACGGCGCCGCGCAGCGATCAAGGGATACGCAATTCCTCGACGGGTTTACGCCATACCCTTTCGAGACTTCGTGAGGGGTTGTGCAGCTCTACGATACCCGTGACTTTGGCACTGTTCAAAACATGAAGAAAGTATCGGTGCTAGAAGCTATTGACTTCGTTAAGATGGGAGACTGTTAGTCTGTTAGTTTCCTAGTAGCAACTTTGAGCTTTACCAGTGCTCGTGGTTGCTTTTCCTTTCACGTGCACTCGTGTCATCGCGCTTGCGGTCGAACTTCGCAATCTCCAAAATCTGCAACTCAACTGCAACTCTTAAGCTATCGCTCACATAGTCTTGTACAGCCCTTGGATGCATTGCATCATAACTGCTTCTGCTTCTCGACCTCGGGAGGCTGTTGAATGCGCTCTGACGACTGGGTGGTAACACGAACATCCACGAGCCCTCAAAAGATACAAGTAGACGTCTAACATCATTATTAATGATCAGAAGGATTATAAGGGATTCAAGAGATTCAAGCTGCATTTCCCTCAGGCTGAGGAAACGTGCTCGATATATAACAACGCGACTCCTCCGGAGTCTGCGCATGATCCAACACGCCACGACTTCAGAACGAAACAAGGCAGCCACTTCAGCTGTGGTTGTTACTATTCATATCGCAGCTTGATGAGGCAGATTAGAGGTTTAACCTCTTCTGACAATGATAGCGCATACTGTACATTACACACGCATTTCACGTCCAATCGGCCATTCAGGCGTTCTGCCATGTTCACGGTGGGCGGCCTCCCAGGCGTCCGTCGAACAAGGACCGGTAAGCAAGGCTCCACCATAGCACCCACTATTGTGGGTGGGGACAGTCATTCCAGCGCGCTGCGCCCTTTGAATCACAGCCTTCTGTAAACTTGACAAATTAGGCAGGTACCATGATGTATACTCTGTGCTCAAGAATGGCTTGCGCGCGGCGACTGCTGCCCCACGTTGCAAGCCGAAGCTTCACATGCGACGCTCTTTCATGAACACAGCCACACTGCAACTCGGTGTTTGCGAACCCCAAACCTGTCCTATTGAACATGCTGTCTACTCGTGGTCGCAGATATGCGGCCTTGGATCTGGCTGCAGGCTACACCAAAAATCGTGGCCATCTCTATGACAAGACCAAACATCCAACAGGTTTAGTGTCTTTCAGCAATGCGGAAAACGTTAGTCTGAGTTGATTGGAATTGCTGCGATATTCCGAGTATCAACACTGATGATCGATAGTTGCTCATGCGAGAAGAGGTCCTAGACTACATAAAGACCAAGGTCAGCCCTCAGCATCACATGGAGGAACTGTATTCTAAACACCACTTAGTGTATTCCCAGCCTTGAGCCCGACACCTTGACCTATCATGACGGCCCTTTTGGATCCAAGCGCCTGCGCCAAGCGATGGCTGCGTTCATTAACAAGCGTTTCTCGCCCGTTTCAGCTGTAACAATCGACCAAGTATCTTTTGTTAGCGGTGTGACTGCGTTGAACGACATTTTGTCTCTATGTATGACAGACGGAGAGACTGATGGTTTGCTTCTTGGTATGCCGATATATGGATCTTTCTATCCGGATATGGCGAGCATGTCCAAGTGAGTACAAATGTTATCAAAGCACGATACCTATTTCGCAGCTACTAACTTGTACCAGCTGCAAGTTGGTTTACGCCCCTTTCGATGGCAAAGACCAGTTTACTACTGCGGCAGTTGAACATTACGAGCGTGCTGTTGAAGAAGCTGGCCGAAATGGGATTAAAGTGAAGGCACTCATCTTATCCAATCCACACAATCCACTAGGTACAAGTTCTATCTGTCATGGAAGGAAAAGCAGGACTGAATTGTCTTTCTAGGCCGGTGTTATCCCCGTGAAACTCTAGAGGCCATCCTCCGCTTCTGCGAAAAGCAGAGCATACATCTTATCAGCGATGAAATATATGCTCAATCGGTGTATGGCACGAGTTCGGTCTATGCAGAATTTACGTCAATACTCTCCGTTAATGTAAAAGGTATCATTGACGAGAAACTTGTTCATGTAATGTACGGAATGTCAAAGGTAAAGTGACATTCCACTGGAGTGATATTCTCAGCGCTGATGTTGTGGGTTAGGATTTCGCTGCGGCTGGCTTGAGACTCGGGTGTTTAATCACAAGAAACAAAGAACTAGGACAAGCTGTTCAGTCTCTAGCGTACGTATACGGAAATTCTGAGGGGCGGCTAAGACACTGATTTCCTTGTGTTCGTAGACGGTTTCACGGCGTCTCTCCAGTGACTGATGCTATTGCCACGACCATACTCGAGGATGAAGAGTGGCACGCCCAATTTTTGACGAAGAGCGCGAGGGCGTTGCGTGAAAACCATGAACTTGTGGCAGAGGGACTCAACAAGGCGGGAATTCCTTTTGATCGAGACGCGTAAGTAGACTCTGCTTTCCCTGAGCATCCTATGGACGAGTGACTGACTTGTTTCCGCGCCTAAGTAACGCTGGTTTCTTCCTTTGGATTGATCTCTCAGCATGTCTACACAGCCCGACTTGGGAGGCAGAGGATGAGTTGAAACAAGCGCTCTACGATCATGGCGTGGAGATGTCAGCTGGACAAGCGTATCATGATGAGAAGCCGGGCAACTTCCGCTTTCTATTTTCACTAGATAGGGATATTGTGGAAGAAGGTCTGAGGAGGGTCATCGACTTTTACAACACTCGTAGGACAGATCGGTAGTGATCGGAGCTAGTGAACGAATAATGAATATCCGTGTAAAAGTTTGACCTGCAATTAGAGTAGCAGAGTGTCAGTGCTAGAACTTGGACGTCGCGAGGGCCTGGTATGACGCACGACGCGTGACGCTCGTGACAACGCGAAAGGGCGCCACGCGATTGGGAGATCCTTGCACGAGATCGTCCCGCCAGATCGGAATTGCGACAGGGGAAAGTGCGTCATCATTCCAGCCATCGCGCCTCAACTGCCACAAACAAACCGCATCACCTTTGTGCCTATGTCACGATAGTAAAGAAAAATAGGCGCTGCAATGCCGCCAATACTCTCTCGAAAGCGCTCGCGATCCGCCTCCCCTCAACTAGAACCGCCGCCGAAGCGTGCGCGGGCCCGTAAACCTTCTGCACCCACTCGTAAAGGCAAGGAGTCCGTCTTTCAGACACTGGACGCGCCGCCCAAAGTCAAGCGGACGCTGTCGCAAACAAAAGCTTTGTTGGAACAAGAAGATGACGACAGCGAATTGTCGGAGCCGGAGAGCAGTGAGGATGACTTTGAAGATGTTCCGCTAAATGGCGCGAGCAAGGGCAAAGGGAAAGGGAAAGGGAAAGCGCAGGCTGGTGGTGATAGTGATGAAAGCGAGGACGATGATTGGGAAGACGCTCTCGGTGTGCATCACCATACGAAACCAGACCATGGTCCTGCGCCTGTCATTACCGGCGATATCGCCCTCACCTTATCTGCCGTACCGAAGACCGCCTTTGATACAAAGTCTGATGGGAAGAAAGGGCCATCCAAGGTCCAGCGGCAGATACGGAGCGTCACGCATTGCATGCACGTACAGTACCTGATGTACCATAACCTCATAAGGAACGCTTGGATACAGGACAAGCAAGTGCAGACGATACTTGTCGAAGGCATGTCGGCCGGGTGCTGGCGCGAATTGGAGAAATACTGGAGTGATGCAGGCATCACAGATGGGCCTAGTCGCGTCGTCGTGCAGAAGGCACCAAGTCCTCCGTCCAAGCAGGTGACGAAAGACAAGAAAGGGAAGTGGAAGGACAGTGGGAAGAACGGCGTCAAGGTGTACGAGAGCCCGCAGAAGCGATCCTCTGTTCGTGAGGATAAGAAGGCAACGCTCCTGGGCAAAGGCAAGATTGGCAACAAAGGCGATAAGAAAGGGCGCGATTGGGGCGCGACATCCGAGCCACTCGAACCGAAAACTCCGAACTTGTCAGCTGGAGATCCTCTACTTCGCCTACTAAGATATGTTTCTGCGTATTGGAAGTCCAAGTTCCAGGTCACAGCCCCGAGCTTACGCAAACGTGGTTATCTGTCGCCATCGACACTAGAAGCCGAGATTAATGCTTGGAGGGATGATCCGGATCATCCAGATACTTTCGGAGAGCGAGTCGAGAGTTTAGATGCTTTTCGCGATAGGGCTCGTAAATGTGAGGGAAGCAGAGACTTGGGAGAACAACTGTTTACGGCTCTGTTACGAGGCCTAGGCATTGAGGCCCGTATGGTAGTCAGTCTACAACCTGTTGGTTTTGGCTGGAGTCAGAGTGAAGAAGGCAAGGCTAAGAACCTTGAGAAGCTGAAGGATGCAAAGCCTGCCGATAAGGAGACTCCGCAAAAACCAGCAGCAACAAACAGCAAAGCGAAATCTGGTTCGGCTACAAAGAAGAAAGCAGCATCTACTGGTGTTGATATGGATGACAGTAGCGATCTAAGCAGTGTCATATCCATCTCTTCTGACTCTGAAGACGAAAGGCCAGCGAAGAAATCGCCAAAGTCACGCAACTACAGCGAAGAGCTGCCATACCCGACATACTGGACAGAGGCTATCTCACACCTGACACATACTCCGATATCAGTATCGCCGCTTCCTAAGACGATCATAGCAAGCGCGGCTTCTCCAGACAAGCTCGCCGACTTTTACGCTCGTGGTGCGGCGGCCGACAAAGCGAGACAGGTATTAGCTTACCTTATCGCCTTCTCTTCTGATGGCACAGCCAAAGATGTCACGACACGCTATCTACCAAAACGCCAGTGGCCTGGTCGGACAAAAGGCTTCCGCATGCCAATCGAAAAAGTACCGATACACAACAAACGTGGAAAGGTCAAGCGATGGGAAGAATGGGATTGGGTCAAGTCGCTATTGCGCCCCTATGCCAGGCCTCACGACAAGCGTCAACCATGGGATGAAGTCGAGGACGAGGGCGACCTTGTTCCTCAAGAGCCAGAGAAGAAGAAAGACATGGATGAAGAAGGCGGCAAGGAGACGCTACAGGGCTACAAGAACTCTGCTGAATACGTGCTCGAGCGTCACCTCCGGCGTGAAGAAGCACTCAAACCCGGTGCGAAAATTGTTCGACACTTCGTCACTGGCAAAGGCGACAACGAGAAGTCAGAGCCCGTTTATCTCAGGAAGGATATTGTGAATTGCAAGACGCAAGAATCCTGGCACAAGGAGGGCCGCGAAGTACTGGAAGGTCAGCAGCCTCTCAAGCTTGTGCCTATGCGTGCTGTCACAGTGACTCGCAAACGCGAGATTGAAGAACGCGAGCGTATTGAAGGCGGCAAAGTGAAACAAGGGCTCTACTCCAAAGCGCAGACTGACTGGATCATTCCTGATCCAATCGTTGATGGTCAGATCCCACGTAACTCGTACGGAAACATTGACGTTTATGTACCCACCATGGTGCCGAAAGGCGCTATTCATATCCCACTCAAAGGAACAGCGCGCATATGTCGCAAGCTCAACATCGATTACGCGGAAGCGTGTACCGGATTCGAGTTTGGCAAGCAGCGTGCTGTACCTGTCATAACTGGAGTTGTGATTGCGGAAGAAAACGAGGATATACTCATAGATGCTTGGGAGATTGAAGAAGCGGAAAAGCAGAAAAAGGAAAGAGACAAGAGGGAGAAGTTCTTGTTGGGCTTATGGAGGAAGTTCGCAAGCGGTCTGAGAATTGTGGACAGGATGAAAGAAGAGTACGGAGAGGATGTCGAATTGCCAGCAAGAGAGAAGGTGGTACTACCCAAGGAGGAAGACACCACGGAAAAGAAGTCGCAGTGGGAGGTGTTCCAGAATCACACAGATTTCGAAGGTGGCTTCATGCGCGACGACGGTGCAGCTTCTGGTGGTGGCTTCGTGCCTGAAAGAGCGCCCCAAACGGCACAACAAGATTATGACACGGCTGGTGGGTTCCTGTCAGCAAGCCAAGACGATCCTGAACATGGCGATCTCACTATTGATCACGGTGAGAAGAAGGATGTACCCCGCGTATCCGTGGCGGACAGCACATATCGCACACCGATCTCGCTCACACAGGCGTTGCAGCAGCCGCCTAGTGAATCTGGTGGAGATTCGGATGACGATGCGGACGATGATATGGATGCGCCACAGGCTCAAGAAGACGAACAGATCGAAGAAGACGAAGAAGAAGAAATCAAACCTAAAGCCACTCGCCGCAAGCCAACCGCCACAGCTTCAGCCCGTGGTCGTGGTCGTCCACGTGGCCGCGGAGCAAAGACTGCGACAGTATCCGCACGGAAACGTAAATCTAAGGTAATAGATTCAGGGTCTGACGATGATGCGCTCTCTGATGCGCCCTCGGATCCGCCAACACCACCGCCTTCCACCCGCTCAGCGCCAAGGCGTAAGGCTGCCAGGAAAAGTGACGCACAAGTCAAGAGCCACTTCTTTGCCGAAGGAAGCGATGACGAGACGGATATGACGGACATGACTGAGCGAAACTCGCCAAGGAAGAAGGCTGTAATACGAGGACGCGGTAGTGGCAAAGGGAGAGGGACTGGACGGGGAAGAGGGCGAGCGGGGAAAGCCAAGTAGTGATACGAGAGTAGAGTATTGATACCTACACCGGTGTGCAGTAGACGTGCAAAATCATTCGAGCTAATCTTGACGATACGACCAGAAGGCATGAAAATCCGCCAGCCAGCATTAGGGCTGACCAACAGGAAAAGATCGTGAGATCTTTTCAGCGCCAGTGCGCTTACCCCCATTCGATGGTATCGCTACTCTCCCGATCTAACTGCCGCATTACATCATTCTGCCCCGGATTCCTCCCACACTTTCAAACCCCCGAAACTCAAAGTTGCGAGATCGCGAAATCGCAAAAGTCAAAACGCAAACAGCAATTAAGTATTACCGGATTAAGACAAAATTCTCGAGTCGATACCATGCGTGCCGATCTGTTTTTAGATCAGCCCAGCCTCGCTAGTTGTGTCTGGGCAAGTCTTGGTTCCGCCATTGCATGCTCCCGATCCTTGGCAGACTTCGGTACCATGAATTTCCCCTAATTCAATCCCAAACAGTCAGCCTGTTGTAGCCAAGCTGCGCCATTGTGCAGTCTCAGATTGCTTCTTCAACGCCGTTATTATCGCGTCTGGTCCTTGCTCAACATGTATGACAGCGTGACAGCTGCCCAGTCGTTCGGCAGTATTGCCCATGGTAGCTCTGCGTTGTTGGGCAGTTTGTGGCAGCAGTGGCTGTTCCAATCGCGTCGGCAGAGGGCGGTAGACGTGCTTTCGGCGCCGCCCATGTGGGAATCCTCCCAGCATCCACCCGAATGCCACGCCCGCCGTCTCCTTCGTATTCGTGCTCATCACCTGTTGCCCGGCGCAAGCACGTCTTGGCTACAATGCACACTGTTTGATCTGCGATCCCTAGTCCGCGCGCTCATTAGTTGCCAGAAACGTCGTGCCTCTCCGGTGTTTTTCTATCGATGGGTCGAGATGCGTGTCTGGGGTTGGCGTACATAAGTACATATATCCTCCTTTTGTTTAGTTTTCTCACGCCTCATCCTGACTGCGGTCTTTATCAGTCACTCGCTTTGCCAATCTTTTTTTCTTTGGCAGCTGTCTCTCGCTTTCCGACTTTTGAAACCAGTCTTATTCTTAATTATAATTCTCTGAAAGATGCGTTTCACAGACATCTTTGCTGTCGGTGTGGTGGCGCCTTTGGTGGCAGCTCACGGTGGAGTCCCAGGAGCACCTAAGATTTTTGGCCTACCCAGAGACTTGCTCGATGACTTCAAGGCTCCCGTTGCTGCCCGTACGCTTCGACACCCTGCTATGCCCAGGGGTGGCCTGTTGGAAACCCGCCAAGGTGGTCAGAACGGACGTTGTGGACCTAGCTTTGGCAATGCCAAGTGTGCTACAGGGTATTGCTGCTCTGGTGCCGTATGTTGGTCTTCAATCTTCGATATATGCAGTTGCTAACGGGAAAAAGGGATACTGCGGAACTTCGAAAGATCACTGCCAGGCTCCCGACTGCTTGATTGACTTCGGCCCAGCTTGCGATGCCAACAAAACTCCTGGTGGAGCTAGCACACGCAACGACCCTCGTCCTCAAAAGGGCAATGTCGCATACGGAGGTGGCGGTGTCTATGCCTGCAAGAAGGCTGGAACAGTCGCCATCACCTACGACGACGGTCCATACATTTACACCGACCGCGTCCTCGACCAGTTCGCTGCTGCTGGCTTCAAGGCTACCTTCTTCGTGACTGGTATCAACCTTGGCAAGGGCGCCATTGACAGCACAGCGCAATGGTCCAACGTGATCAAGCGCATGGTTGCCGAGGGCCACCAAGTCGCATCCCACACATGGTCCCACCAGGATCTCAGCATCATCACTGATGCGCAACGCTACGACCAGATGGTCAAGAACGAGATGGCCATCCGCAACATTATCGGAAAGTACCCTACATACATGCGTCCTCCTTACTCGTCTTGCAACACCGCCTGCCAGACTGTATTGAAGAACTTGGGATACGTCGTCAGCTACTTCGACTTGGACACGGATGACTACAACCAGCTCTCCAACATCCAGGTTGCCAAGGATAACTTCAAGAGGATTCTTGACTCCACAGCCGGTGGTCCCACCACGGGCTCCCGTCTTGCTATTGGCCACGATATTCACGAGCAGACTGCTCTCAACCTTACCGGATACATGCTTTCATACCTCAAGTCCAAGGGCTACCGTGGTGTTACCATGGGTGAGTGCATGGGCGAGCCTGAGGCGAACTGGTATCGCACTTCCGGCGAGGGTGGTGGCTCTACCACCCCTCCTCCTACCTCTGGCGGTGGCAGTGGCAGCACCCCTGTTTCCACTGATGGATCGTGTGGCTCTGGCAAGGGAACGTGTGCTGGATCCACTTTCGGCAACTGCTGCTCTCAGTACGGATGGTGTGGATCCTCTGCTGACCACTGCAGCGCCGGCTGCAACTCTGCCTTCGGTACTTGCACTGGCGGTGGCTCAACCACCCCTGCGCCAGCTCCTTCCACCCCAGCTAAGAAGGTCTCTACTGATGGTACTTGCGGATCTCAGGGAGGTGCTACTTGTGCTGGCTCGACATTCGGCAACTGCTGCTCGCAGTACGGATGGTGCGGATCTACCTCTGGACACTGCGGTTCCGGTTGCCAGAGCGGATCGGGTACTTGCACTTAGGAAGTTGCTGATGGGAGGAGTATCTAGATCGTTTGTGTAAAGACGACACCAGTGCTTCTACTGTTTCTATGTAAATACATAATATAATGCAAACATCAAAAAAACCGTACTTATCTGTCTTCTTCATTCGCATGTCTTGATTGTATGTGTTACTTATCCTACGTTGTTCTTTCCTGACTTCTGACGACGATACTTATGTTCGCTGATATGCTAACAACGACATCCTGTAATCATACTGTGCTAAGCTGCTATCCTGTCTCGCAAGTTCAGGTACTAAGCCATTACCAGCTATGGCTGCAAGATTACCTGAGGTACATATCGACGTCATGCGAGGTACGTAGGAAAGTCGGAAGTGTAGTGGCAGTTAGGCCGATACGGCCGTACCCCCTCGCTAGACTCTATCTAGTGAGTAGCTATTCGGCCACCTAGAGCGCCAAGCCTTGGTGACTAAGAATAATAGCTTGCTAGATGCAGAAACACTACACCATTACTTACTCTAAAGCTGCGTACATGGTACCAGTAGGTGCGGACTACAATGCCTGTCCATCAGACAGATCGAGGCGTTGATAGCGCTCTGTCCGTCGTCATACATTTCTATGATGCAAGCGACTCCGACTTCTGTCTTCGTCCCATGGACTCAAGGCTATAAAGCCGTCGTAGTATGACCATCATGTCAGACATCCAGACAGCAGGTCACAACATATTCTACTCGATCTACACCTCAACGGCTCTCAAAAAATTCACATCTTCCAGTTTGTCACCAAGTCCCTGGAACAAAGCGAACAGCATATCTCAAAATCACATTGCAATCTCTATCGAGGATTCCCGACCATGCAGGATATCGACTACTCCGCTACGACCGCACTCGTGACCGGCGGCTCCTCTGGGATAGGTCGTGCAATCGCAAAAGAACTCGTGAAGAGAGGTGTCCGTCAACTGGTTCTTGTCGCTCAGAATGAAGGAAGACTGGCCGAAACAGTCAGCGAGATTGAGGGTTCTACACCAGGAACGACCGTGCGCACGATCAAAACCGACTTGAGCCAACGAGAAGGCCCTGAAAATGTACAAAAGCAAGTCCAAGAATGGGGTTGGACAGTTGATCTACTGGTAAACAACGCTGGCTTCGCCAGGAAGTACTATTTCGCACGTAACCCCGAGACCGACACCTCGTTGGCTACTGTCGATCTTATGGTCCGTGCCGTCGTTGATCTAAGCCTCCGTTTCATGCCAGAAATGATAAAGCAAGGCAAGGGTGGCATCTTGAATGTCGGGTCCACTGCTGGGTACCAAGCAGTTCCATACACGGCAATGTATGCGGCTAGCAAGTCATTCCTTATGTCATGGTCCCAAGCGGTTCATCAAGAGAATCTTGAAACTGGAGTCCGAGTAGCTTGTGTCGTGCCGGGCATTACTCAGACCAATCTCGATGGCCAGGGGCATGGCGAAACGCGAGGTGCCATCGACAAAGTTGGCATCGATCAGCCTGAGGATGTAGCGAAGGTCGCGGTGGACGTATACGAAGCCAACGAATCTACTCGTGTAGTTGGCTGGAACAACAAGATTCAATCGACAGTCTTCAACCTGATTCCTGATTCCATCACCAGCGGCATTATCGCTTCGGCGCGAGGGCCACCAGAGGAGAAGTGAGCCAAAGGTGTAGGGTACGAATAGATGGTTCAACCAATACGCGGTGTCTCCGCGCAGCAGGGTAGTGTCAGGGTCAATAGTTATAAATGATCAACGCCAGCATTACAAGTTTTCTCTCATAGAGAGATACATCGTGTGATACGCAGCGTTTGCTTAACTCTGCTACATGCCTATGTAGTCTCGACTTTTAGCTATGCTCTACTGCAAAGAGATTAATCGCTTAATTTAGAGCGTCATCTTACTTATCTCAGGTTGTGAGGCTCTTGATACTATAACAAGAAAAACAATACGACACAATCCCAAAAGTAGTAGTTGGTGGGACTGACACATGAGCAGAACTTCATTGTCTGACTGGCCACCCAGTATGAGAAGTAAGTGGCTACGCAGTAGGTTTGAGATACATGTCTGAAAGCATTGAAGGGTTACCTAAAGCAAGCCATGTAGAATGATGAGTAAATCTCGGGTCTTTCATTGAAGAACCCTAGGTATTGCCACTGAATAAAGAGAATTAGAATTGTTTGTCGCCGGAATGGAGTGCTTTTACATGCTACAACGGCAATTGAATCATACAGCTTCGTCACTGATTATTTGTGAAGCCCATGCTAGTATTCTCTCTTCGATGTTTCTCTCCAACTCACATCATTTTCTGAAATCTTATTTTCATAACTTCATTAGAACGCCATATCAAGTGCAGTAATTGCCGAAAGCACTATTGTTCGCACACCATGGCGCTGGCGATAATTCCCACGATCATCGTCAGTTTTGTAGTTATCGTAGCACTACTCGGCACATACTACATTTATCAGGCATACAAGCGCGTGCGCTTCGCAATGCCAGACGTGGAGCGCACCCGCCATATCGAAAATCCCGAGCATCTCAAACAACAACCAATTCAACTACACGATATCGGGCCTCCACACCGGAAGTATCAGAGCGGTCAGTGGTATGGTTCCGAGAATGTGGTGCCCACACATGTCGCCGCTGTCGCGAAAGCACTTCCGCGTATCTCTGAGATCGAGTATACAGGAGGCGAGGGTCTCGTTAGCCCGCCTGGTCGGGTCTTCTCACTTCCCAAGGATATCGAAGGAGGTAAGAGAAAAGAAAATGGGCTAGATAAGTTTCAAGCACAAGATCTACACGCGGAAAGGACATGGAACTTTGTAACAGATGGCTACGGAAACTCAATGGTAGATCAGCCCGAATTGGTATCTCCAAAGCCTGTGCGAACAGTAACGCGGAACTCTCCAAAGGCTGAGCCTACAACTACCGCATACGACTCTGCACAAATAGCAGCGGCGAACATATGGGACAAGATGAATAAGGGCGAGCTACAACCCTCGCGACGCAAGGCAGAGAAGAAGATGTCGAAGTCACTGATCGCAACAGCACCGGAAGTACTTCGTGACCCTGCAGACTTTGAGAACGATGTCTTACAGGATATCGACCTTCGCAGCAGTACCAAAGAATGGGCAAAGGCCAAGGTTTCGTCTGCGTACGTCGCAAAACGCACAAGCAAGCGGGATTCTTTCGACAGTACGATCACAGCCGTCGATGCCAGCGATGTGAATATCGAAAGGCCAGCGTCATATGTCAAGTGCAAACAAAGTATAGACACAGACATCGTCAAGCTGCCGCAACCGCTTGACCGAACAGCCGAGGCACGCCGCAAGATTCTTGAAGCTAAGGAGCAGATGGCAAACAGAAAGAAGCGGGAGGAAGAAGAACGTCAAGCAGAAGAGCGAAGACAGGCAGAAGAGCAAAACCAGCGCGTGGCAGAACAGCAGAAGCTGTCTGAAGAAAAGAAACGACAGGACAATGAAGAAAGAGCCCGCTCATTGGCAGAGGTTACCAAGACAGAAGATGAAGACCTGTGTAATACGAATACTTCTCGGTCTCGAAGATCGTCCGCTAGCCGGAGATCCAATTCATCCACCAAGTCGAAAAGTGCGCGAAATAGTCGCGAGAGGCCTCTCCCGCGATCTCCTAAGCGGGCTTACACTTTCGCTAATGATACGACTCCATGCGTCAGTGACTCTATAACGAAGAAGCCCAGCAGTAGTCGTAGTCGCATGGCAAGAAGTATGAGTATGAATGACCGGGAAAGACAGGACACCAATGCAATAATGGCTCCAATCGCTGAAGGCAACGGTACTGATGATACTAATGAACGAGACTTGGAAAGTAGCAGAACAACTAAGATCGCAAAGCCGTTCTCTGACAGTATGTCAAGACGTTCTGATGGCTCCAAAACATCAGCATCATCAGGCTGTTCTTATAAGTACAACCATGGAAGACGCGCCTCTAAAGATATTCCAGAAAACCCATTCACTTCTATTCAAGATGCCAAAGTGTCTTTCGCGCCGACTCAGAGATCCTCAGGCTTATCTAGCATCGAGAGCCGGTCCCAAGCCCAGCGACGCTCAAACGCTTCCAGCAATGACAGTCGACTCAGCTCAGACAGTCGTCTAAGCCTCAGCCATCCCGAGCGCAACAACAACAAATCTAGTGCTGAGTTTCGTGCTTCCGCGGATAGCCAGAGTAGTACGCACTCGATCGCTGATCGTGGAAAACCAGAACGCAAGTCCTCATTTGCATCTCGCACACTTGGGAAACTTGGTCGTAAGTCTTCATCCTCGGAAAAGAAGAAGGAGAGTGGTTCTGCAGATTTGGTGCAGTTTGGGGAGCATGACGGACCGGGGATAAGAGGTGGAGCCATGGTGTTTGTGGCCGAGCCAGGGATGTCAGAGTCAGACAATGAACATGAAGACTGGAGACATCGAGATGGACAGGATGAGGATGCGGTGAGAATGCGTGGCGGTGCGGGGGAGAAGACGGTGGAGTCGGGGAACGAAAGTGAGGCTGGGGTGGAGAAGGACGGTGACAGCGATGCTGGCGAAGATGCACACTCTGATGACGGCCACTCCGAAGACGACAACTCGGAGGATGAACATTCAGAGGATGAGCCTTCTGAAAGCGATGGCGATATCGAGGAACAGGATTCCTCTGAAGATGAGGTTTTCGAGGATAATGCATCGGAAGACGAGCATCCCGAGTCTGAAGTCTCTAACGACGAAGTTTCCGATGCTGGTACATCGGACGACGAATCTGGTGATGAAGGATCGGATGGTGGAAATGAACAGACGTTGTTGCAGAAGCCAGCTAAGATCGTCTCGACGAAGACCATCGGCATGGTGAAGGCTTGAGGCCTTCTCACTTTTAGGTATTCTGCTGGCACGGCCTTCTGTCGTGTTCTTATTGTATTCTCATGACCTGATCTTATCGTCTCGGTAATCATGTTAGCAACTTCCATATTTTGTACAGATCCAAAGCTCAGCCCATAAACAAAGATTGCTTGAAACGTTGCGACCTCTCTTACATCGCTCGTGTTGTGCTCTAAACAGCATCGTCTACTCCACCGGGCGGTCCGCCAGCAACACCCGCTGGTCCAAAAGTACCCCGATGACTATGGCTAGCTTTCTTGCCTTCCGCCTCTTCGTCATCGTCGCCATCGTCGAACATAGCTTCGGACATAAACGGACTTTTTGCCCGAATTTGACGGCCTTTTATCAGGAGTACCACCGGCACCAAGCTCAGTGCCAATCCAACAAAGCCAAGTAAACTGCCTGCCCAGCCGAAACCGAGGTTCTGGAAAAGCGAGTAGGAAGCCAGAGGTAGAAAGGCGCCGAACAAATTACGCCCAAGAGATGCGGCGGAAAGCGCAGAAGCAGCGTACTTTTCGTAAGCATCGGTGAGATAGTTGACTACTCCCATGTAAATCGAGTAGATGCCTACACCCACTATACAGATTCCTATCGCAGGCACAATCCAGTGAATGGAGGGTCTGCATGTCCATCCATATAAGAACAGACCAGCAGTGAAGAGCAGCGAGCCAGGGATACTGGTGTACAAACGGCCCTCCGGGATAGGCTTCCCAGGACGTTCTTGGTTCTTGGATGCAGTTCTAAGATACAACCAATCCTGTATTGGATTGATGAGTGTGCCAATGAGCGCTCCGACAGTGATGGCTAGTTGAACCATACCTAGAAGGTACGTGTACGGAGTCAGTATATGTTTCACATGCACTTCGTGCATGGGCAGTTCTTACCAGTCTGAAAGGTGCCAAAACCGTAGCTTGCACTAAAAGTCTGTACTACCGAGGAAAAGAACAGGAACAGAATACCCCAGGCGAAACTAATCCATAGCGTGAAGAAAGTAACGACGGGCTCGGTGAGCAGCATCTTTGTGGGTCGCATGAAGGAGACCTTGAGTAGGCTGGCTATCGAAGGCTTGTCGAGCTCGGATTCCGCATAGACTTCACGGCCTGTGTCTTTGCGGATCTTCTGAGCGCGCTTCTTCAGGATGACGTCGCCACGGGTCTCCTTGAGGATGATGTAGAAGACGGGAATGAGCGCGGCATTGTAGATGATTTGAATATAGTAGATCCTATACCTGTGTCAGCGATGTAAGTCAAGTACGGGGAGATACACACCAGCGCCATGGAGATTGCAGTCCAGTAGATGGATAGCCAATCTGCACAATTGCACTACCGATAAACGGCCCGAGAGCGATACCAGCGACAGACGTGAACCCAAAGATGGACATTGGCAGACTTCGAGCCTTGTCACCTTTCCATACATCACTGATGCTACCACCAACAATGTTGATGGAAACCGAGGATGCACCACCGCCGAAAAATCGGGTAACAACGAGCGTTGCAAAGTTGTCAGCAAAGGCAGAGCCGAACAAGAACAACTCGAAAACGATGTAAGCAACCTTCCAGTTTGTTAGAATGGTTTGTTGTATATCGTCAATGCAGTAACTTACGAAGTAGCCGGGCATACGGCCAGTGTTCTCGGTCAAAGGTACGAACAGAAGTGGGAAAAGAGCAGCACCCATGTTCCAGCTGCACGTTGCCCAATAGAGATTTGGAAAAGGTTCATTTTGAACGCTGAAGCGAGTTGCCATCCATTCGTTACCAGCACCATAGGATCCAGCGGGGA